AATAATTGTGGCACCGAATTGAATACGAATCGAATAATTTTCGAATAGTTTCCGAATAGTAAGTAGACAGCTACTAAAGAAGAGCAAAGAGATAATCAAATTATTTTATTGTTGGAAATGTTTTCTTAAACTTATTGTAAAAACGCGACTAGACGATAATGATTAGAGTTCAACTATATATAACTAAATAAAGGCAAAAGCTACTAAAATATTAGAATGTTAAACATAATAACACGGTTCACGCATTTGCTGAATATAAAATCCCAGTTCACTTGAGCCTGGTACATCCTGAAGATTTGTACTTAGTAGGAACTCTACATTCTCTTCTTATTCCTTGTTGTAGCAGATGTCCTTGAATCGAGGATCAAGAAAGCTGGCGTGATGTGCCTGTGTGCTTACGTCCCGGAACCTTGTTTTCACTGATTTCAAATTTCGTTTTCAACGAAATTTGAAATATTCCCGTCGTGTTCAAAAATAGGTTGAATATGATCCACAATATCCGTAAATGACAATCGCACGTTTGTATTTTGAGCCTGGAGGCTGTATTTTTCGCTATAAACGGCCCACTCTGGCAAGCGCTCGGAGAAGGCCCAGCGGAGACCACGTGACATCCAACGCAATCGTGACGTAGGTCGTCTCGGGACGAGCAAAGCTACAGCGAGGCTGACGTCGAGACTCGAGAGGATGGCCTAGTCGTTCCAGCCACCGAAGCGGCTGCTTTTGTACGAATTTTGAGTGACGGGTTAATCTTCTATAATCTTGTAGGGGGACAATAGCGACTTCTGCGACACACAAAAGGCATTCTCGGGAAGAGGGGAGTTCCTCCTTCCCCTCTTCTCTCGTCGTGGCCGGAGGCGAGACACTCACTCCGCCCCGCGACAACTTTTCTTGGCAATGCAGTGGAACGTACAGGCCCGCGTCCCCTCTCCCATCTTGAGTGTGCGCGGGCTCTTCTCCTCTCCCCGGAAATGGGGGAGGAGGAGAGCCTGCGTACACTCAAAATGGGAGAGGGGACGCGGGCCTGTACCTTCCACTGCATTGCCAAGAAAAGTTGTCCTAGACGGGCATTACAAGCGAGGCGTTAGCGACATCCACCAGGTGCTCTTTGCTAATCGTTTAATTCGTTTTAAAATTTATTTTCGAGACTTTTTTAACAAAATATTGGTATGTTCGATGTGATACTGCTCATTTGAACACATATAGACCATAAAATAAGCGCCGAAACGCATTGTCTTGTACCACTTGCGAACTCAAAAAGCAACATCTTCACACATTGAACAAGTTGAACAACTAAGGAAAGTGTTGGGAAAGACTCGACACAAGCAGCTGTTGTTGCTTGTTCAATTGGTTGCATGAGAGCGGCCGAAAAAATTTTACACTCTACTGCGCTTTCTCTTTGAACAACTTCCCGCTTCTATAGTCGGTTACAGGTTAAGAAAGTAGCGGCAAATGCCCCTCAAAAGGAATCATATATCCCTCCGCCACCTAGGTATCCAATAGCGTCCCATCGTTTCCGTGACGTCGCGGCCAACGCGCGAGGAGGGTCTTGCCTTTTGTACATATTTGCTTTATCTTTCGACTTTGACTTAGCATTGTGGAAGCCACGAGAGGAGAGATTAGAGTTTTCCCCCTCCGATGGAAACAAATACGACTTTCGGGGATTAGCTTCCCCTTCCGATGGATACAAAGGCTCCTTTCAGGGGCTCGGTTCCCCCTCCAATGGATACAAAGGTCGCTTTCTTAAAAAGTGGGATCGGAGACAAGTTGGAATCCATTGAAGCGGAACAAGGAGCGTTTTCTGTGAACTCTTCTTTCGACTGCGGAGAGATTTGAAACGGGCGCATCAAGCTTGTGGAAGGAGCTTCTCCTACCTTCTTGACTTGTAACCGACTATAGCACTTTTACTTCGCTTATACAGAGCGGCGGTACCGTTGCAACCAGTTCTGAAACGTCTCCACGACAAGCTTTCAGAAAGCGTGCACGAGCATCTGTTGCAAAAGCGGTCCCTAAAGGCTGAACCGCATGTAAGCGATTTAGCGAGCGACGAGAAGAACGACAGCAACGAGAGTCAGCGACGAGCGACGATTTCTCACTGTCGCTGGTCACGTCGCTCGGTGTTTGGATTTCTAGAAAACGTCCTCACCGCTTTGGTCGCTTGCTCACGCCACTCCATGCAGTTTGCCTCATCGCGCGACCGACCGAGCGACAGCGAAGCGGGTCGACGTCGACTGTCTCGCCTCTCGGCAAATCGCTTACATGCGGGTTATACTTAGCACAGTCCATAATGGGGGCAACAACAACGTACGTACAGAGAGAAACTGCTGCTGATGATGATGACAATCATTGTCTAGGAGAAGAGGGTACGTATTTCCATCTTGCGGGCACGTATGGCAGGCGGTAACCGGACAAAAGCTCACCGGACAAAAGCTCACCGGATAGAAGCTCACCGGGCAAAAGCTCACCCGTTTTTTCGCAGACCCGGACAAAAGCTCACCTCATTTTTTTTTCGTTACCCGGGCGAAACACGGGCTGAAATAAAATGCGGACGTGATGGACATTGCACCATTCTTAGGTGAACTTGTACCCCATCTCACGCAAGGGTTTACTACGGTTGATCGAATGCCATTTCGTCGAAACATGTTTTAGAGAACGGGCACGTTTTATCAAAGCACGGTTTAGAGAAAGCAGAGCCTCAGTTTAGAGATATGCTGTTTATCGAAAAGGGGACGCTGTTTAAAAAAGGCTTTTCTACTTCGCGCGTGTATAACTAGTGCGCGTGTAAACCCAAGCCCCCTGCTGCGCTCCCGCCGCTTCGCGGCGGCAGTCTGCGGCGGCTCATTACAAAAATGTTAACTCAACTGACTTATCCGTACACGCCGCGTCGCGGTGGCCGAATTCGCTAAAAGGAGGCTCATCGCCTTTTTCTCTAAACTACCAACATGAAATTTTCTTCTGGTGAGCTTTTGTCCGGGTCTGTTAAAAAATGGGTGAGCTTTTGTCCGGTGAGCTTTTGTCTGGGATTCATGGCAGGCGTGCTGGCGCGTTGTGGGACGCCTGGGAAGGGAATTTCGCGGAGCGACACCGTAACGACTATTCGGAAATTATTCGAAAAATATTATTCGATTCAATTAAGGAATCGAATAGGGTAATATTCTATTCGTTATTCGAAAATTGTGAATATTCGCACACCCCTAGTTAATTATGATAGTTATTTGATAAATGGATTTAACTAAGGGCTAGTGTGAAGTAGACTTCTCTTATTGATATATACTCGAAGATATTTACCCGAAAATTGGAACGTTCCTTCTCAATATGAGAAAAGACAACTTTTATTACCGGGCTTGACTGATGAGGCAGGGCTTCGCGGAACCCTAAAATGCCTTCGCAGCCCCCCAAAGGGTCCGCGGACCCCCATTTGAGAACCACTGCTTTAGCCATTCCATATGTGTTAATTTTGTGTCGAGACGCCCGTCGTGAAACATTTATGGTTTCGTTTGTTCTGTTGCTTCTACGTCTTTTTTTTTTGTCTGAATTTTGTTGAACGTGTTATTTTCACACCAAAACAAACAAAACAAATAGCGCTATAGCAAAAACAAAAGCAACAAAAAACAACAACAAAGAAATTAGGACAGATAAACAATCAGGAGACGGATGCACGTGCGGCGCAGTGACTAACAGGAAGGCGCCCAGCAGATAGCCCCGGATAGGCCGTGAAAGGTTGACGTTGAATTTGCGCGACCGACCAACAGGTTAGTCAAGGCATCGTCAAGGGCAAACTCGACGAGGGGACAACCTTCCATGCGCTGCATAATTTCGCTCGCCCACCCCCCGAACGTGGGCGTGGCCGAGAGCAACGTGTAATGTTTCAATCCCATAAAAAAAAAAAAAAAAAAAAAAAAACACGCACACAACACGTTGCCCTACTAACTAGAAAGGCATATACACATAGCCGTGCGTGTGTGGCACTGAAAAGAAGCAACGAATGAATGAATGCCGTGTCACATCTCTAAATGACACCGCCGAACAATAAAATCTGTAAAAAAACATCAAAACAAATGATTTTTTCTTTTTTTGACGGGCCTGGATAATTGTCTGGTCAGTTTTGGCACGCTGCGACATACCGTTGATAAGAGCAACTTTATCGTTTACTTTTACTTCTGTTCCTGTATGGACGGCCTAGGCGCGTACAAAATATGAGAGGCGCCCCAGGGGGGGGGGGGGGGGGGGGGGGGGGGGGTAAGAGGTATATTACAGAAACGAAGATAGTGAGAACGTTTAATAGACACAGATTTAATTTCATACTGATATTCGTGAGTGTACAGGTGTGCAGTCTCAAAATGGGTGCGCACATAGTTACCGTTGTTCATACTTCCTGAAATGCTCAACGACAGAAGTATAACGAACAGCGGAGCTAAGTTAAAATATAGTTTTAGGCTTTGAGACTCCCGGATTTCTGTACTGAGTCAGAGCCCCGTACATAACATTTCTTTTTTCTGACTTGTAAACTCATTTCCCTCAAAGAAAACTCCCCCGCAGCGAAAGCTGTCGGTTTCCTTCACACAAGAATTGATATGACTCCAAGAAAAAGCCGACAAGAAAAAAAGAAAAAATACATAAAAATTAACTTGTCCTTCAACTACAGCTACGGAAATGTTTTAGAGAATATGAAAGAGGAATTGTAGCCGCTAAAGGTTAGCGCTTTTTGGAGCTCAAAAACACAAGGGGCGCATTGAGAGGGAGGCAACGGCCTTAGAGAGAAATGTTTATTTTTACACGCGCGATTCAGAGCTGCTGTGCGAGAACTGATTGTTTGCGTTTCGGAATCCTAGCGTGTGCGGTTTGGAGATTCCAAAGTACGCGGGGTCAACCGAGTTCCCCTTCGCGAGAGCGAGAAGCAGCTCAGACGAAAACGAAACTAAACACAAAACGAAAATGAGCAGATTGCAGTCGTGCGTCTGCTCTGCTACGCCGTCTGCTCGTCTGGTTTCGAGGCTTCACTCGTTTCGCCCATTTTGCCCCTGGCGGGGCGTTGGAAAACGAGACTAAACACATAGCAAAAGAAAAATGACGTCATGCAATGGCGATTTGATATGCTACGGTGACGGGTGGGTCAGCATCGTGAAGCATGTTGGCATATCCTTGTAGTTAACGCAGTTAACGTTGATCATCCACACGGCCCGGGATGTTCTACGCGGAGGACGCGCCCTGGATTGGGAGTGGTGGCCCGCAATTTGCGGCGTGCAGTGCGAACAGCGAGAGCTTCGGCATTTAGGCGCCGTCTACGTCGTTTGGAGGAGTCGGCGAGACAGAGGTATGTGCGTGCTTCTCGTAAATACACTTTGTGGTTTTCGTTGCTTTCCGCCGAGGAATTTAGCGCTTTCGAAGTGCCAAGTCCCTTGTGTGCGTTGTCTTGCTCGGTGTTGTGTTGTTCGCTTTAAAAGCTGTCGGTGTCCGAGCACAGCCCGTACTCAAAAATGACAGCTCGGTTGAACGAAAACAGTTGGGCCACGGAGGACCCTGTCTTCAGGCGAGAAGCGACGCTGTGGGAATATATTACATATCGTGTCGTCGTGTGCAACCATTTACACGCGGAAAATAACAAAAGGAGGCGAGAAAATCTTGCGAATTTAACCGCGCATATCGTAGAGTTTGTCGCTGGCATCCATTGCACGGTGCACAGATGTCAAACGGGGTTGGGCAGCCCCGAAGAAAAAAAAAAGTTGTCGTGTTTTAATTTTTTATTGGATAGTTTGGAAATGCACGTTCTTTTACTGATTTGTTCGTTGCATTGTTAAGGGAGATAGTTTTCAGTCGGTGAGCCACCTCTTCGTTAGTTTTTGGTGAGGAAAACTTGCTGTTTATCGCCTCCGCCGCGCTCCTATACGTCCTAAGCCTTATTTCCGCAAAAACTCGACGGGCAAATGTAATTACGGCTCCACCACTCTGAACGCCGGTAAAAGTGAGCTCGTTTTCGTCACTAAAAGTGAGCATTTCCTAAGCTCTCTGTGCGACTTTTATCCGTAGTGGGTGCTTGTGTGTGATGCCGTTTGGCGTCGAAGTAGGTCATGACTGCTGACTGTCTGCATTTCGGTTTCTCGAATCTCGTCTTTCGCCAGGTTATACGTAGGATTCACTCGCAAAACGTCTTGGCTACGCTCACTTCGATCGTTTGTTAAAGCAGTGCGAGCATTTTATGCCTTCCTTTCAGGTTTTAAAGTAACATAAAAACAGATACGTAAAAAGTTCTGTGTCGCCGTCATCCACATCCGCTCATCGCGACATCGGATCGTATTACGCATGCTGCACTACACGACTATGCAAACAAGTGCGACAGAAATATTTCTGGCTCGTCTGTAATTTTCCTCCAAAAATATGGGCGACTTGTTTGCATACAGGCCTGTGTTGTCTGTGTTTTTCACGTCCCGCTTTCGTTATCGTAAATTATACACCAACACGCTCGACCATCTACTGGTTTGTGAACTCGCCTTTCCCTTTTCTCTTACATTATTCTCCTGCACTCGAATGGCGCGTTAAAAAAAAAAAAAAAACAATATGGAAAGACTGCTTTTAATAACACAGTCTGCCTTGTGTCGGTCGTCTTTGCTATGTGCTTGTTAGATTGCCAGAGAGCAAAATTTGCATCCTGGGAAGTGCTCTGCATGTCGATTGGTATACACATAGCATCAATATATTTTCTCCCTTCCTCTTCGTTTTTTATCTTATCGGAAGAACTCCCATTGTGTTCACGTGTAAGAAAAATGCTATCTCTGAGTAGCATACATTTCTCATTCGTGTGACATATAGGGTGGCTCATTCACTCTTATGACCCCAGCAGAAGCGGCTGTTGTGCCAAAAACCTCTATCAGACGTGTGCCAAATATTTTGACGGAAGCTTTCTTTGTCGTTCGTCTCCACCACCATATATTGCCATATATTTCTGGTGTTCCGAGGGGCCTTTGAAATGAACCATACTGTATCAAAGATAGCAAAGACAAACATTCTCCAATTTTATTTACAGTGCACGAGAATGCTGAACTTGCACGCAGGGTTTGCACGGCTCCTTGAAAATTTCAAAACCCCTTGAATTTGTGAAGGCAATTTTCTAGTTCTTGAAAACCCTAGAATTTAAAGTGTCTAAAACCTCTTGAATTTTGTGATTATAGTCAGCAGCATTTTTCTTTTTACAATAACAAGGCATGATTACTATGCATTTTCCTACATTCATTTCAAAATATTCAGCTTCTAAATTTCAGATGAACAGGTTTTACGTAGTAATGCCACAATTAAGACATTTAGTGGATGTTGACTAAGCACTTTTTCACATAAAAAGTAGTTTCAGTTTTGTCGCTTCTACCATTTTCTGGTCTTACGTTGTTTTTTCCTATGTGGTTTGTGGTCATCACACTTCCCCAGCCTGTTTGTTAGCTGTGCTTGGTTGGCTTAGTCCACATATGCTTCACATGGTGCACATGGACATACTGAGGTTGTGTGTGATGCCTGGCAAGTGCAACTTGCAGCGGTTGTGTCTTCCCTTGTGGGAAAACATTTGATACCTCCTTTGAGGGGGAATCAGTGATAGGAAAACCATTTCAGTTGTGAGAAGCACTGTGGCAACATGAAGACGACAGCGGATAGGTCCATGAGTCACTCAATGGACGCCATGCTCAAGTGGTCTGTTGACCAGCAGGCGTAAGGCGAAGGCCTGAACAATGCGTGCAAGATACACGAGCTTGTAATAAAGCGTTTGCCACGTGTTAAAAAAGTCGCCCAATTGTAAAACTACCAGGTTTGGTACGCTACTTTTTTTTAATATATATATCTTTGCAGGGCTTTGAAGGTCATTGAAAACTCTTGAATTTTTGTCCTCAAAACCTTTATGAACCCTGATAACATCTGATGGTTGTCTTATTGCAATCTCTCGAGTGTAGTGATCAGGAATAGGATTTAACTTCTTGTCCCGCACGCTACTCTGCCTAAAATATTAAGGGTCTACTTCCAATAGACCGACCTCACCAACCAGTTTGGCTACGCCACTGCTGTTGTGATGCATCCTAGAAACTTTGGTCTTTTTGCATTTGCAACGACACCCGCAGAGCACGAGCTGCCTCGTGCACTGCCGCCTGCCTCCTGTGAACTAAAGTTTTGGCAGTGGCGCAAAAGCGCTGAATGCATGGTGAGATCGTTCTATTCACATTTTTTAAGTACTTGTCTTTTGACCCTCACACAACGCCTATACTCCATTTATCACTAAGCTAACAGCGGCAGAAGCTGCACAGATGGACCACTTGTCTCTCTGTCATTCTTTCACCAGATATCTATGCTTCTGCTCATTTTCATGCACAGGCAGCGAGGTCAAATGATCAAAGGCAGGCATTTGATTTGTCGAACAAACGCTTAACTTCCACGTCCTGTCAGCATAGCAACCACATGCCAATTTTGTTGTGTTTGCTCAGTGATTGTGAAGCACTCACCAGAGAGCTTCATTATTTGAACACTAGTTGCCACCTGCTTGGCTGAAGTTGTGAATAGCTCCTGTTGGGTTTGGGGCCCAAAACGCATAATGGCAGTTGGTGTTTCATAAAGGGCATCTCGTTCAAGAACCACAGGCAACATTACTGTCTCCTGAAACTTGGGGGCTTTAACCTTTACAGTCGATAAGCTGAAGAAAAAGAAACCCCAAAAATTTGTTCACTGCTTTCTGAATAGTGTGAATGCTGGTCTGTGCACCTTAACTATAGCTGGACCAGTTTAAGGATTTTTGCATCTCCTTGTGTGGATACTTCCCAGTGGTCTTAGTCAGGTTTTATATCTTGAGAATGTAAACAGTGTGCTGTCTCTCTCCTGATGCTGCTCATTTGTGCTTAGCAGCCCAATTTGGTATCTTATCTCTGTTACTCATGCTGTGCTGGGTCAGACTTCCAGTGGTGTGTCCCTGGGTCTGAACTTGTCTGATACATGGTCCTTATCAGTTTGAGTGTGTCTGACCTCTGCCCAAGATAGAGGGAGTTTGACTTCTGCTCATTAGTTTCCACTGCATTCCAAACTTCTCTGCTGTCTAAAGAGAGGCTTTAAAGATACCCATGTTTGAGGGAAAACCTGCATTTGGTTAGATGCTGCTATACTTCGTTTCACAATAACTTGGCGCATGGTGGAGGCTGTGGCCCCCGTGATTCAAGAAGGCCGTTGGAGCAAGGCGCGTGACAACACTCCATGGTCGAAGCCACGGAGGCCTTGTTACCGCCACAGCAGCAGTGCCGTTCGCGACGAAAAGTAGTTCTAGGCTTCTTTTTCTCTTAATGGCAATTGAACTCGTCCAATTGCACCTCTAGCTACACTACGCTAAATGACATGTAAGAAAAACGACGACATTACTTTTCTATGATTCTTAATTCGGATCAAGCCGCTTTGGGAGCAATGTGGCTTTTGAATGATGTTTGAACGATTGCAGCTCTGTAATCGACTGCTTCTGCTCAAAACGTCGTCCTGGCATTAGCACCTGCCACAGATTTTCAGGTAAGTTGTGCGTATGGTTATCTCGTAAACTGTTCCAGAAGGGATCGCTACTCTAGCGGTGGGCAATGTTGCGGTGGTGTACGTTTATCCGAAGTTGGTTGGTTTCACAGCAGACTGCTCTTGGCCAGCAGACGACAGCCGGTTCCTCTGGGCCTCGCATTTGGCAAAATGACACAAAAGCTCCCGTAATGTGAGATCACGTGCCTCGCTCCGACTCTCTTATTGGGTCGCGGGGACTGTAGCCTCTACAGTTAGCCAAGTTACTGTGAAACTGAGTATAGATGCAGCACTAAAGATTTAATATGTTTTGTACGAAGTGCTTGATTATGGTATTAAGATGCCACCCAATAAATTTTTGCGAAATAAAGTCACGCAGAAACAAGACGATAATCGCAAGGGATTCAAGATAATTGCGAAGGAATGTTATGTCAGACTCTGGAAGTCACATTTATTGTTTCATGTCCCGTGACTATGCGTTGTGTGTTCCAAGCTTCTTTTTCTTTTTTTAATCTGTATTTTTTCGGTTTACGGGTTGTCAAAACAATTAGGTTTGGCAAATTTCTTATTAAGATATGGCCTAGACTGCTTTTGTGTTGTCATCTTGCTTGACTGAGGAAAAGGGGGGGCAAGGGGTTCAGTCAGTAGTGAGTTCCTGACCAGTTGTTTTTAACTCTGAAGAAAGCCGGTTCATAGTTTGCTTCTTGTCGTTCACGTCTCTGTGCAAATCTAGGCATGCATCGATATGTCTCTGTGCAAATCTCGGAATTCAATGATACCTTGATGGTATGGATACCATCAAGGTATCATTCTATTTAATGATACCTTGGTGGATATTTTAGTGTTAATTAAAACCCATTTCCACTTTTGTCATATGAGCTCCGGATGAGAGTTCCCATCTTGCAAAAAGTTTCAATCACAATTCATGTTCCAGTACCATTTGCTATGTTCCCTATGTTGTCTTTATATGCATCCTTCTTGGGTTCAGCACAGTGCTTAGCCCACTTGACTGGAACACAAAGCACAAACAGGCTTCTCTGTGCCAAAATAATTGGCATATGACATCACACATTTTTGCAAAACCAGAGACTATGGACGAAAAAGGGGACAATACACACGTCTTGTGTGTTGTCCCCTTTTTTGTCCGTTGTCTCCGGTTTTTAAAATATGTGTAACATCAACCAGCTCGCCTGCCTACTCACTCTATCTTCAATCATATGACATCCCTGGGAATGTGCTTGTGCATACTGGAGGCGTTAGGTAAATGTAGATGGGCTCGAAAGAAGCCACAATGTTTGGCACTACTAGTTCTATAAAACAAATGCATTAATAGAAAAAGGTTCATATCTACCAACGGTAGTCCCAGAGTGTTGTTTCAGTCAGGTGTAGCTCTGTTGTACCCTTCAAAGTTCATGATTTCATGAAAAGAGAAGCTCTAAACATGTTACATAACCAATTGTCATGTAGCTGTTCAGAATGAGGTATGACTTGGGTCTTCTACTTAGACAGGGTTCTCTGAAGTGCAGGGTGGGTGCGCTGGTTTGTGGTTGGTACATGAAGGCCGGGATCGCAAACTACAGAGTTATGACTCGGTTAGCTGTTCTTTAATTTCTATAAAATAAAACAGTGTTTTGCACCTTCTGACATGTTCTAGTTCCTCTCTGCAAGTGCATTCCTATTTCGGTTTAATGCAATCCGCATCGGAGGCTATAGGCTGCATCTTGCTTGAAGTGGGCGGCATATAATTGAGCAGCCAGTTAAGAGCTCGCAGTGCACTTGAGAAAGGTCCAGTATTTGCAAGACGAAATACACTACTGAGGTCGACGTAGCTTGCACACATTTATTGACAGGAGGCTATGTCGCACATTGACCCAGCGACTGCCAGTGCTCGCAGAACGCTGGGCTACAAGCGACACTGCTGGCACTCGTCACACTCTCTGACAGCTGTAGCAAGGTTGCAGTAGTTGAGTGAGTCTATGCATGATGACAATAAATTAAACAGTGCAAAAAAGGACACGGGGACAAGTTTTTGTGTATCTTCCACTTGTTCCTGTGTCCTTTGTGCTGTTTTATCTATTCCCATCAGTAATGTTTCTCGTCGATTGTGGAGTGCTGTGATGTCTGGAGGGCGGCTCGTTCCCGGTGACCACAGTGACGCTCACGACTCGATGGTTGAGTGAATAAATATATATTTACATATGACGAACAACTTTTTACAACACAAAACAAGGGAACGTCACACTTGGCGTACTGTCGCTCGCGACAGCGTAACGCCAACAATGGCGCCTCGGTGCCAAGTCTCTTGCCGCGCACGGCAAGTTCTCTTTCCCGCAAGACAGAGTATGCGGAGCCGTCGGGACCGTGGGAGTAAGCGACTTGCTTCGCGCACGGGCTCGTTCAAACTCAACTTCTCCAAAAAAGGCACGCCGACATTCCGAAGGGAGGCCGGACCTCCCTCTCTCTCTCGGAGTCGCCGACATGGCCTTGACAAAGTCATTTCCCAAGTACCCCGGCGGCAAGGGCGACCACCCGCTCCCGCCTGGGGAACAAAGACTTTGTTTACTTCCCACGCAAGGAAATCTGCTTCCACTTTCAGGAGCTGGCCGCTGCTTGCCGCTAAAGGGAAAAACGTGAGGCATCGGGCGCCTCCAAAAGACGCTTCGTGTGACCACGCCGCTAATTCCCAGAGCTCTTTTGGCTAAGCTCCTTCGGCCATCCCTACACCATCTGTGACAGCTGGCCTACAAATCATCTGTCTACCCGAAGACAGGATGTGCAGCTGCCACCTGGCCTCCACCTTGAATCTCCCCCACCTGATACCCTGAATCCATTCAGAGCTTAGCTGCCAGATTCATCTTATGGACTTAAAAACATGCTGCCAGTGTCTGGGCTATGACGGCTTCACTGTACTTCGCCACTCTGTGTACTTGCCACAGGATATTGCATCTTTTATCTCTTCCACGAGATGTTTTATCACCTCTCGCAACATTTTCTGCTATCTTCTTCGTTCACCTCAACAACATTTTAACTCCCTTAGTGTATGTCGCCTCTCTGGCTCCCAGTCATCAAGAAAAAGTGTGTTCAACATAACATCATTTGCACTAAAACTTCTGCATTGGACACGCAGACAGCAAAACAAATATATTCTTAATTTCGTTTTTTGACCTTCACTTTTAATCACAAGCAACTTTCTACGGAAATTAAGCAGTCATGCAGGTGCTCAGAAACTGTACCGAAGTACAGTACTCGCATGTGGAGTTGATCAGACAGTACGCACAGTGACACCGTGACTGTAGCACGCACCATGCTTGAACGCCTTGCTCACAAAAGGGAGGTCTAAAGATGACTAGAACAAAAAATGGAGATGCTGCTTTTTAAAAATCGCGCATGCACACAAAAAGAACTTTTAGCAACGTCTAGGGCTCTGGGCTGCACTGGCCGATTGGCGACTGGCGCTGCAGTGACGGTTGCGGCTTTGCCTTTTGGCGCCTCTAGGTTTTACCACCGCAAAACAAACTTACTGACAGCTGTCAACTTTTTGTTTTTATTTTGACGTCTATGTTTGCTTTTACTTTCTTTGAGGACTATTGCTTAAAGTTAGCAGCAAGAAAAGAAAAACACAGGACACACACAGATGACACTCAAAAAGAATAGCTGTTTAGCCTCTTATCATTGTCAGATGTACTTTGTTTCACTTTACGATCAACCATGATGTATGCTACAAGCTACCTGTGCCAATCCATGGCTCGTAGCTTGTCGCACAACTTTGTGCTCCCTGCGTCGCACAGCCTAACCGCGGTCGTTTCCCAGGGAACCGGTAACCACCACATGAGATTAGTGTTCCTTCCCGGTTTGGGTTTAGTATCAAATCCTTGATTTCGGTTACTGTTTTGTTCTGGTTTGGGTCCAATGTTAAATGCTTGATTTTAGTTACGGCTTTGTTCAGGTTTTGCCAACGAACGGTTTGGCTCCGGTTTTTGGTTCAAGTTCGGATCGACACACTGATTAGCCTCAATTGTTTTCTGTCGCAGTCCACCACCTAACTCACAACTAGAATATGTTAGCACGCATTTGTTTTTTGCCCACGGTTCGTACGAATTCTTTTCCTGCGCGTTAAACCCCCTGTTGCAGCCCCCGGTTGCAAATAATCCAAAACTAATGGAGTGTGAGGCATTTTAAAGGTTTTATATTGGCAGGCTCTTTGCACAGGCTGAATTTCTTCTATACGGCAGACAAACTGTCAAATGTTTTGAAGGAAACAGCTCACCCTTCAACACTTCTACAGATCGCTAACTATGTGATGTCTCAAATGGTTCAGTATAGCAGGCCTCACCGAGTATGTTGGCGAGCAGTTACACAAGGGAACACACCAAACGCCATGCGACAAACGTGTACAGGCCTTCACCTAAAGGCATTTTTGTTCACTACTTCGGTGTCCTGTAAAGTCGTCCAGTTTTCACTTTTCTCCACACAGCTTAAAGGTTGCCAGCAAAGCTACTACAGCATAGTGGAATGTGCACAATGAGCACACATACTTGGGTAGAAAGATTTGCAGTCAGTACCGACCTGTGCTAAAAGTAAAATACGAAAAAGCACCGGTGTTGTATGTCGAGCGTTTTTATTCAAATGCTGTCAATTTATTCACAGTATTTAGTCTTGCAAGTTCTCCACTGTACAGGCTCTGTGGCCTTTCTGCCAGCCGCCCATGCCTCCCGCATTCTCACTTTTTCCTCAAATAAAGATTGATAAGAGACATGATTGCCTAACTTTTTGGCAACTCCGATTCCGCTGCCCAGATGACCGGCGGCCATGGCAAGTGAGGAATCCATCGCCAGCTCCCTGAGCCACACGCTACTCTCGCCAGTCCTAGTCCATTCCAAGCCGTCCTCGTCGTGCGCCCAGCGCCACCAGCGGCATCCCAGCCTGGACCTGCTCGGCCATGCCGTGCCGGGGATGGCTCACCCGGTCACGCCGCCGCCTTCCGCCACCACGACGCACCAGCGCCACCTGCACCGGCACCAGCGCAATCTGAGCCTGGACTCTGCCATGCGGGCGCTCAATCCGTCCTCGCACTCCGCGGGGGGCGACACGGCGGACCGGCGGAGCCTGGCGTCTGATGACAGCGGCATCTTCAACTCTGACGATGGCGATCGGACCGCCCGGGTGATCGCGGACGTGGTGGCGCTGCCAGCCATTCCGCCGTGTCAGTTGACCCTGCGGCCGCCCGTGCCCGGGGTCATTGACGAGGTCCACTCGCCCGCGTCGCCGCAACGGGTGGGTCCAGAGTTTCCTTTCCAGGTACGACGCTGCTTCTAAGCGTAGCACCCAGTTTTACTGACTTCACAGCACACAAAATATCACACACACTAGCATTTGGGACAAATATACAATGTACACACTACTGTATTCCCTACTCTTTTATATTTCATCTTTGTTTTGTTCATCTGTTAAAGAGTTTCGAGGTCAGCGCTGTGTGTATGTTGTATGTTTGTCCTAAATACTAGTGTGTGTGCAATATTTGTGTGCTGTGAAGTCAGTAATATGTTCAACCAACTCACCGAAGCTGCAGTTTTCACACTGTCTTGTTGCGGCATTTTTGCAGTTCAGTTTTTTGGTGGGATCTAGGAATGTTCTGGAGGACCTCGGAATGATGGCTGAATTTGGCCGAGAGACATGGCTTATTTGTAGCTAGACTAGGCTGACATCAAGAGCAAATTGGCGGAAAATATGGAGTGGGCTAACTTTCGATGTGCAATCAAGAAAAGTTTTAAAAAATTGCTCTTTTTAGGTCGTGTCCCTTCCAAGCTTGTTATGGTGGCAAGGGGCAACGAAGCAAAGACGACTGTACTTCGCAATCAGCAATGTTTGCTTATATCCCGCCATGGCAAACTAGCCGCATTTAAGCCGAGGCCATCATTGATCCCAACACTACTATTGCTAGGAAAGGCCTATCTTTCAGTGTTTAAAAAAATATAGGAAATCAAGCCAAAATTCTAGAGTAACTTTTTTTTCTGAAACTTTCACACTGACTGTGCTCAAAAGTCCCCAAAAAGTCTATGCAAGGGGTGTACATCTACGTGCTTTTTGATGCAGTCTCATTCTTGTCGTTTAGTACTGACAAGCTTTGTTAGTGGATATCTTTTTATATTGGGCACTTTGAACATTGAGACTGATATCAAAATATGTGCCACTTTGTCGGCTTATTTTTTGCTTCCCTACAACGAACACTGGCGCAACCTTTATTGGCGCGAGAATACAAGCTGTCTGCTGGTCTCAAACGAGTTTTCAGTTGTTCTGTGGGATTCTGTAAATGCTCCAGAAAACTTGACAGATTTTGTGGGAGCATCTGAAAGCATTTTCAATCGGGAATTCTAGAATACTGGTCCCCCAGAATGGGATGTTTCACATTTTGTTAAGCAGTTTGTAAGCTGTTTACAAACGACGCTCGTGCATAGCTTTGTTCGTAAATATTATGTTGACCGTTCGAGTAAATTCAGTTTTTCTTGGGGCTCATTGATTCAACTAGTTCCTCTCACCAACCTTGCTTTTACTATGGCATTTTCAGGAGCTGCTTTCGACATCCGAGGAACAGAGGTCTGCTCCGAAGCAGTCGCTGTTGCTGCGGTTGTTTGAGTCCACGCTGTTCGACATGCCCCTGGCCATAGACTACCTGTTCCGTTCAAAAGATTCTGGGGTGCTTGCATACATCGGTAAGTCCGTTTCTCGTTACAATGTTGATCTATTTGGCGAACACTCTCGCGTTTAAAGCTGCTTACCTCCGGCAACCTGCACTTATGTGCGCAGTTTGTATTTGTGCACCATTACCTATAGTTTGACAGGTTAAGAAGCCAGGATATGCTCCGCAACCAACACGCGCTCATTGACTTTCGTCCAGCTTTGACTGCGCGTATGATGAAGTGTTATTGAAGGCAGACAACTCGTGTTGGGAGGCGAAGCATCTACCGAATTCTTAACCTGTTGTCGACAATAAACCATATGCCGTTCGTAAGCATTTTCAGATGATGATGCCGATAGTAGTAATAATTGATCTATTCACACTGTTGCATTCCTGGGCATCTAGAGTAGAGCCTCGGTGGTACATTTTTCGGGTGATCGCGGAGACTTGTACAGTCCAGAGAAACATAACAACCAAATAACGCTTTTGAAAGTCTAGGTAAGACAGGGAGCAACTCTTTCTCAGCATTCATTTCAGATGAACTTTCACGGTTCTGGAGAACTACATATTTACACAAAAATAAAGCAAGACTTTTTTTTTTTTTTGGTTGTGGTTGATTAATAATGGTAATTAAAAGATGTCGACTTAGGAGTGGGCAACAATTCTGTGCCCATTGAGTTAAGACAGATGCTCTCCCTCATCATCCGCGGCTCCTAGGATGCCGATGCAGAGCAGTGAAGCTCTATGCGCGCGCCAGTGCAGAGCACCGAAGCTTATTATGCACGGTGCATGTTTATGAATTAGAAACGATATGCAAAGTGAAAGTAGCGAAACCAGGAAATCCAAGCATCGCAGAAGCATGCGCACACATGCATACATCGGAGAAAGAGATGCAGAGATCAGAAAGAAAAAGAGATGCAGAGCAGCGAAGCTCTATGCGCGCGCCATTGCAGAACATTGAACGCTATTTTGCACAGTGCACGGTTATGAATTTCAAGCTATACAAGAACAGACCCAGGTGGTGCCAGTGCATTGAGTGGAAGTTTCTGGATGTAACCGCTGGGAAAGCGAACGCAGCAAATGAACCGATACACATATCCCTACGGGAGTTCAACAGGACTGGCAGTTGTGATTTTAACAACCGGGAAAACGCCTTGATCGAGAACATCTCAACGAGGTTTTGCTGTATTATGTCTTAGTTATTGGGTGCATGGGAGTGAACATAGGTCATAACCTGTTTCGCCTCCTTTTAAACGGAATGCGTTTTATAGGGTGTTCTCTACGAGAAAATTTTTGTGAACGAGTGTCGCAACAATTGTCGTAGCAAGCGTCGTGAACGAGCGGCACGCCGCGAGCGTTACAGACGTTAAGATTTTATGTGAAGTTAATAAAGTTAGAGCCCCGGCGGGTCTTGAACGGTGGCAGTATGATATCATGTGTGCTGGTGAGAGCAGCAGGTTTTGGGTAAAAATGAAAACCGAAACAAATAAAAATATGTAACAAATATACACCCATCAAATGAATCGATAATAATAAAAAAAGTAAAGTAAAAGTTAAATACTAAAATAAAAATAAATTAAGTAGGAAATAATAAAATAGTAAAACCACAATAAGATATGAAATAAATGCAAAAATACTTGTAAGCTAAACAAAAAATAGATAATAAAGATCTAGAACATTCGACACCATCATCAAGCCTGTATCTTTCGTTTTACAATGATAGCTGTAACTTTTTTTAATTTGAATTTTTTTATTTATATTTCATTTGGTATGACCATATTTCATGCGCAATAATTTCCTCATAACATTTGTGCAGAAAGCCCACTTACTGTTTGTCTTTATCCTTAAACTTGACTGTGCTTATAAAAACATTCCTAAAACTTTCAATGTTCCACAATTCAAATAGCTTTTTAGTTGCACGGGCTCCAGGCAGTATTGGAACGGGGACCTTTGTGACGGAGCTTGGAGCAACAAATCCTAGAAAAAGGGCCTTAAACCAGGACAAGAGTCCTTGTGAGCGACATGGCTAAGTTCAGCAAGTGCTGTTTTGCCTGGTGGTTTTTGCGTGCAGTGGCACAATTTGCGTTCCTTCTCTATTCCAACAGGAAACAGGATGTTCAGCTTCAGCGACGCCGACGTGGACTTTTATCTCCCACAAATCGTCAGCATGTATGTGCATCACAGCGACATTGCCGACTCTCTGCGCCCCTACCTAGTCCAAAGGTAGGTCGCCACCATCGTCTTTTGTGCATGCACACGTTGCACGCGCCTCGCTGTACACATGTCAATGTGAGCACGTCGTGGGCATCCGAATTGTAGTTGCAAAGTAATACCGCAACTCTCTTAGTTGGACAAGGCGAGTCCGTCATCGTCGAGGAAGTTTGATCGTAGGGTAGCGATAGCTGAGGGAATCTTCTAAATTGTGCTTGTAGCTTTGTCTGCACTCGCTCGAGTGCACGTTCGTGAAAATAGTGTCATCCACTTTTTACGCGCCAATCGTCGGTCGGCCAAGAACGTCGAGATGCAAGAGTTGTTGATGGATGAGGACGTAGAAATCCGTAACTCGCATTGAGCGACGTCAGCATTTGTGTCGTGGTTACGTTTGCCGAAACGGATGCGAAAAACCCGTGCAAGTTCGGGGAACCGAGGAGGCGTTTCATGGGACGCAGCTTCACAGGATGCCGCGTGCAACCTTCGTTTCAGGTGCAGCAAAGACACTGACTTCTCCCTGCAACTTGTCTGGCTGCTCTCCGCCTTCTGCTCGGACCCCAACGCGCCGCCCAGGAAGCGCTCCCAGGGGGTTCAGCTCAAACACCTAATACTCTCGGAGGACCTCAGGTATGTCCTGGAGGTTACGCCGACGACTTAAACCGCAATTTTATTTGGAGCTGTTCGGGCAGTCACTTGCTTGTGGTACGGGAAGACGAGAGTTACTCCGAGCCGTAATTTGTACAAGGGAGGATTGCGAGACGGTTGAGAGTAGATTGCTTCGAAGAATCCCTGCACGTAACGCTCCGCGTGTTGCCCATTCCTTTCCGATGGTCTAGCTTCCACTCCAGAGTGCGGCATGACCCTCACGGCTCGCAGGTAATTTAAGAAGCTTAGGACATCGAACAGACTATGGAGCAGGACGACCGGTCCAGTATACTCCTTCCATGTGCCATCGTATAGTCTTGTGTTTACATGTGCGCAAACACTGGCACTATCGGGAGACCAAGAAAATCCGCCCCGTCATTCTATCCGTATCGGTGGGCAACACTACACTATTGTAAATTTAAGGAAAGCTGTACATTCAAAAATGCAAGCACCACATTTGGTCTCAACGGGATGTCTTGAGGTTGGCGAATTGAAACGGAAACTGTGGCCAATGGGTTCCCGAGATGCTTTGCGTGGCACCACGCTGCTAGGATCGCTTCGATTTTGCAAGAGGTCTATTTCGGAGGTCTAACGGCATGTACCTTCTTTCTAGGCCACGTGTTTCCGTCCAGCAGTCCGGCTCATTTTTGGCGGTCTCGACGAAAAAGACGCACCAGCGGTCGCTCTCTGATGCCACAGGTCAGTTGTGTGGTCTTGGGAGGGGTATGGAGCTGCACTTGCTTCTTGTGAACTGAGGTCAGGTGCGTGACCTCCTGCCAAGATCGAGAGACTGTCTTCTGCCACTATTGGCACGGATGGAACTGCTGTGCCATTGTGCACCTAATGACGTTTCATGCGCCGCACTGATACCAAAGTATAAATAAGATGGAAATTGCACCAAGGTGCGCCCAAACTGAAATTATAAATGAGCCTCGTCGAAACTAGCCGTCTCGCAGTTTTTGTTGGCAACATTGACATGGGAACTTCCGGCCCAAAGGGAACGCCGGTGGATCCGAATCCAAAGCTCAGTATCCGAAGGTCGCACCCATAGTTATATCTCGTTTTAGCTTAAAACAGCTGTTACAGCATCCCTCATTGCAGTGCTCCTGCCACCAGACCTCTTTGAAGAATTCACTGTCACTCTGCTTTGCCCAAGTCCACATGCAGATGATGCTACAAGTGTGAGCTCTGGACTTTCATTGTCTCTGCCAAGAATGCGCACTCGTGCAGTGTAAGCACTGTTCAAGGCCACATGCTGGTGCTTGTAGCATCAGCTGCGTCTGGACACAAGCTGAAACAAAGTATAGCTGTCTTTGCTGTGTGCTTTCCTGGAGTCACTTAATCTGAGTAGTGGAACAGACAGCTCCGCCATTTTGCGTTAAACTCAAATGTATTTAAGTTGGCATGCCTCCCTCTTGGCTGTACTTGTGTGACTGGATGTTTTCACTGTTTACAAAAATCTCAATCCACACGTAAAAAATCAGTCCAGCCAACGCTCGCTCATAATTGCATCACACGCGTGCATCACACACAAGCACAGCAATGAACGTGCCTTAATACGCTTTTGTGGAAAGGTGTATTGCAAGCCCGCAGCCCGTGTTGGCCCGCCTCAAGGCTCCGCGCAGAAAACGTGGGAACATAACAAAGGCGAGCGAGCAGTGACGGCGCAAGGTTCGAGCCGAAAGCTATTGCTTGTTTATATTTACCTCTTTGCAAGTCGGTTCCATCACGTGTCACACTGTTGTGCTGTTCTGCTTTAAGTGTTTTGGTTAATTTCTCGTAATTTGTGTGAAAAATGCTTCAAATAAAATGTTAATTGAAACTACCGTTAACATGAGGTTATCTACATGCCACATTTCCTTGAGTTTTGAAAACCAGGTGACATTTAGCCTCTATTTTAACATTCTTAAAACTCGTACGCTGCTCCCAACTTGGTCCAAGTCCTCGTTTTTGTTGCTCCCAGCCTGCACCAAACTGTAGTTTTTTCTCTGCTCCCAAGATTGCTCCAAAGCTGCTTTGCCCAGCTCCAACCCTGTATTTGTTTTGGGAGGAAGGAAATGTAAAATATAAAGATTTTTTTTTTATTATTATTTTAGCAATGTTTCTTTTTTTTTTTTTGCTTTTCTGAAGTTGGAAAGGCGACGTCGAAAGCGTAGTGCATTGTTTACCAGAGGTGGATTTCATGTCGGCATTTTGAGGTGGCATACACTTATCGGTTTTACTGTTCACCGGCTAAATTCGTTCGATGCAAAGCAGAAGTTCTTTCTGTTGCATCCTTGAAAAGAAAACTCCCGGAAGCCTCGGAGGAGCAGCCAACATTTTGCTACTTCAGGGCCTAAAGAAGCCGAACCCCTTCTCGAAACGTTGCTGCTGGCTTCCGGGAGGTTTCTTTTACATCGGGAGTTCTCAAGTGCGGAACTCCAATCTCTCTCGATTGATAGTGAGGAGACCCTTTGTGTCTCGGCACTGTTCCAATGAAGCGGCGCACAAGCCCACGGACCTTGTAAACAATAATGCACACATACCAGGGAGTGTTCGTCTCGTCCGTATTTGTGCAAGAATGGAAGGCTCAGGCCTGCTGAAATGGTGCTTAAATTAGGCTGTGGAAACCATGGCTGTGGAACCCATGGCTGTGGAACCCCTGCATTCCTAGGAACTATGTTCGGGAGCCTACATTTTAAGTTCTCCCTCCAACCTGCCTCGGCACGACTTGGAGCGTTGTTTGAGCTCTTCCCCGTCGTAACGCCCGCTTGTTCCCCAGGGATGGGGGGCGGTGGCCGCCACATGCCGGACGGGAGCCGCAAGACGGCGCTGGGCGACCTGGGCTCCGGCCACGCCTTCGACAACGGCTGCACGTGCCACGACAGCTGCGATGGCATTGTCAGCGACCTCCGGGGATTCAGCAGGAAAGAGTGCCACTGCCAGGTGGGGCTCTCCTTATCTCCCGTGTCCTCCACGCCAGTGCGGCGCCCGGGGTGGGGATACCCGCCGTCTCGGGTCGACCTTTCGGTCACTCTGGTTGACGCCGAATCAGGTCGGTGTTCCGCAGGAACATCCGGAAGTGCGGCTGTTCTGCGTGCAAACGTCCACCCGCTGCAAAGCAGCAGGACCCAGTATGGCCTTGCCGCTTCAGACTGACCTCCTAGTCTCAGTTGCGTGTCTCCACACTAAAAGCGGTGCTGGCATTTAAACTCCCTACTTCTGTGATAATATGGTGCGTCTACCCATTTGTTGCAGCACGTCGCGGTTCATACTGCATATTCCTTGCCGCGATATCCCGAGACAACCTGTCCCCTTTGTCAGTCCAGTATTAATGCAGGATGTGTTTAGAGCAGTTTTCTATGTGCACATCGGCATGAACGGGTGACACGCTGGTACTGTTACGGATGTTAAGGTTACCTATGATGTTTATATTGACAGTTCAATCCCGAGCAGTGCTCGAACCTGGGTCGATGCGGTGGCAGTCGAATACTACACCGAATGATCTGGTCTAGAAGAGTAAATTATGTTATTCAAATACAAGCGTACAGGTGAAAATGGAAAATTTAAAAAAAAGTAAAAAATGAGATGTTTACAAATCTCTGCAATCCGAAATTAGAGTGTAGCTGTTGAGAAGGAGCAGGGGAGGGTACAGAGGGGAGGGTTTGCCTCTCCTCCTCTCCCCACCTCCTCCTCTTCCTCCATAGCCTCCCCTCCTCCCCTTCCTCCCACAGTTTCCCGCTAAATTTAGCTGAAAAATTGACCATACGTGACCTCCACACCAATTCAGTTTCCCCGGTAAATTTAGCGGAAAAAATTACATTACATGTCTTGGTGTCATGTCATCTACGAACAAATTCAGTCGCTAAACTTAGCGGGAAAATTGACATCACAGGATCTCAACAACAGTTCAGTTCCCCGCTAAATTTAGTGGGGAATTGAATTTATGTTGAGATCAAGTGACGTCCATTTTCCCGCTAAATTTAGCACGGTTATGCCGACACCGCGAAGCACGGGAACGGGTGCCTAAGAGCTGTGCTCAAAATTATATAATAAAAATAATACAAAAAATTTTGCACACACCACCTATGTTATGGGGTTTGTGCAGGACACACTCTGTGCTCCCTGGTCTTTGTCGGCATGGTCGGGCCTGTTTAACTTTTTCTGTTCTTGAAAGACAGCTAAGCGATAATCAGCTCCTTAAAGTCTCATTAGCTGGGTTCAGGCTATTTGCAGTAAGAGGTTTAGACACAAATACCGACTGTTCCTTCGATAAATTGAATGATGGCTGGATCCGCTCCTTTTTTTAAAGCAGTCTGGAAATTCTGCCTAAAAACAGATTTGGCACGAGACTTCTTCTTATCGATAAATATGCTCCTTTGTGGATAATGACAGGGGTGGCTTTATTCAGTTAGTACTCAAGAAATTATGTGATACCAAACCGTATTATGTCGCAGCAAGTTCAGGACCATATGAACTATCCGTGCAAGAAAGTAATTATACACGAGAAGCGATGGCCTTTGTGTTCAGACAGCAAATCCAAGGGTGCCTGCCATCACCTCTTTATTGAGGTTTCCAGGAATTTCTGTTGAGCCAGGTTAGTTGGGAGAGCATGGTAAATTAAAGGGAGGACAAAAGAATAAAAGTCAAGATATTTTTGTGCTCAATTTTAACGGCACAGCCAGCGAGCGGCCTTCCAAGTGTACCACGTCCTGACCATCCGCTTTTTTCATCGTTCCTTGCAGGCTCCTCGTCTGACCTCCCAGAACCAGTTCATAAAAGTGCTCATCTCCCTGGGCCTTAGGCTACAAGCCGTGCCTACAAAAGAGCTCAAAAGTGAGGCACTTGCTGTTGTACCTCGTTTTACGAAAGTGTGGACTGCTCACGCAGGACAGACATTCTGGGCATTCAAAAGCAGAGCTCACGGGACCTGATGAACCATATTTCGTCAACAACTGTTAATTAGCTAAAGAAATCTCCGACTGGATGGGAACGGCAGGGCGTCTCTTTCTTGTGCACAGCCTCCTGCGTGCGCTCGTTGCCTATTGTCGTGCTTTGGGCGCACGCTGGTGGGATGCCAGAGCATTGTTGAAAGTATGACGCTGTCCCTGGTGTTCTAACCCTATTGGCGAATAGAGTAATACTTAACCCTCATGCTAGAGCACTGAGGGCAACAGTAATCCTTCGTTACCCAACTCTGCGTGCCATGAACGACGACTTAGTTGCGGGCTTCACATTTTTTAGAGATGCTCTCGTAGTACTCTTCTTTTCTGTGGCTTAATTTGAGGTTGGTGAGCTGGATATGGGGACACGTCGAGCTTGTGAGGCCGGCTTGAGGATCGGTTATGGCTTATGCCGTAACGCTCTAATGCTTTCACCCATGGCGGCATGCAGCCCAGCGGCTTCAGGCAGAGCTGTCGATGGTGAACCTGAACCTTCCGGCGCGGGTGTGGCTGCCCCTCCACTCGGACAGCTTCCCCCACCTGGTTGTCAGGGTGCCGCCCCAGGCAGCCGTGGTGCTCAACTCCAAGGACAAGGTGGGTCTCCGCAACCAGAAGCATTTGATTGCGGCGTTTCCTTGTCCTGCTTTTGAACCTGCGCCTTCGAGAGACTGACCGGTCGTTTATGCGCGTGGTCGCTTGCTCAAGCGCATTTGCTGGTAGTTGACGAAGATAAAATATTTCAATGGTAAGTTGTCTTTCGCCGGAAGGATGTTCCGAACCTTAGAACCTGCACTTTTTATTTTCCTAACGAAGCAACTAATTAAGGGGGGGCACTGGCTAGAGGTCGAACTTCTTAACTACTCTAGTGATCGGAGTGAAATTTGCAGGGGAGATTTAGCTTCACATGTAGGTGTACTGTGCAAACTTTCAGCTCTCTAGGGCAAATTAAATACCTGCATAAGATGATCTGTCACTCTTTATTAAGAAATCTATGATATGCAAATGAAGCTACTAAGCACTGTTTTGACTGCTTGAATGTAAAGTGGGGAATATGGGACCTCGGGCTATCTAGTTTTAATAACTTAAGGGGGGATACGGCCACGAAATTCCATTTTTTTCCGAAAAAATGCATTTTCAAAAAATATTATATTTGGGTTCACTATGTTCGGAAGCATAGTTTCAGAAAGTTTTATTTATAAATGCGCAGTATTTATTTCGCAAAAAATTATTTTCGGCAAGCTCGCGGCCGCGCGCGGCGACCCGCCGAGCAAGCAGACGGCGAAGTTCGGCATTTTCAAATTAGGCCTACTCCGCGCTCGTTCGACGCAGCCGAGATATCTTACCCTCGTTGGAAGCAACGTTTCTTCTAGTTTCTGCCCATAGAAGCTTGCTACGTTTGAGGCTATCTGTGTCCCGGGAGAACCCCGTACATACAAGCAGAAAAAACGTGGGAACTATGATACCAGCAATCCCATTGGTTGTGACCCGAAACAGGGCTCACGATTGGCCGCCTGCGTGCGCTATCGGCAGCTTCTTTCGCTTCTGATCGTATCGCTTCTGATCGTATCGCCAGTTTGCCGCTGTTTAGATTCGTTTTCCCTCTTTGTTCCCGGTAGTTTTTCTGCCGAGAAATGCCTGCTTCCAAAGTTAGCACTCGCAGTAGCTTTGGCCGGCGTTCTCAACGGCGGAAACAAAGGGCCGGCGGAGACGGGGACCCGTCTCCGCCGGCACCATCGTCGCCGTCTCCGCCACCGTCGTCACGATCTCCAAGCTCAACTGGTGCTTGGCGGACATCGGAGCCTACAGCTTCATCTCCGAATCGGATGTGCTCACCACGTTCGAGAGGAAGCTCAGCCTGCGCGATTTCGACGCGGGGATTACGGACGACCCGGAGCTGACAGACGCTCCCGTTGAAAAGCCCCTGAACGGCTCCTCAATGTGTCCGCCATGCAGACTCTTGTTGCGATTTTACTCTGCCTCAAGTGCCACGGAAAACTACTGAGCTTGCAAGAAGTTGACATCAACGTTTAGTTTGTTGTTAGCTGCTCGACTTGCGGAGACATCGTCGCGACACCGCACTCACCATCAATCGGCAAGTTTCGAGAGAACAAACTCGCGGTACGTCTAGGCGTCGTTGGAAGAGACTGTGGCATCAGTTTCACAAAGCTCACGAATCTCTTCGGGGGCCTCAAAGCAACTGCCCTCCTCATGCTCATGTAGTTGAAGGTGCCACCAATGACTCGGGTAAATTTCGAGTTTCTGGCACCGTCCGAAAATAAAAAAAAAACAAGTTGAAACTTCAAACGCATTTTTCTCAGTTTCACTTTTTGGCAGGAATTCTTGTTTTAGGAAAGCTATCATTTGACATTCTGAATACAGAGGGACATCATTCAAGGTTTTCTGTGACTGAAATTTTCTGGGGAACAAGATAGATTACTTCACAGTTCAAAAAATCTACTCCTTCATGAAAAAAAAAAAAATTTTTTTTGAAACAAAAAATTTACATTTTTTTTTTTAATTTTGGGATGTTCTTATTTTTGTTATAATTGAATATTTTGCAATTTATTTTTTTATCTAGGTTGCACTGTGGGTATTGTTCTTCACATTAAAGCAAAAAGTTTGCCACCAGCTAATTTTATTTTTCTACGATGGACTTCCTAATGAAGTGTCTTTTTTCTGAAGTGCGAGAACCGTAGCATGCTGTAAAGTTGACCAATAATGCTAAAACTTCGCAGATTATCCTTCCTCATAGTGCTGAAATAACCCTCAAAATTTGAACCAAATTGGGTGAAGGGTTCAAAAGTTGACCCTCCCAGGCCATATCCCCCCTTAAATGTAAATATTTCAGGAAGAGTTATTACCTCAAAATGAGATGTATATCTGTGCTATGTCAATTTTTGAAAACTTAGTTTTTTATCCCTGAGGACTTCAACTTAAAACAAAGTAGATAGCCCAAATCCCCAGTAAATTTCAGTTCAGAAACATGTTGATTGTGGTATCAGAACACTTTCACGTTCGAACAAAAGATTCCTTCATATGAAATTTGCAGCAAAAAGTGGAACTGAGAAAAATGCATTCAAACATTGAACTCTTTTACTTTGTTACTGCCTCACCATGTGTTGAAAATATTTTATATCAACGTAAATATCTGGCATACGGTTATCAAATTTGGTGTAAGGGTGTATAATTAGTTTCTAAAACTGAAAACGTCATAATCAAAAAATGAATTTAAAAAAAAAAATTAAAATTTAGGCCCATGTTTCCCCTTAACTCTTTCAACGCTGAACACAAGCTTGGTTCAAACGACGTGCAAAGCTAGTTGAGACTGGTACAAAGAACTCGAAAAAGAACTTCCCGCAGGCATCATTTGCACTTGATGTTTCGTTTAGAGACCCTGTCAGTCTCCAAAAAAGAAGTCCCTGCTTCAATAGCGGAAGTCGACTGCATGGAAAGCTTGCAATTGACTTCGCGCTGCACGCTTAGCACTGCACGCTTTGCACTGCACGCTTTGCACTGCACGCTTTGCACTGCACGCTTTGCACTGCACACTTTGCACTGCACGCTTTGCACTGCACGCTTTGCACTGCATGCTCTGTTGAGGCTACATTCCAGACTCTGACAACGAATGTGCCAAGAGCTGGTCCTCCAAATGCCACGCATTTAAAATTAACATTTCTTTTCTCTCCCTCCACGTTTTGGGGCTGTTTTACGAGACCCGCTCCGCTCCCGCAGGCCCCGTACCTGATCTATGTGGAGGTGGTGGCAGTGGAAGACATCCAGACGTCCCCCGTGCCGGCCAAGATCCTAAATCCCCTGCGGCTGACGAGGTCCGAGGAGAACCTGCCGGACTACTTTGGGGTGCAGCCAGTCTTCTCCATGTGCGGCATGGACGACGACGCAGAGTGCTGGACCCAGGAGGACGACGAGATCTCCGCGCAGGTGCGCCGTGCTTTGTTTTTCCAGTGTCGGGTTTGTCGGGAGCAGCACAGATTCGGAAGTTGGTCAGTGGGGAATTGACGTTTACTTCCGGCGAAAGAGAGAGTGCAAATGTTTGATTGTCCCAAGTGCGGCACACTTTGACCACACCTTTCCGAGCATGTCTTCGACGTCTTGGGTTCGGAGTGGCCTTAGGGTTGGTTGGAGAGCTTCAGGTGGGGAGGGCCTACTCCACCCGAGGCTATTGGGGCGTGACTGGGGAGGGATGGGAGCGAGTAAGGTGGAGATGGAGAGTTCTAAACATGGCTTGCACTGACGTAACGTGGCATGCTTTTGGCTGCTATGGAAGAGGGAAGCTGCCTTTGTAGGACTTTTGAATGAAGGGGTAATGTTCTACAATCTTCTGGGAGGAGAATAGCGACGTCTGTGCAACTCTGGGAGACGGGAAAGAGTGTCCTGGCAAGAGAGGAGCTCCTTCCCCTCTTCTCTGGTGGCCATTGGTGCGCTCTTTGGATGAGGTCACGTGCGAGCCATGTATAGCGGGACGCGGCGGATGAGGGTTATCATTGAGACGAATGCTGCTGAGTGTGGTGCACCATGGTGTCGGTGTCATCTCCTGGATGCTAAGAAATGGTCGTTCTTGCTAGTAGCAGACGTCGAGAAAGTGAGGTAGTGGCTGCTCAGTCTATCGTGTAGTATGTGCGAGAGGATGCTGTATGTACAGAATATTACTCTTGTGTGTTAGTATTCGTGTTGTGTGGACTTTTTATTTCACATGCATATAGTCTTTCTGTTAGTGCAAACAAGTACTGATATCCTAATTTTCGCATCTGCATTTTGCCTTCAGATTTAGAACTTGGGGGTTATATTTATGAAGAAATGTGGATTAGAAAGCGAACATTGCACTCGCAGAAATGCGATTTTTATGTTTGTCTTTTTCGGAAGTCTCAAACTTCCTTTCTTGGCGAGCTCGCTTTTTTTTTTCTATGCCTCGAAGAGCACGGGGTTGTTGGCGGCTCTAGAACGGGCTTTTGCGTGACCAGCGTGTGCGAAACAAATAGGGTTTGTTGTATAGCTTCATGCGTCGAATGCTACGCAGGATGACGTGTCCCGCTCGTTTTTAAGGCACGAACAGTGTTGTGTTTTCCGCGGGGGGACAAGCGCCTTTGCCATCGCGGTTCGACATTCACAGTGTCCGCAAAGCTTGGCGATGGCTTCATTTTCAGTTTCTGCGGAATCAGAAAGCGCAGGAGCGGGACACTCTGTCGGTGCTGTCCCTGGACAGCGGAACGAGCGCAGACAGCAAGGAGCCCCTCTTTGTCGTCGCCAGTGACGTGCGACGCCGCCTCTCGGAGAACTCGCACGTGCCCAAGACGACCGTCAAGGTGGGGAGTGGCGTCTGTCCTCAATGAGTGTCGACCGTTAGTGTAGCGAGCTTGGTCGGTCGAGCTGTAATCTTAAACCGGCCGTCCGCAGAAGAATTAGGTTATTAGGACGGCTTAAAGTATTATTTAAATTTATTGATTTAATCTGTGCTCTTTACAACGAGACAACATGCAAGACTATTTTGCAGCAGAGTAGCAGATTTGCTGGAAGAAAAAAAAAAAAAACTGTCAAACAAAAACCAGAGGATCTGTGTTGCACTTTCATACCTGCCAACCCTTCCAAATTTTCGTAAAATGTATGAATTGGAACTGATTTTACGATTTTACGAATCTTGCTTCAAATTTTACGAAAAAAAAATTATATTTAAACATTTCTTTTTTACTTTTTCTTTTTTTTTTGTGAAATTGTTGGTGGCAGTACCTTGCACCGCCACAAGAGGCGATAGGTACCATCCACGGCAGCATCGTCGTTTTTACTATCCATCTATCTGGTGCCCACAAATCTAAAACCAATCCAAAGCCCAAAGCCTTTGTTTGTGTGTTCAGCGGCGCACGTTGGTTCGGCGTGTTCACAGTGTTCAAACGTGGTTAGGCCCCTCTGTTTTGGCCAGTTTTGAGACGAGCAGTGCGGCATCTGTGTGTGTTTGTTGCACGTGTAATCGTAGCATTTCCCCGGTCGCGGTAGCTTCGCGGCGTAATGGCGAACTCCAAACCTCAAAAGGTGTTCCTAAAGTCCTATACATAATGACAAATAGCCCAACTTTCTACTTTATTACACTTTATTCCTAAAGTCCTACACTTCGTGCCGTCCAAAAAAAGCAGAGAAGTTTAGATTCTGTAGCACTTGCACGTGTTATGTAAGTGTTTTGCACAGTGGCAAGGCCGACATTAAACTGCACATCGCTTCGTGTACCCCTCCCCACCCCCCCCCCCCCTCCCCTTCCCCCGCCGCGGCCGCGGGAGTTTTTTCGAATTTGAAAGTCCACAGGTTGGCAAGTATGCACTTTGTCGCAGTTGCATAGTTCTGGAGAGTCGCTCCCCATGTCCGTGTGCTCAGTTTCCTTAAATCCACACATTTTTGGTATTTCTGTGGTTGTAAAACGTTTTGTCATAAATTTGGTTGCTTTGACTGATGCTCATATCCCACAATTTCGAAAGCATTTCTTGCGCTGTGGGGCTGTTGCACATGACGATGGAACAAAGAACAGCCGTGAACACCTTTTCTCAATTAACCAGAAAAAAGCCAGATTTCTAGGTTGCAGTTATTTTTTTTGTGTATAGTTGGGCCCTCATATATAATACATTTCATTAAAAAATCTCTTAAGCGTAAATATCCTGCTTATGCCCTTTGAACACTGCTAGTCACTTGCTGCCTTCTGCAGATGTTGCCAGTGGCTAAATGATTGGGCTAAAAGTGTTTCTGTTTTTTTAGCTTTTGCTCTCAATGTCCCTATTTTTGCATCATTTTGCACCACATAAAACCTTCACCCACCTGGGAGGCTCAGTACCACTGTGTGCGTAACAGTGCCTTTTCATGCCCCGTTTTCAGCGCGATCCCGATGACCCTTCTGCGGCAGCTCTGAAGGAGCCCTGGGAAGAGAAGGTGCAGCGCATCCGAGAAGCGTCCCCTTACAGCCACCTGCCTGGCTGGCAGCTGAGAGCAGCCATTGTCAAGTGTGGGGACGACCTTAGGCAGGAGCTCATGGCATACCAGCTGCTCAAACTGCTACAGGTACGTACAAACGACTCGTTCGTTGTCACTTTCGCATCCGTCGGGACACTTGCTCCTTTTGTGACTCGCATTGTTTGCGACACCTGTTTTGACCCCCTCATCTCCCGCCAGACGTTTATTGTAACATCAACCTTCCGTGTGACACATGCGTCGTGATACAAGGACACTTACACACACTTGCGACTCTCGTATTGCTTTGAGACTTGCATTTGACAAGGGGCTAGACTTCATCTCGGTTCATAAGAAAATATTGGGGCTTACTTGTAGCATCAAATAAAGCGACTTCTTTCCCCGACCGCCTCTTTTTTATCCTATGTCGCGGTGTTCTAGCATGTAAAACCCACTTTTGCAATGGACCTTCTTCAAGTAGCTGCGGGGTTTTCTGCGAACCGCTGACAAAGGGCAGCCCAACGCCTTCAGTCAGAACACTTTGGCATCGTGCCGTCGTAACGGTTTTCATTGCTTTTCATGCCTGATGCTACCGATGCTCAAAACATAATCGTCAAAAAAGACAAAATACGCTCAAAAATAGGTGCCGACTTGATCGGTCGTGCAGGATGGTGCCAGTTAGAAGCAACGCCAGGGGCACGCACGTGCAGAGTCCAACTGTAAAAAGGTGCATTGATCTACAAAGATTTGATTCACACGGTCCACGCCATGAACGGCTTCCTGTGGTCGGCTTGTGCGCTATGACCACGCAACGACATGTCTCTGGACCTTTGTTCTAAATTACTGTGCTCTGACATGAGAGACTAATTTTTTAAATTGATTGGTTCGTGCGGCCCACGACTTAAACCGGCTTTTGGTGGGCAGCAGGCATGCTACAGCCATGCGACATGTTTTTCTGGTCGTCTTTCTAGAACATCTGGCAGCAGGAGCGAGTGAATCTGTGGCTGCGCCCGTACCGCATCCTGGTGACCTCTGCGGACAGCGGCCTGGTGGAGCCGATCCTCAACACCATGTCCCTGCACCAGGTGAAGAAGCACTCCCAGCTGTCCCTGCTCGAGTACTTCATTCAGGAGTTTGGGGCCCCCACCAGCGAGGGCTTCTTGAGTGCCCAGCGCAGCTTCGTTGAGAGCTGCGCCGCCTACTGCCTTGTCTCCTACCTCATCCAGGTCAAGGACAGGTGAGGTCGACCTCCCCTCCTCCTCGCTTGAGTCTTCTTTGCGGAACCACTTGCTGCAGCATCAAGCCCGATAACCGATCTTTGTCTAAAACCGCTTGCTGCGATGACGAGACAAACTCTGCGTCTGCTCTGTTTCAGGCACAATGGGAACATCCTGCTGGATGGGGAGGGGCACATCATCCACATCGACTTTGGGTTCATCCTGTCGTCATCGCCCAAGAACCTCGGCTTCGAGAGCTCCCCGTTCAAGCTCACCCAGGAGTTTGTGGACGTGAGTGGAAACTACGGTCTCGAGGAAAAAGTGTTCGAATGAAAGTAGCTTTTTTAGTGCAAAAGGGCCGACCTACATGATTGTAGGTAGGCCCTTTTGCAGCGGAGCTGTTAAGGGCTAGTTTCCCCAGGATCATGTCCGGTACCAAACAAATGTCGATACAACACTCTGGTTGCCGCCGTCGCTCATGGATGGCGATAGCTGTCCAGAGCGTTGTTTGCCGGTTGTCTGCATGCCGCTGTCGCTCGTAGATCGCGGCAACCTTTCCAGCCTTGGCGACCAGACAACTGGTTGCTGCCGTCGCTCATAGATGGCGGCAACATTTCTTGGGAGGAAGAAGAGCAAGAACGGAAAGAGCGGCGATGTGCGCAGCAGCGCAAATGGTTCCGCAACCGCCGCGAGGCCGCTGTCGTTTTAAGTTCCACTGCGTCGAGCGCCTCAGGTCCTCATGCGAAAAAAGAGCACATCACTCGCCTGGAAAGCCACTGCCGAAAATAGAAGCTACAGCTCTGCTGCTCTTCCTTCTTCACCAGAATGGAAAAGCTGAAAGTTCTTTTTAAAAAAATATTTGGAAATACTGAACTGGGCAGGTTGGCATATATAATCGGAACTGAAGCATTCCCATGGGCAGCTCATTATAGTACCTTTGAAAGGTTTTAAAATGTGCCGCTCAATAGAACTAATTGCTGCAACGCCGTTTCTTCGTGTCTCAGTGGATGGCCCCTGTCACGGTGCCCGTGCGTGCTCGGGCTAGTTAGAATGGGATAACCGGAAAGAATGTGCTCATTGCTCGGCCCGTTAGCTTCTCGTACTCGTCCGCGCCAGGCAAAGCATTGGAGACAGTGCGCTTTTCCTTCGGGGCAGCTTCCTCGATCATTCCAAGGTGCCTGCAATCTGACTGAGGCTTATTGTGGAGATTGCACCATGCAACGAAGATTTCGGTTGCTTATCCAAGACACCTAGGTGACCGAAGTTAATTCTCGGTCTTCTGCCGCTCCGGTGCGTAAAACCGCAAAATTAGACTCCTGCGGAGAGCAGTCGTGCACATTGTTTCATTTCTCCGACCGGTTTACGGAGGCAGTAGCTTTCACCCTTGCCAGATTATGTTGACACGAAGGGTACTACACCATTACCAGTCCGCCCGTTACACTCACTCACTTCCTTCCGCGCGGACCTCCCTCGCAGGTTATGGGCGGCCTGGACTCGAACATGTTCAACTACTTCAAGATCCTGATTCTCCAGGGCCTGGTGGCTGCACGCAAGCACCACGAGCGCATTGTCACGCTCGTTGAGATCCTGCAGTCCAACGCCCGGCTGCCGTGCTTCCAGTGGCACGGAGCAAGCGCGGTGCGAGCCCTCCGCGATCGCTTCCACATGGGCTGCACTGACGAGCGGCTCCAGATGCTCGTGGATACCCTGGTCGAGAGCAGCATGCACTCTCTCACTACCAGGCTCTATGACAACTTCCAGTACTTCACCAACGGCATCCTTTGAGGCATCCGCGTGCCGCTGAAAAAAACCTTCTCACGCTTCACCATGCCGCACGCTGTGGCATCCATCCGTTGCTCGAAAAGTCTGGAAGCCGAGAGAGTCAATCGGCTCTCTCGGCCAGTGGGGAAGATGACGGAAATCGTTTTATTTTCCTTTTTTTAGGCGTGCACGTGTCCTCTGGTACTCGAGGCTACCGCGAGCTTGTACATAAGGCGCTCCTTTGGTTTTCTTTTGTCCGTCGCGGTGACTGCAGGTTCGGCCCTTGTCGCACCCGTTCTTCCTTTTTTTTTTTTTTTAACTCTTTTCTTAGAAATGTGCCAGTTGTCTTTACATTGTGTATATATATATGTATACATATTTCATGTTTTATACGAATGTGGTGAGGTTTTTTTTCTTCTTTCTAGACTGGTGACTCGGCATTTCCAAGCAGAGTTTGTGCTACGATGTGAAACTGCATGGTGCGTCTACTTCTTTTCTTTTTAATCTCGCGACCTCGTGTTACGTTTTGAGTTATTGGTTAGCATGGGTTTTTTTTTTTAAGAGACGCAAAAGCTTATGGGGTAGAATTACGAACACTTGGATGAGGCCTAAACACCTATGTTAATCAATAGAAAACCTTTTTTCTTTTCTTTTTTTACATTTTTTGAATACTTTTTGTAGTACTGTCATATTTGCAAACTTGCCGTTTTATGGCGCTCCGAAACAAGGCTGGGGCATGGAACAGTGCTTTTCTTCATCTCAGTTCCGATTTGTCGGAGGTGTCGCAAAACGCGGCTTAATCTACTACATTCAGTTTCGCTTGTTTGCCTATTGTACACTTGACGATGACGTACAATCGTGATTGTGAGTCTTAACAATGTTAGATGATGTCATGCAGATTGATTGCACTAGTTAAAAAGAAAAAAGCTGTCCAAATGGGGCTTGTTTGTGCAGTGGACTATGCCAGACTCTCAATCACCCCCAGACAGTATGGAGTTGGTGGCAGTTTAGAGGACCAGCCCCAATCCAGTAGAACCAAGATGCTGCCAAGTCTTCAGCTCTTGGGCCCTGTACATACTAAGACCATTGTATAGTTTCGTCGCAGAAGAAAAAAAAATCCTCTTGAGCATCGACTAAACAATGCAGAACTCTGTGCGCCACTGCCTCGTAAATACAGTTGCCTAATTTTACACGAATTGGCCGAATTCACCAAAATAAAACACTTCATGTTAAAAAAAAAAAAAAAAAAAAAAAAATCCTTAATACTGATATGGTGGCATGCCTTGTAGGCTATCCAATCATCTTGGTTTTTGTTTTTGCTGCATGCGCATTTATAACGTCCGAGGAGAGCCGTGTTTCCCAGGGTTGGCGTCCGAAACCAACCGATTGCCACACCACCAAATGCATTTTCATACACTATGCGCTGGCTTGTTTGCCGTGCAACAATCCGGGCCAATTTCCACCCATGCAGTTGCTGGTAGTGTGGCAGCGGATAGCTACATTGTGTACTGTATATAGCCTTTATCTTGAAGGATTGCTCAAAAGCCAGAGGTGTGGCGTAGCTGTAGCTGCAGAGACGGAAGGGTTGCAGGCGTCATTTCGGCTTTCTCATGATTCGCTAGTTTTATTGATGGAGCTTTCTTAATTTTTGTCCACTCAAATTTTTTTTCTTTATGGTTCGATTTAGACGCACCGACATCAAAATGCATACCAGCTGGTTTTTCACAGTACAGGCCCGTACATATGTATAACAGTATCGTGGCATATTGTATGTAGCGAATGAAGAGCCATTGGTCTGTTTAGCTGTTCTTGGTACTACCTTGTTTCTTTTGTCATTAACTCGCTGGTGCTGGTTTATTTCTTCTACTCACACTTATCGTTTCCATGGAACACTTGACTTTGGGTCAGAAATCCGTTTTCGTGAGTGAACAGACACTTTTGGTACTTTGCAGATTAGATGTGATGTCGCAACATAATCCTTTCGGTTACGCCGAAATGGTCATTCCTCATTTTGGTGGAAAGTATGTGATAATGCACATTTTGGGGGGAAGGATAGAGCGTCGAGTCGGCGAGCCATTGAGAAAAGGGAGTTTTTCTGCTCGACAGCCGTCGCTGCTAGAAATCTTGCTTGATCCTTTTCTCGGTTACGCGTGGTACGGCGACGAGACTGTTTGAGGTGCTCTGAACAGGTTCGCTGTGTAGTATAGAGAAAGACATAAAAACCCTGGTACCTGGTTTTGCTACCTAGACAAAACTCGTAAAGATGCCTTAACCAGCAAGAGTAGCAAGCATTGGCACTGTACAATTGCGCTGCACATCCTGTAGGTGTTTGCGTTTAAACCCGACCTCGAGTTACTTCCAGTGCCTACAGGAGCACACTTGTTTGAAAACTGACCTGGGACCTTTCTCGGTTTGTGGGTTCTTGTACAGCGTTTGTCTTGTTTTTTTGTGGGCCTTTGTTTCTTGGAACCCATTGAAATGTGTACATAGGATGTTTCTTCTAACTCGTGGCATCCTGGTGTTCTTGTCACCTTGTATGCAGGATAAAAAAAAAAAATTTAAACCCTCGAGATTTATTGTCACAAACTGTTTCCTTGTTCAAGCAACTTGGAGCTTTCTTTTCCTTGCACATTGACCGTAACATTTAATCTGGAAAATAAAGTGCAATCGAGGCACGCGAAATTTCACTCTGGAGAAGTGCATATATGGTTTGGGTCTCGGCACGCTCCGAAACATTGGTTTTTTTTGCGGATGGTTCTAGTCTTGGTTCAAAGAAAGTTTTAAAATAATCAGTTATAATAAAGAAAAAAAAATTCAGAATGCAAGGTACCTAACCATTCCTCCCAACTTGATTACCGGGGACACGTGAGCAAATCCAGGGGAGTGACAGTACTCCCCCTTGCAGAAACATGTAAATACTAATGCTATTTTTTCATGCTTTTCTTCGTAACGTGTACATAAACTAGCAAGCGTTTTTATAGACATGTTCCACTTGCCCGTATACGATAAATCTTTTTGTAAAAGGAGACGGTTTCGGTACTAGCGACTGACAAAGGTCGTCATGGCTGCATGTAAATTTCCCTTTTTTACGCTCGTGGTGTGCACGTGGAGCGATGCCCTAGCGTTTTTAGGGGACCACCTATTTGCTAAATGTCCTGGCCAGCCTGCAAGCTTTGTAGGGATGAAGTATGTGTTTGATGGGCAAGTTTCGAAGATCGTCTCTCAGAGTCACTCACTGCTGCTGGAATGGGGTACAAAGATGCTGCTCTACTATCAATGCAAAACTAACACAACTTGAACGTGTTGCTATGTAAACTGTAATATAAAGCCATTAAAAAAATACAAAACTTTTTCCTACTGGTGGTTTTATCACTGAGCAGAGAATAGCTCCTTTATGCCAACCAAGCGCATGCGATCTTCTATCCTTTATAGCACTGAACACAACTCGACAAATGGAGCACAATACTACACTGTTCATCATTAAACTAATGGGGCAATGGAAGCTATGCGCTCATCTAACCCAACCAATCGCCAGTCTTTTGTCGCCTGACCTCACTCTCTGCACACGAATATATGCCGAGAACCTGATCACGTGCAAGACCAATGGTTGGCTGGTCTAACAAGGACTTAAACGAAGTATAGTTTGTTTCGACGCTGTCCGAGGTAAACCTGCATTCCACTGCCCAGCACAAGCTGACAGCAAGCTCCAAGTGCACCGATTCATGCGTTGCCATCTAGTTTTCCCAACTAGGAAATCTCTTCAGATCCATGATGTTAGGTGCCGTTTCATTTGTGTCCCCACAATAGGGGTGGACAAGCAATCCCCATCCTAACGCTGCTCTCTGGAGCATTCGTGAAATATTTTATCACCGGTTCTCCTGGTGCATCGCTAAAGGATCGGTTTGTGAGATATTTGTTGGAGGTTTATGGGTATTCCTGCAAGACGAATGATCACATAAAAATGTGTGGAAAATTGCTAGACAATTGTATTGCATATGTGAAACGTTCGGGTTTACTTGCTCAGTTGTTACCTACTAGTTAAGCATGTTGATGTTAGTCCGTGTCTGGTGGGATCGGTCTCTAGTACTCGAACAACATCTAACATGTTTGTTCACGTCGATCATCACCAAGTTTCCGAGCAGCTAAGTGCTTAGGTTAACGGCGCTCTTCGTGAGATAACTTGGTGCATACCATGCACACTTGTAGCAGTTCCCGGGATGGTGCAGTACATCACTCCTCAGTCGGAGTGCCCTCGCTCAATCACTTGAACACGTCCACCTCGCCCACCTCTAGCCATGTGACCTCTCCCCGTTAGCCAAACAGCTTCGTTCGTTCCTGCTCTCCCCTCGTCAACCAATTGGCGGTTGCTTGGGCTTTACAAAATGCTGAGCAAGTGACCAAAGAACATTCCACAATAATACATGCTGAATAGCACTGCAAAGGGACCTTGCTATACTCTGTTTCACCTTACGTCCAGCCACAGCAGATACCTGCTGTGGCTGGCAATCGGAGCCAATCCAAGGCTGTGGAGCATGAATCTCCAGACGTTTCTGCAGCACTTCATCATCCTAGAACAGGAACAAGCTTTGAAGGTGTGATGAAAAAGAATTGCTGGGAGGCAAGAGACCGCTCTCGTTTGTAAACACAAGGGGTTTGTAGATTTTTATAGGTACTCTACAAATGAAACAGCTCCGAGCAGGGTGCCTCTGTGCATATACCGAATGGACCTCCTGCTGTTATTTCTGCACTATCTAACTTTCTGCTCGCAAAAGATGCTGCAGTATCCAAGCTCTAATGCTCAAAGTTAGTACAGGAACTCATTCTTTGAGTTCTACTTGAATGTGCTGGTCAGGAGTAGAATGTGAGAAATCGCCGACCCTGCAATCGAGCTAGCCGTGCGAAACAGCTCGACTTGGATGACCATTTTATCAACCTTGCTTGGTCTCCCTGTGCACAGCTTTTTCACCTGTTTGTGGGTTATCCAGCGCAACCGTTTCTACAGCAAAGCTGTTGTACGGTAGGGTCTGGGAAAAAAGTGGAAGCCGTTTACAACTCCCTGTAACGCCGAATTGGAGCGCAGCTCTTGAGGAGGAGGAGGAGGGAAGGGTAGACCCCTCCTCCTCCCCTCAACAAAACTCGGGGGGGGGGGGGGGGGGGGGGGGGGGGCACGTGACCTTGAGGTGACCTTGGAAGGGGTCACGTGACCTTGGTTACGCCGACGGCGACGCCGCTCAAGCCGGAAACGGGCACCTAAGAGCTGCGCTCTAAAATGTGTGCTCACATTTTGCCAGAAAACTTCCCACTGGTCGTGGCAAGTATGAATAAATAAAAACGGGGCAGCCAGTGTGAGTCAGCTTTCCTTGGCATTATTAGATAGGTCCTGATCCCTAGTTATAATTTCTAGAGGTCGTCCTAGATGCTATCCTCTAGGCATCGTCCTAGACGTGAAGATGACAGCTTCGCTGGTCCTCCATCTTCATGTGAAATGGAAGAGCTCTACAATTTTTTTTCTTTTCACAGCAGTCGAGTGCAAGATGCATCCCGTACAGACGCCCCATTGTTTATTTCATGGATTTTACAGCAACAGTCCTACACTGTTTCTAAAGGGGCATTCACACGGGGGATGCTTTCGGGTAGAGTTGCGTGCGACGTCGGTGATCTGCCTAACCAGCGGGACTCCCTTCCCGACTCCAGCCATTCACACGAACGGCGGGGAGCCGAGAGGGACGTCAGTGTTATCGGACGCATTTAGCGGTCGCACTGTCGACAACGGGGCTCAGTGCATGCTAACGAGGGTAGAAAAATGGAGGCGTACATGAAACAGCAATACACGATGGTGACGGCGGCGCTGTTAGATACACAAGACGACAAACTGCTTCCTGCTAGAAAAAAAGGTGCTACTTGAATGGGTGGATGCAACACAGAACGCAGAATCCAAAACCAGTTATACGAGGAGCGGCTTGAGGACGGCATTGATGAATATTGAAGACTCCTTCGGGTGTCTGGGACGACATTTGCAACAGCGCAAGCCACGACAAGTTAGGTGATGCCACCGCTGGTATCACACAGCAAAATCTATAGAGTTGCCAGACACGTGAACAAAATACCGCCAATTGCTATGAGATCCTCCGCCAAGGCAGGGACCGTTTGTGTAGCCCGAGCCCGCGCAAAAGCTTCCCCATCCCCATGGGATGTCTATGTCAGCATGGCTCTGTGCAAAGGCATGGCGTTACTGTGTGATGCGCACACTGGGAAGCAAAGGGAAGGGATATCTCCCCCGTGTAAATACCCCTTAACAAACTATCGACCACTATATGTAGTGCCCACATAAACTTTCCTCCATAAAACAACAAACCAACGATATATACTTTGAAGGCAGCCACGGAAACACCACAAAGCAAAGGGAAGAAGCGATGGCATCTGCTCTACATAATGCTCTCGCCTACAAGTCTTGTTCTGCCTCTGCGGGGAAGCAACTGTGGCGATAGTTCGGACTTGCACATTTGCCCGGCATCGTGATCACAGTGGACACTCTGAAACGGATGTGAAGCTTTTGACCCTGGAGAACCAGAGGGGAGGGAAGGCATTGGCTGTCAGGTCGAACTTGGCCACAGTCTCTTGTCCCGACCTGCACATTGGAGAGAAGGAAAGGGCACGAGGAACTTTTGCAATGCTCCATCCCAGGAACTTGGCTCTACAACGAATCACTGTGTACAGGAAGGGGACGGTCTTGTGACCAAACAGATACTCGAATGAGAGGCTGAGAAGATGCGTGCAAAAGGAAATGGAGTTGCCGTCGTCAATTTGTATGTGTGATTCAATGCATCGTGTGTGCCGTGGCATGCTTTAGAACGTGAACCTTTTCAATAGATGGGTGTCTTAGTGCGACGAAGATCCGGCACATGCTTGGCAAGCGGAAAACGCGCCGATCTCAATTCACGACTATTGCAGAAATGGGTTTGCTGCTGTGCACCAATTTTTGCCATTAATATGAGGTGAACGCTCCTTTGTAAGCAGACACTGAAGGCAGTGCCACTGTTGTTTTGTAGCTCGTGCACCTACGTCTAGTGCATCGGTGAACCGCCAGTTTGCACCACTCCACTTATTTTAGTACGCTCTGCGAATGGGCATTGTTTTCTGAGTAGATCTGAAAAACTTGGGTGGCCACAGGAAAGCAATCTCGCCACAGTGCTGAGTCCAGAAAGCATTGTAACGAATGCATATAAGCTGGATTTCTGTGCACCTTTGCCCAGGGGCGGTAGGCATTCGGCTGGCAGGGGGGGGGGGGGGGGGAGGAGTCTGCTGAGATATGACGTTACGGCCAAACCGTTGCCCAGATCTATTTTGTTGACTCCATATTTGCTATGTCACCAAAAACAAAACTTTTGGCTGGTGCATATCAATGATTTAAAAAAAAGGCTCAAGGTACGCCTAAGCACTTCTTATGAGTTGTGAATGCGAAAGCATGCAGGTCATTCTTCCGCTCCCTTATTTCGTCTGCAGCGAATTTGTGTCGACGGCAGAGCGCGCCCCCTCCTCGTTGCTCTGACCTTAAACATTTCGTGTTATTGGCGCGCTGATGGACACGCAATGCCATGGGGTGGTGGTCATTGAAACTGACGCACAGCGGCCAATGAAAGCCTCATCAACGTGCGCCAGTCAATGGGACTGAAGCCGAAATCCATCAGCTTTACTCCGATCCTTTGGGATCAGGGAAACTAGGTGCCGTTTGGCTAGGCCTTTCGAATGGTTTCATAGCTGGGTGCTGGCTTCACTTAGAGAAAGGATTTAAGGTGCCGTTTGGTGCGGTCTATTTTTTTATTTTTTTTTATTTAGACATACTGCAGACCTTGAACAGGCCCCTGCAGATGTGGGGTACATACAAAAAACAAAACTATACATATGAGAAACAAGAAACACATGGCAATCATATGTGTTGCTTGTACAACGACATATATACATATGAACGCCATCAGCATAATAAACATTCCATAATCAATGCCTAATATACAATAAAAAAATGCATGTACAAACACCAGGAAAGGAGAACAATCACAAGGTGTGACTCTCAAGAGCACCATTGAAGTCGGGGGCAAAAAAAATGTCACGAGGGAGGGCGTTCCACTCCGTAATAGTGCGTGGGAAAAAGGAATACTTAAAAATGTTAGTTCGAGCGAATAGTGCTACTAGGGAATACTGATGATGGTGCCTCATTTCCCTAGATGATGATGGGGATAAATATAGACTTGATTCAATGCGAAGTCTGTTATGATAAAGCAAATACAAAAATTTTAGTCTCGCAATTTTTTGACGATGCTGGAGTGATGATATATTGTTTGCTATCATCAATGAAGATGGGGAATCTAGCCGATTATACTTTCCATAGATCAAACGAATAGCTCTCCTCTGAACCATCTCAAGCTGTGACGCATCCTTTTTGGTATTCGGGTCCCATACTATGCCAGCATATTCTAACTTCAGTCGGACCAAGGAGTTATATGCTTGTAATTTAATGGAAAGGGCAGCGCTTCTAAGTTTCCGACGTAACAAGCCCAATTTACGAGAAGCGGAGGAACAGATGTTTTGAATGTGTTGTGACCAACGGAAATTGTGGGATATGGTTACGCCGAGATATTTGTATTCAGTCACATCAGATATTACATCATTGTTTAATTGATAAGAGAACTTCAGTGGCATCACTTTTCTTGTTATAAGTAAATGAACTGTTTTCGTAAAATTTAGCTGCATTTTCCATGAGCGGCACCAATTGCAGATAGAGGCAAGGGAAGAATTCAGTGATATTTTGTCGGCAACTGTGGATATCCTTTTGAACAAAATACAATCATCGGCGAATAAACGAATATTTACATCTGGGCTAACAACTGAGACAATTACATTTATATAAGTTAAAAACAACAATGGGCCAAGCACACTGCCCTGAGGAACACCCGAGGAAACACCCAGAATACCGAAAGCATGACCACCAATGTCGATAAACTGGCTGCGATCAGACAAGTATGAACCTATCCAATTGATAATCTCAGACGGTATTCCAAGACACTCTAATTTATACAGAAGTTTGCCGTGTGGAACTTTATCAAAGGCCTTGCTAAAGTCCAAAAAAATATTATCGACCTGACCAGATTTTTCCAAAGTAGCGGCAAAATCATGAACTGTGGTGACAAGTTGACAGGTTACAAACCTGATAACGTCGGCTCGCTTCATGGGGCAGCTAATGCTTTCACATTAAAAAGTTGACCTTGAAGAGCTTAAAGGGGGGCAGTCACCCCACCACCCTCTAAATCTGCCCTTCCCTTTGCCCCATCTGAAAACCAAAGTTTGATCAAGACATCCCGTGGCGCTACTGACCAGAAGGTGTGAATGGCGTAGCTCCTCCAAGCCAACTGGATGTTGGGACGACCACGAACAGCCCTCAACTCCAGTTCCTGACAAACAACGAAAGAATAAGCGGCAGCTGGAAAACTCTGCACTCATTTACATTGTCCTACTCTATAGATCTTGTACACTGTTTTACTACTGTCTGCTCAAAACAGTATGGTTGCATTTTAAAGCGCAGCTGTTAGGCGCCCCTTTCCGTGTTTGTCGGCGTCGGCGTAACCGCACTAAATTTAGCGGGAAAATGGTCGTCATGTGACCTCAACACCAATTCAGTTTCCCCGCTAAATTTAGCGAGGAATTGAATTGCTGTTGAGGTCATGTGAAATCAATTTTCCCGCTAAATTTAGACGGCAAACTGGAAGGAGGGAGGGTATGCAAGAGGAGGAGGGGAGAAGAGCAAGGGGAAGAAAAGAGTAGGGCAGAGGAGGATGGAAGGAGAAGGAGGGGAGAGGACGAGGGAAGAACGGGAGGACGAGTAGTAGAGAGTATGGAGGAAGAGGAGGGGCATACCCTCGCCTCCTCCTCTTTAAGAGCTGCGCTCTAACTTCGCGATACATAAATTTGTAAACATTTATAATTCTTTTTAAAAATTATGACATGGCCAGGGTTATTGTACACTTAAGCAGCTTAGGATTCAGCATTCAGCTTGGTTTCATATGCCTGAACCCCTATGCTGCAACAAACGACGCACTAGCCACCTGCTAAGAAGAAAGATGGCTAACAACTTGGGTTCTGTGCTTCTGGAGTTTATTGTTGGCAAAATTCTGAGGGTGTTCTGTAAAAGTTTATTTTGTACCACAGTGTCCAACAGTTATTTCCGTTTTCAATATTCAGAGCTTAAAGTTGCTGTATTCCAAATATGGTAAAATTCGACATAAAAAGCGATAATATCCGGACTTTCAGGGTCTCTTAGACTTGCAAGCAACGGCTCCCATGTCACTCGACTCCTGGACATAGCTTAAGTTCTATTCCCATCCTTCTGAGTTCAAAAGTTTCACACCTTCACCAGCTCCCTCGCATTCTTACATTGTATTTTAATTACTTACAGTCCCTTAACAGAGCCTCCAAAACCCCACCCCCCAATCCCAGAGTCCCAAAATTGTTGGTGGAAAAGCCCAGTCGTCCCTCCAGCAAGTCAAATTTGCACTTGTTTCATTCTGCAAAACAAAACGTTTCCAGACGTCGAGGAAGATACCAACCATGTGGAAGACCTGTTCCGGATGCGGCTGCTGGTCCAGCACCAGCGGCCTGCTGCGTCGGTGACTGCTGTTGGCCGAGCGGCCGGTGCCCTTGGCGCTGGCGGCCTTCTTGAGCACGGCCCTGAGCTTGGTGCCCTCGAGCCAGAACTTGCCCGTCAGCACCGACGAGTACAGAGGCCTCCGGGACCTCAGCTTGCCCAGGGACAGGTACGGGTTGTCCGGAGTCGTCAGCATCAGCACAGCACCTGCGTGCAGTAGAAACCAAAGGGGTCTCACGAGGACCTCGCAGCAAGGCTCCCTCATTTTTGGTGGGGATATTGGTGGCCGAGTGTTTTGGCACGCCTCAGCTCGGAGCACATGGAGCGAAGTTTGCACTGCAGAGCGCAGGGATCCTGGCTTCAATCCACACCCCTGCCTATTTCGATCTGGATAAGCGTTGTACCGGCGTGCGGTCGTGTAGTATCACTACTGCGCGATGCACGTCGACCACCTCCAGGCTACAAGTCGTACCGCACTAGCTGAATTTCTTGTCTCAACTACAGTCAACTTGCCTCAAAGGCAGACCGACTTTACGCTGTCTAAACACAAAAAAACTAATTTGGCTTGGTTTGTTTTTGGTGGAATATGTGGATCTACACTCCATTTCATCCTTAGTGTAAAACAATTAAGCGAGCGTGTGACTTTGTTTAGTGCCTCCTTTGCACACGAGGATGCATGCGAACGAGACCTTTGGCGAAACCACATGCTCGTAGTATACTTATACTGCAACATAAGATAATGAGTGTCTTCGTTTAAGTGAACAAAAACTTTAAAAAATGTATCCATGGGCATTACCTTCAGGAAAAAAACGCAGATAACGAAAATATTCCACCAAAAAGCAGGGCCGGTAGCTCGAGTCCTGGAAGGACGACTCTCCGTGACGGACGTACGTCGTCTTGTTGATGTAGACACCTGAACAAAAAAAGAAAAACATTGTGAAACTACACATTTGAAAAGGAAAAAATACAAAACAAAACAAAAAAATTCCAAGAAGCCAAGGAAACAGATACAAAAAAAATGTCTCGTATTATCTTTACACAATTGAACGCCTGCAGGCAAGGCGGATATATTCCTCAAGAAAGCGATATGGAGGCGAGCTTGTTGTTTACAACAAAAAGTGGCATGGATCCATTTCAAAAGCTGAAGTTAGCATGATTTTAGCCACATCCTGTTCTTACGAACTGCCTGCAGCACTTCAGGTACAGCCGCATTTCTACCTAATCGTCTCAAATTGCAGCCCATCCTTTTTCATGAACCCGAGGCATGCACAGATCTCGCCTCCAGCCCTCCTCAATCACTCGGGTATGCCAAATATTTTGCTTTACTTGAGCTACCTGTGCACTACACTAGCACTCACCGTTGTAACAGATACGTGGCCGGTAGATGTACATCTCCCGCCAGCTTTGATATCGAAGGAGCTGACCGCAATCTCTGCCCCAGGTTCTGCGAGGGAATTTTGGGGACGAAAACTTTGATCGAGACAAAGTGAACATGTCGATGCCATTTTCTAATTGCACCACGCAATTGCATTGCAAGTTAAACAATGAGAAAACAATTTTAATGCAGGCACCTCCTCTCCTCTTCGTGCATATTCTGCAACTGCTCAAACTGTTATTGACTTGGATAATACAACCACTTGTTTTGTTTGTTTCTCTACACAACTCGCACTAGATAATAAGCTTGCAAATTCAAAGTCCTGGTTTGAAATTCTCGTTTCGGCACTTTTTCGTGCCATGTGAAGATCACACACATGCAAATAGTGTTGCAAACTCTTTCCTCTGCCAAAATTACCTCGCGCACACCAGATGCCACAACTCGGGGTCCCTGGCACACAGGTAGAAGCCACGACACACCTGCAAATGTGATAGCTTTAGGACTGACCGCAGTAAAGCGTGCGAAGAAGCGAAGAAAATGCCGAGCATGTTGATGGGGGAACTACCCTGGACACAGATTCCAAGGACAGAACGTCCAGCTCCGAAGACACCACCCATCGTAGGATGTACATGAACACCTCCCTCGGAAGGTCGGAGAGATGTGTAGCCTGCGACAAACACGCAGATTGTGTGCCGTAAGAAAAACCGCCAGTAGAAAGAGCCAACACACGTGTCGAAGGACATTTTGGTCGCCAAGTGCATCAACGGCAACTCGAAACTGCATACTCTTTGTTCGCAGGCCACGTTGCAAATGTCCGCCGACGGATGTTTAACTCTGATGCGGTGATGGAGAGGCAACATATCATCGTCGCTGCAGGGCGACTCTTCGGTTTTGCAGCTGAGGACAAGGAATGAAGAACACGGTGGTTAATGGAAATGGCAAAGGAATTTTAAAGGTGAAAAGAGGATGTGCTTAATCAATAACATTGATACTGAAAGAACAACCGTCCTTTGACATGCTGCCTTTTCAACAAGTTGGGGCAGGTCACTCCAAACAGGGAGTTCCGAGTTCCCGCCTTCTTTTACATCTTGCAATTTGGATAATGATTTGCTTTATTTCCACTAGATACTTACTCCACATCTGAACTGTCACTTTCTTCATCTGTAAAATGTGGAAAATTTGCACACTCACAAGACAGCCACTTCATTGTGAATGTAACAAACTTGAGTGCGAGGATTCCAATACGTACCAAAAGACCACACGGAGCTGTCTGTCAGACGGAACTCAATGTCCGGCACCTTTTGCAGGGCCTGCCTGTAGTACGAGATGGCTGGAAACAAGACACCAAACGTCAGTCGCGGCCTCTCGGGAAAGAAGCTTCCATGGACCCGACGGCTGGGTACACTAACCGTCGTACATGCGACCGGATCTCTCAGCCAGGACTCCTTTCAGGTAGAGTTGCTTTGCCTGTATTGGAAAAACAGAAGACATCAGTATTGCGGCCAATCGCTCCAACCTTTGCGACACGCGTGTTTTATGCCAAGGCATTGACGAACTTGCCTTTTCGAACAGCCGCAACTCTTTCTCGGAGTTGTGGGAGGACGCCTCTTCGTCCTCTCCTTCCTCCGCTGCGCTGTCAGCATTGTCCACTCCACTCTGGTTGTTGCTGGGAGTGGACGACTTTACGGTAGATGGCTGATTGTCCTGCGTATCAGAGCGGTGTGGGATTTGCAACCGGCAATAGGAGGTGCGCGAGTGGAAATGTAAAATGACGCGTTGCATGGCAGAGTCGTATCGCCAATGCCTATCGATTGGCAACCATTTTGCCAAGATCTGTTTGGAGGAGATTGCACTTGGAAAGTTTCATTTGAACTGCTATCCGTTTGTACCCAACTCTATGCGACTGAATATAGGCACCAGCCCATCCAACTTAGAAATGCCTCTCTGCGCTGGCATACTCCAAACTAATAAAAAAAAGTTTTGCGTGGTTTGAGCCTAGCTTTGCACTGTAGCACACTGAAGGCTCTTGACAACACACTGTCAAAGCAATTTCCCAAAGAATGCCATTTAATACCTCCTTTCTCCAGTTTCAAGCAAACATTTTTTTATTCTACATTGATCTCAGGTTAGACTCTCAAGGCTGAGTTGCAGAATGCAACAAACGACACTGCTCATTAACAAGTTATTTTGGTTAAGCTGACCCTGGGATTGTTTATACTGCATGCATGCTGCAACGTTCACTAGTATACCTATTACTCCACTTCTTTGACAAACTAGCATCGAACCTTAGCGAAGCACGCCCCTTTACAGCTGTCTTAATCAGGTAGAGCGACTTACTTTACTTTTCGTCACGATGAGTGCGTGTTGATAAAGCGAATATTGATTGCTTAGCGCGCAATGCCAGACTGCACACACGCAAGCGCTGGGCCATTTACCTACCGCGCAGTAAGGCCGCACTGACAACAATCCGAAACCAAGCGCATCGTCACGCAACACAGTAATTTCCTAGCTGATTGTAGACGAATCACTTTTCGTCAATCTGCAGAAAGACTCCACGGTATGTTACCATCGATCGCAACTGCGAAAACACTCGACGAGTAACCACCCCGCGATCAATTGGACATTACGTGCTTGACGCAGACAGCAGGTAGTTTCCAAAAAGTCGGTCACATGGGAAAGATCCCTACCATTTTGTGCTACCAATATATTCAGGCGATACACTCTCGGTCAGAGTTGAAGCGAAGGACACAATTTCGGTAACGTCGTGCCTTCACAGCAGCCGCCATGCTTCTGAAGAAGTGCTCTTCGTTCTTCGCAAAAGAGCAGGGGCGCTGTTGGCGCCAGTTGGCGCTACTTGAGCCTAGCTTCACACCGGCCAGGTGTCGCAACTGATCGCCTAATGTAACATCACCTAGAACATAGTTTGTTTGTCTACAGCAAATCAGTTAAAATTGAATGGAGGGACATTCGAGATTCCAGAAATGGTAAATCCTTGGTAAATCGTTAAATCTCTTCTTGTGCTTTCAGACAGAAACGTCAAACGGGTAAGTGCGTGCCCTGAAGATTTAATAGTGACGTAATATGGATTCTGATTCTGAGCATTAACCGGTGCCGACTTTTATATTACGGTACTTTTATGTTACCTCGTGCTGTCGTCTGTCTTCTGCGCCGTTGGCTGTGCTCGTGCGGTGCATGCGGTAGCTGTTCAAAATACCGAGCGCGCGGCTCAAACCTGGCACCTGGCTCAGTGGCTCAGTTTCAGTGGTTGTTTGATACCACCGGCACCAGAGGACACAAACTCTGCTATTTCAGCTGGTGCGTTCAGCTGATTCGTTGCCGGGTCGCGAGCGATTAATGTTTATCTGACACCATGTGTCATCTGTTTGTCTTCGATGTCCCTCTTTAGTTATCGTAACGATTTATTACCGTGTACTTTCAGAACCACGGAAGACCGCAACCAACCAGCACTGTCATTCTCCGAGTACCAGCCATGATCCAAACACGGCTTCGTTCAGGGGCAGCTGCTGCTAAAAGGATCTCGACGCTGACATCCGATGTTCCTGCGGTAAAAACAAAAAAGAAATCGAACCAGTCGAATCGAACCAACGGAGGTGAAGACAAGCCCAGGGTCAAAGAGGACATACTTGAACAAGCCACATCATCTAAGAAGGTTTCCCAACGTAAAGCGAGGTCGGTGCCCGTCAAAATAGAGTACTCCGATGGTGCTCTGAAAGAAGAACACTCGGCAGGAGCCTCTCCCTATTTCACCTGGAAGCCAGACAACTGGGAGCAAGTCCTGAGTAACATCCGCCAGATGCGGCAGGAAAGAGAGGCGCCTGTGGACACCATGGGTTGCGACAAGTGTCCAGACCAGACACTTCCAGAAAAGGTGAACATTCCTTTGATGACGGGGAGAAAAGGAGAGCAACATAAAGGAACAAAACATCTGGAAAGACATTTTGTCCAGTCGTCGTCCTTTATGCCACTTTCCTTTAATCCTTGTAATTTACCAGTGCACTCTAATTCGTAAAGTTCCTTTTACGTAGACTGTTGAGCCCATTGCTCTTAATTGATTTGAAGAACGCCGAAAGACACTACGGTAGTACAGAGCTGCACACGCCAAATGACAAACACATCACTGCTCAGGTAATCTAATGCTTATAATGGATGGAATCTGAGTAAAAATAAAAGTCCAAGGTTGTAATATCTTACTGGGCACACATTCATCATCTGGCTGTCCCACAAAGCTAAATAGACGAAACCATGTACACTGAGTGAGTAGGGTTGGTTATTTTTATATTTCAGGGCTGCAAAGTTGGTTTGCATGCATTTAGTTTCCTTCATTTACACTTTTGTCATTGCAACCACTCAATACCGCCCCCTCCCCCCTGCAGATGGGGTCCCCCATTACTTCCACCAGTCCAGAAGGGATATCCCTGAAACATATCTGGTTGAGAACCACTGCTCTAAAATAAAAACAACGCAAAAAAAACAAAAACAAATTGAAGAATGAGTTAGAAGATTGGACAGACCAAGCTTTATCCAATTTTTTTTACTTGTTAATCTTTTTTTTTTTGCGCTGTTTTTATTCTAAGTGTATCACCAACTAACCCAAGAGATATTACTGCTCTAGAATGTGTGTGAGCAGACAAAGGTCATGTGGTAGGATCAACCAAAACTACTCAAAAACAGATGCGCTGACACAGTCATAGCCGTAGACAGAGTCCTTTATGCTGATAGAGTGTCTCCTGCCAGGCCACATTACGGAGGTTTTTTCTTTTGGCCACTCTGCTCTGCAAGTGCTAGTCCAAATATGCAGTTAGTAGCTGGTTTATTTCTTCAGCTCTGAGATTTTGTTATGCCTGCAATTGATCACTATATTCAAGCGCCAGTCATCTGTCATTGATCTCCAAAAACAGAACTTACAAATAAGCTTTATTTCTTTTGGCTTTAAACAAAACAATGCTTTCTCAAACAAAAAAAAATAATCTGGCAATGGAGCGCACGGGTTTGCTGCGCCTCCTAGATAGCGCCCGTCACGACACTGAATTTTGGCTGTGGTAATTTTTGAGACTTAATTTATTCAAAATATTCAAAATTCGCTTTTCACAAAACAGGATCATATAATTTTAAGAGATAGTAGCAGGTAACCAAGTTTGGAGCTGCTGATTGTGTGTGCAGCTCAATAATAATAATTCGGTTGTGGGGATATTTATACAGTGTGTAGTTGGTCTGCCATTAAAGTTGCGACGAGTCACACGCTGTAGATGAGCAATTTAGCCAGTGCAGTACAACCGCTAGCCTGGGGTCTTTAACGTGCACCACGCAGTAGTGATACACGACCGCACGCCGGTACGATGCTCATCCAGATTGAAACAGGCAGGGGTGGGGCTCGAACCCAGGATCCCTGGGTTCTGCAGCGCGAGCTTTCGCTCCACGCGCGTCGAGCTGGGTGTGCGCTTCAGCCCACTTGGCCACCGATCCCCCTCGTGTGCAGCTCATTACTAATTACGATGGCGGGTCACCGAACGCCTGGCGTGCCTAATCCAGAGTGTCTGATGGCCAATTCGTATGGGCCTGCATCGCACCGGTGCAGTATGGTTCGTGGTACACAGAAGGCTAGAGGGGAGAGGGGTGCTTCCTTCTCTCCCTGCCAGTCTTTCGTGTACTAAAGTGGAAAGAGTTTACTGCACTGGACGGGTGCGGTGTACCCCAGACGAATAGGCCATGAAATTCTATGCTGCAATGTGGTGGAGGTAAGATGCCATCTCCGGGCTGCCCGACTTCCAGCAGTGGTTGCTGAACTGTCAGCATCTTCAAAAGAGTGCCAAACCCTCCCAGTATAGATGACTCTGGCCATAGGGCACTTCTGTCACTGTCTAGCTTTAGCACTAGTTCAATTACTTTTATGGTCTCTTCAATGCTTCTCAGCTGGTGAGGTACCAGCTCTTGGTGTCACTGATGCTGTCAAGTCAGACGAAGGACGAGGTGACCCACGCCGCAGTGGGCCGTCTGCGGGACTTTGGACTGACCCCCGAAGTCGTATCGGCTGCTGAAGAGAAACAGTTGGAAGAGCTGATTTACCCCGTCAGCTTCTACAAGGTGAGGTAACTACTAGTTTAACCCGTGCTTGAGATCTCCATTTTCCTTTCTACTCAATGAGAGGAAATGAATGCTCAAGATTTTAAGTTCAGCAATTCATATAGTTACATTTTCCCCCCCCAGATTCTGGTCTGTGTGTCTTATGCAATGGTGCAACTTATATGCATTTTCTTTTTTATAAGTATGGGCCTTAACTGTGCAAGATGTAGGCCCTACTGACACTTACAACAAAGGAAAAACGGCAGGGCACCCGCCGACGGACTGCTCTTCCGGCATCCAAAGTCAGTCCAAAGAGTGGCGGCAAAGGTCCACGGCTGCAGCGACTCTACGCGCTATCCTTCACAGCACTTTGTAACTATGTGCGACTTGTATAGACCTTTTTGTGAAAACAGCCATTTATAGGGGAGGGCACGACTTATAGACTGGAAGACACAGTATGTGCAATATCAGTGTATCCGTGTCAGCCTATTCTGCAAGAGCCCCAAACAGTACATCGTTTGGGGCTCCTCAAAATTGCTTGTTTAATCTGGGTGATGCAGAACAAGGCCAAGCACCTGAAGAGGACGTCACAGGTCCTGCTGGACGAGTACGATGGAGACATTCCGGACAGCATAGAGGGGCTGTGCAAGCTTCCAGGGGTGGGCCCCAAGATGAGCTACCTAGCCATGAGCTGTGGCTGGAAGCGCACGGTCGGCATTGGAGTGGACACGCACGTGCACCGCATCTCCAACTGGCTCGGCTGGCTGCCGCAGGCCACAAAGACCCCCGAGCAGACAAGGAAGGCACTGGAAGCCTGGCTTCCGAGGTGAAGGCATTTCCTTGCATATGCCGAGGTTTTTTTTTTTGCTGCCCGCATTATTTTTTGCAACTTGAGTAACCGGCCGGTTAGCATTGGTGAGACTGGTCTTTTGAACGTTTCAGCTTTCCGATCGGAAAGGGGGGGCGCCATTATCCTCTTCGGCGTCTGCCATCTGTTACGACTTTTTTACTTCAGGATCGTTTAGGGCGAAAAGAGAAATGGTTACGTTATCTATTATCTGGAGTTGACTGTATGCCGGAATCTGCTCAGCGACCCACTGGACATGGCTCAAACTGGCTGGACAGTTTGAGGAATGTTTGCTGACACAATGCGAGGATGAAGGCTTAAACGGTTTTTGCACTAGTTTGAAAAGAAGCAATGACCAGCTATGAAGCAAGTCGGAAACTCCGAACACTCATATTCTGAATGACTGAATGGTGTTGATATGGTGTTTTCTTTCTTGGATAACGATTTTCCCATTTTCCCATTTTTTCTTCTTCACACATCCCCCTTTTGAGCATTTGACACTAAACTTCCTCGAAGTGGAGTGCACGAAGCCATGTCCTCCCTTATTTCTCTCCTCTCCCCCAAAGGGTGGGGAGTGAGGGTGATTGAGAGGTTTTTCTGCCTCGCAGAAGTTTGAGTTTAAATGTCTGTCCAAGTTTTATTATTATTATTTCTTTTTAATTTGAGTAGAGATTTTGTTTTATGCTTTTGGCTGAAGGAATGGGTGGAGGTGGATGATACAAAGTAAAATTGAATGTGCTGACTTTAAGTTGATGGTCTGCACACTGTTTTGGTGCTGTTTTAGTTTTCATTTAAATTACAGTACAAAATTAGCAATTGGTTTTTGAGCGATTCTCCAATAACAAAACTGAATTTAATTAAGATTTCAACCCACATGTCTATTCTAAGGAATAACTTAATTTTACATTTTAATTACCTTTTCATTTATGGCAGGTACATCAGAGCAATTTGTACCTTTGGTACACTTCAGTAATGACTGCGGTGCAGTTTTTCTTTAGAATATAAAACGGCAAGAAGCGGCACCCACGGTATTGAAGCGATTGTCGCAGTGCATCCGTGCCGGGAAACATGCTCAATGGAGTTAAAAATATTTAAGTTTTGAAAATATTCCAAGTAGTCTGGACAATTCCAGAAAATTTAAAATACATTTTTGACTACTCTTGATTTAAATGTAAGAGCGCCTGGCATTATCCAGAAATATACTAAATAGGTAAGTCTACTATTGAAATTCAATTAAAATACTTGGGTATTGAAATCATTATTCTAAAATCTAGGGTTGTGCGAATATTCGAAATTTCGAATAGTAGTTTCGAATAATACACTATTCGATATTCGCTTTGAAAAGAACTGCACTATGCACGGGTGTTGCTTCTCCGCATTACATTGGTGTTCGGTAAGAAGCGCATATAACGGGGTAACCCGCCGCGATAATCAATATCGTAATTGCGTGCATGGAAGAAAAGCATACATTCAAAGCGGGATGGTGCGCCCGTGCCGACTGTATTTGAAGCTAAATGGAAACTTTGTGAATGTGTATATCTACAGTGTAGTAAAAGTTTCAGAATTAAACTTTTATGCAACAGTATACTATGTTAGGCGGAGATGCTTTTACAACCTGTGGTTCATCATGCGCAATTAATTCTTTTTTAACTTAAGATTAAAGAAAGATTATTTTGTATAGAAAGATTTGTAAATTCACTCAATCAGTATAGTTGGCCATCTCTATAGGATTCATTTTATGTCAAATCCGTCGTTTACTTGCCATCCCGAGACACCAGACCTTCCGAGGTCACAGTTCATAAATATAGATAGAGGTTAGCTTATAAATGAACAAGTTTAATAACCTTCACAGGTTTAGTTGGGTTTTCGTCTAAGCATTATGCAATGGTAGTGAAAGGCGTGGAAAAACTATTCGATATTTGAATCGAAAATATTCGGCCAAAACCATTATTCGCTTCAAACTCAAAATCCACTATTCGCACGAGACTACTAAAATCTGAAATACCATTTGGCTATGTCTCCTGCTTAGTAAATCTATGTTAAAATGTGTCCAACTGCTGCTTTATTTTTTCTCTTTTTGAACAGAGATTTGTGGGACGAGGTGAACCATCTTCTGGTCGGATTCGGGCAGACGGTGTGCAAGCCCGTGGCGCCAAAGTGCTCCTCGTGCCTTAATCTCCAGCTCTGTCCATACGGAAGGAAACAAGTCAATTCCAAGAAGAATTCCAAGAAGGAGGCAACTTGAACTGAGGTTTTTGACTGTAAGTGCCTCATTGTGTTGCGTTTGCTGAAGTTAGAACATTTTTAAAAACATGCAAGTATAAAAAGAAAAAAGTACCCTACCCTAGAGTATGACTTTACTTGCCTGGTTGTTCCGTCGTATACACAGACATGTCGGGCGTTTTTGAGTATCTATTAAATTTATTCATTGATTGAATCTGTAGATGTTTGCATAGCAGGAAGTCAGTCAGCATTGGAAAATATACGACACTAGAGCCACAAAATGAGCTACGATTAGGGCATCGGCTCTGTTCCCCAATATCGTTGTGGGCGCCGCCATCTTGGTGCTTGTGCAGAGCAGAATGCAACTACCGATCGTCGCAATTCAAAAGTGCGACTTCCTCAGCATTAAATTCAGTGTTAGGAAGCTTGTGTAATCTTGCTTTGCTCTGTTGCGAACTGTTTAGACATTTGTGGACGGTGGAAAAGAGTTTCCTGCGATTTCAGATAAAGCTTCAGAGAACTGGCAACCATGATTTTAAGCCCCAAGACGGATGAAGTGTCGTTACTCGGAAGCCTAGCATATTTAGTGGCACTATGCAACACCTCTGGCAAACGGGCAATCTGGCCGGTGTCTTAGACCAGTGGTTTTCAAAACTAATGTGGTACGATTGGACGATTACAATGCTAAAAGTCAACCTTGAAGCTCTGAAACAGAATTATCAGCAGCACTTGGCACTGATGGTTTGGTCTATTTATACATGGGTTGCACGTGACGTGACGTCATTCAAAGATCGCTCCGATGACCACCAGAGAAGAGGGAGCTCTCCTCTTATCAGATCCTTTTTTGTGCCTCCCGGATTTGCAAAGATTGTAGAAGATCAACCAGTCACTCGAAATTCTTTCAAAAGCAGCTTCCCGCTCCTCCTCTTACATGGTGGTCGAAAGTATGCGATGTGACGTCAGTGCAACCCATGTATAGCTTTGTGGGATAGCCAGAATCTATAAAAAAAATGTTTTATTGCTTCGCTCAATTGACATTCGAGGGGCTTCAGGGACCCTAAGGAGACCTTCAGGGACCCCAAAGGGCACATGGACCACCATTTGAGAACCACTGTCTTGGACGGTACTCCAAAACACACTGGTACAAAACCTATAGAAATTGGCAGGAGTTAGAATAACTTCCGGTGTTCGTAACGGTAACACAAATTTTGCTTTACTTACTTCCAAGAGCTAGCCCACATCAGCCACTAACCTCCTACGACAAAGTTGAACACCCCAAATTTAAAATAAAATGGGCCAAGAGTAGCCATGATCATTGTGTATCTGCTGTGAAAGATGCAGATGCTATCATTGATTTGAGCATGATACCTGTGGGTCTCAGAACGCGTATACGTAAACTAAACAGAAAAAAGACCATGTTTTTGTTTTTTTTAATCGTGCTTTGCAAATTTACACAGTGTTTAATCGGTACAAAATTAATTACAGACTTGCTGATTGGGTTTGCAAGTAGCTGCAGTGTTATCACCTTTGATTGCAAAAGGGCATCTCAAATTTGTGGCTTAAAACATGAGAAAAATTTTATTGCAGCACATGTGTTCTGGCAGACAGAATGTTATGACTTGTTTTTCATTACTTAAGAACAAGTTCGCACAGTCGGCACTCAACGGACAAGGAGTGGAGATTTAACTCCACCGGCACAAAACATTGAGCAATGACAGTTGAAAAATTATCGGTTTAAAATGCGACATTGCTGCGTCGACACAATACTCCATTAAACGAGGAATCAAAATTTGCGGCACAAAGTTGCCAGTATATTGGTAAACCTGGGCATTTACATTAATCTCTGTCTGCCACATTCAGAAGACAAGTAATGCACCACTTGTCATCCAAACGACAGAGCTGAAGTAATCTCATTAAAATCCCGATTACTATCGAGTGATCTTTGTTTATTGCTCATTGAATTCTTTAAATAATGTTTGTGTATTCAGGCGTGTTAGTTCTGGCAACCGTTGTTGCAACACATTCGTTATTAAATATCTTGATCTGCCGGTAACTGAATAAATGGTAGAATACTTGGAGCGTAGGAGTTCATAATAGTCTCCGACAAGTTAAGATTTTAATGAGCTTCTTTGGTCTAGCTTGCAAAGCTGAAATGCAGTCGTTTTTTGGCATTAAAGATAGAAAGAACGTCGATTCATCCCTGAGAAATGCGTGGGTTGAGCTATCGCCACTAGATGCGGCTTATTTGAGCGCAAATACTATTTTTTTTTGTCGGAATGACAGTAAATCTTTGCATACTTCTGCGAGTGTTAGGAGAGCTACTAAGGCATTGAGCCCTCCCAACGCTACATAAAATCTCTCCTCATTATAATTAGACGGTCTTTGGGAGAACTTTTACATCTAAAGCTATCAGTGTGGTCTCTTTGTGAACTAAGTGTGGCCTTGTATTAGTCTAAGCTTTCGTCAACATAGAATGTTCCTTCGGCTCGTGGAACAGCTTTGTGCGACAATGCTAGTAAAAACTTGAGAAATTGTTACAAGTCCACATAGTTGCAAGCAGTCATTTGCCACAAAATAGAAAGGCCTTTAGCATATGGCAACCAGACATTCATAGAACATGGATATAGGACAAACCATAATCTAAAAACAAAACTCGTCGTAGCATAGTTAAAGAGAATCAAACAGACCAAGGATGGCAGAAATTGTACACAACAAAACCAGCATCTTAAGAAGGATCATCCATTGACTCTAACTGCCACATTCTTTAAAATCCAAAAGGTCTTCAAGAGAAAAAAAGGACAAGTGGATCGAGATCACCTCGAAACGCTTTTGTCCTAAAAGTCACGCGGGTATGTACTCGAGAAAAACATAAATATCACAACCTTTGGAAACAACTTTTTCACTGTGCAGAAATCGCTGCCACAAGTTTAGCAAACTCGCATTGTGTAAACAGTGCCACATGAACAGTATATGCAAGTTCTTTGCTAAAAAAAAAAAGCATATAAAACACATTCAAGAGAGAATGTGAGGGTACAAACACCTGTCTCTGAGCATTATAGGCTATAAAACATGAACCTGTTGGATCGTTGGACCCCTTGATCAGACATCCACAATCAAAGTTCAGTTTGTGGATTTTCTAGAAAATACTGGAGAACTAACTTAAAAACACGGTCCGCAAGTATTTGCCATAGAGAGAATGCCAGAGCTTTTTGGTTGGGCAACACCGCTCTTAATTATCACTAATATAGATTCTTCAAAGCTCAACCTCGGTGGTAAATCGCCATTTGAAACCTCGAGCTGTTGACCTACGCAGTCCGTTCAAAGGTCCAAGCATCCACCGATCCCACACGTCATACAGCACTACTGGCATACATCAAATACCCCACATAAAATCGTGCAACAACCGGGCTTGGCTTGGCTTCCTTGCATACGCAGGTAAAGACTGCGCTCGTCTTGGAACGATCCTTAAAAACATTTAAAAAATCTGGAAAATGCGAGGCTAGTGGTCCACCCTGTCGTAAAACCTCAGTCCCACAGGATGGCTAGGGACGACCACAAACACGTAACTCGTGTTGAGCGTGCGCGAGCAGGGTTCCACGACGAAGTTCTGCACGACCTGGAAGAGCAAAACGTGCCACGGGAAACTTGTCACTGTTGTTGGAATGCTTCTTCTGAACTTGGAAGAACATTGTAAAACAGGGCTTTGAACATCTTTCAGGATATTGTTTTTACGAGGGAGCGAAGCAAAAGGTTGCTCGCTTACATTTGCACACACTACAAACGAATTCGGCACCCATGTTCTGCCACGAGATGGCAGCACTTGTCAGTGAGAAGTCGTAGAGAGCCTATATTTAAGATAATTTCCAACTGCTCGCTCGATTTAGGTCACATGGTTTATGGGCCACGTTTACAATTCGCGACTCCAGCAAAACGGACGCCACCAAGCAGGAAAACTGGGAACCAGCCGGACCAGGTCGCTTTGCGCCCCTCCGAGTCTCTGGTGGCTTTCGCGGACACGTGTTGTCGGCGAGGTGGTGAACAATGTAATTTGACGAAGGTCCGAAAATTTCTTAAGTTTGCCTGAGTGTTCATTAGTGTGGTGAAGCCTCAGTAGATTGTTTCCTTCCATCATGTGTTTGAAAGCCCGTTTACTCCACAACACACGGTCGCGTGCTTTCGATTTCTTGGATGGGGAGGAATCGTGGAAAAATGTTTTGATTTATTGTCTGTCTCGAATCACATTCAAAGCCAGCAGCAGTATACGTCTACATTGCTCAGGTTGACCGGCCACAAAATATACTCATTTTCTCCGTTCAGGATTCAAAGCAAAGTTCAATGCCAGAGAGGTTCTGCGTGAATCTCCGATGAAGACTCTTCAGTTTGTCTCCATGCTGCCCGCAAGAGCCATTTGGCTAAGTTTAAGTAGTATCTCTCTGTCTGTCAAATATACTTTTATTCAGCAGTTCACCTAATAGCTAGTCAACTAAGCTCATATTTCAACCCGAAGAATATACTAATATCGCTTTAGTGGGGCATAGTATGTAATATAATACATAACCCGCTCGTCAAAATGACTTCTCGATTGCTACTAAAACTGGAATTGAAATATGAGTATCAGCTGCTAAGTGAGGCGCCGGCGGGTTAACATGGTCCTTGGCTCAAGAAGCGCTTGCTTAATTTTCGCAATTTTCCTGCAGCCTGTGTTGTTGACCGAGCAGACGACTGGAGCTGTTTCTTAAACGCGGATACGCACAAAAGCTCGATCTCGCGGACAGATAAGTCGCAGGGTCGAGGCATGAGAGTTAGCTGAAAATTACTCTTGGTGGAACAATTCTGTAATCATCGCCGCTTTCTTTAGATGATCGAAACTGATTAGTATATTACCGTCTCTCCAGAGCCCATAGTTTCGGTTTTGAACAAAATCTCCAAAACAAAAGTTTGACATGAAAAGAACAAAAACACCGGGAAAACAAAACTATGCTTTGCAAGTTTATGTGCACTGGCTACAGTTAACCGTCTCAGTTCAAATACCTATAAAATTGGGCATTAAACAAAAGAAAATCTGTTAAATTGAACGCGCCACCTGTTCAGGCGGCCCGGCCGAGTCGACGCGACCTGGACTCAGCCGCCATGTTTGTTTGGTGGTGGCGCCCCCTATAGGTTGCTGGAGTCGCGAATACAGGCAGTCATCCGAATAAATGTTTAATACAAAAAGTTACACCGAGCTCTCTTGACTTACGTCATTTGGGTCGGTTAATCGTCTGCGAGCATCCCCACCTTTCCGCCCGCTTTCCTTCTTGCCACCCGCAACGCAGCTGGCGCACATGCAACCGATCCGCGCAGGAGGCCTTCACCATTAAATCGAAAACGCTCTCCGTGATTCAAGTTCCTCTCTTTCTTCAATCTAGGCTCTTTAAGAAATCAGAACCAACGCTATATCCCAGCATGCCACCATTGAACTGCAGCTAGGTGATTGTGGTGCGGATGTTGCAAGCGCATATTCGAGGAGAACGGCACGGAGTCTCGCATTTTCTGCGGGTTAAAGGACCAGAAACGGGGAAGGTGCGTAAAGAAATGCTCGAAGTTTATGGTAAAAACATTATAGGAGCTAGATTACGCTGACAAAGACTATTAAGCACAGAATGTGTGATAGGCCTTCCGGGGGAATGAGAGAAGGGCATCCGAACGGCAGCGCCCAGTTGTGTATGCTCCGATCCCCGACAGCTCGGTCGACAAAGCTCTCGGCTCACAATTTCGAGACGGAAAGTTTAAATCCTGCTGGGGGACCGAAGTCTTTTATATGGTCCCCGACGAGCGCAACGCTTTTCAGTGCCGTTACAGGCCAAACATTGCGGACCTATGTGAAAATCAGTCGATAAAATGCATTTGCGCTAAAAATACATAAAGAAAAGTCAGTTGTAACTGGATGAACGCGCATTGCAGATGAGGAGCATCAAGGTCGTTTCACGGAGGTTGCTACTGAGATCACGACACGGCGTGTGGAGGAGACGACCTGTGCCAACCGACGTCGAAGCTTGTAGTGCAGAGGCTGGTCCACATACTTGTGTTTGGTTGAAATCTAGTAGACTGTGCAGCCTTTAGCTTCCCTCCGATTGCTTTTGGCGAGAGGACGCGCTGGCGCCACCTATTGGGTAACCCTGGAACACTGGGGATTTGCGTATATTTCATTCATCTATTTTTTTCTCTCATCTTTCTTTCGCCCCAAAACCTTTTGACAAGGTTATGAACGACCATTCCTCGTAAATAGCATGTACATTCTATCTCGCAGATACCGCAGAACCTTCGCTCTAGTAAAATGCAGTTCCGGGGCTACCTCATACATGGGCGCCGGCAAGCTCACTCTCGTCGCAAGGGAGCGCAAGGCTGCATAATGCACTCGGTTGGAACCAAACGCAGGTGTGCGAGACCAGCTTTGGGTTGCTTTTGTGGGACTGCCTACAACACATGAACAACTAAAATTCCACGAAGCTTTTTTTTTTCTTTTTTTTTTTCCAGTTCTATTTTGCGATTTATACAGGGCGTTTCCTTTGAGGAGGGGGGTTGGGTGGGGTCTTTACAGATTTGTTTCAAAAAAAGCCATGAAAGCTACACTTGTGCGGTCTATGCAGGCGAGTTATACGGCTGGGAGGACATAATATGAGGGGCTAATTGTTGGGATAAGCGAATGTTTTAATGGGTGCAAATAAATGTATGCTTTCAATTCGCAACTAGCTCGGCGTCGCCAAAAACTACAGTGTAGACCGCATATAACGTATGTCGCAGGAATCGCGAAAATCCGCACTACAAGCGGTACCGCGCTATAACCAAAACATAAATTTTTCAGGCCAAAATACATGCCATCAGACAACTTACCTTTGTAAAAGAATTTATTTTTTTATTTTAAGTTAGATGAAAAATAAAGCTTAGTTTGAGGAAAGTCTTTATTTCACCAGACTAGTACACTTCTCTCTCAAGTGTGTCACGTATTTTGAAAGAAATGAGTGACTTTTGCCTGGCACAGCCTTTTAACGGCGTCGCGGGTTGCGGACGGACGTTGAGAGCGTTCAGGATTGCTAACCCTAACCACTTTTCTCCGGCGATGAAAACACGTGAAAATTCGCATCCTTTATACAGTACGCGCCAGTAATACCTTCAACTTGAGCACAGGCATAAAATGCTCCAAATAAGAAATCCGGGCGATGTTCGAAAACACAAATGCTTAGAAAGCACCACTGTAGTCGAAGTAAACAAACTCGACGACGCGGGCGTTTCTGCCGTCTTGATAGTGCCGCCACAACATCGCCGCACGAGTAGGTGGATCTTCCCTTCTAGTACGTGCTCGGTTATCGTAGCGACACACGACGAAAATTCACAGTCAATGATAGCGCTTTTACACGGAACGAAGAGCTTCCACCACGCTGTCTACGTCGATGCCACCGACGCCATGTTTGCGGATAAAAGCAGCGGGCCGGCGACCGGCATGCCGGGCATGCAACGTGCGCGAACGCTTCTCCTCGACGTGCGATTGGTCTGTCGTTGCGGTTGTTTGTTTCCAACGCAGCGGAGGGACGCACGCACGTGAACGACACGTGCGTGCGTCCCTCCGTCGCTATGGCAACTGAAGCCTCTCTCTCTTCGCTTCTCCCCGCTTCTTCGAGCAACCTCCTTGCCCCGCGAGTGCCGCTTGCGGCTCGCGCCGTTATCTAGTGTCGCACAGGGAAGCGTGCTCGCTGCGCCGGTCAGTTGGCGCGCTGTTCCAGAAACCGCACTATAACCGGTATTTCCCTTCGCGTGCCTGCATTTTAAGCAGTATGTAAATACATGGAGTTCTGTGGAAGGCGAACCGGTGGTTTAAAAAAGCCGCATTATACCCGGTCCTGCACTACAAGCGGTTACGTTGTAAGTGGTCTATACTGCACCAGACAAGTAAATTTGATAATGATTTAGGGTTGCACAGGAAGCGTGGTGGTGTGCCAAAGTTACCACCCCTCAAGCAACGGCCCCAAAGCTGACGACAAAACAACGAGAAAAAAACCCGCGCAGATGTGTTTGTGCTGCTAGCCTCGCACGTGTTGCAGGAGTGGCAAGCTTGGCACACCGCCACGCTTTTCAACGCGCTCCCGAGCGCGTAATTGGGTAAATGATAAAATTTAACCATTTACTGGTTGTTCACGATGCTCGCCATTTTTCTAGTCGAAACCCTGCGTTCATCTTCACTCGTTAAAACATTAATGAACAAATTTGAGTTAAGTATCCGACTCATTGCGACGATTATTAGGTCCCCCGGTCACAATCCACAATAGTGTAGCTTCTGCATTTTTTTTCTTTCAATGGTGTGTAAAGCTTAAACACCTCATAGTTGGATGTGAAAGCCTACCTTGGCAGCGGCAGTCATGAGCTCAAGCTCGGCGAAGCGGCGCCCCGCGCACATGCGCGCTCCGTGACCAAACGGGAGTAGGCTGAACGGGTGGATCTGCGTCCTCTCGGCTCCTAGCCACCGCTCAGGACGGAATGCCTCCGGTTCCGCAAAGTACTTCTCCAGGTGGCACGTAACCAGGGAGTTTGCAAACACCGGAACCTGGCGATGTCATTGCCAAAAGAAAGAAGGATACTGCAGATGGGGGTTCTGGCACTGGTGAAGTGTGTGGAATGAAATAACATACAGCATATTTTCGATTCCGCTGTGATCCGCAAAAATAGGTGTCTCAATGCATCACGCTCGGATTTACTACAGAGGTGAGGCTAGGTGGTGCGCACAGGGAGTTAAAATATCGACAAAATAAACTTGCCACGTTCAGGAAAGAAAGAAGAAGAACCTGTTTCGGGCTCGATGACTTGGTGATGCTGTCGACAGATGGCGTACGCATTGAAGGCGTGGGGACACACCGATTCGGGTTTCGATGGCAGACGATCTAGCAAAAGTATTTCTATGCATATGCCATCCGTCGGCAGCGTCTCCAAGTCGACGAACACCGCCTGCGTCTTCCGGGAAATGGTGCTTGCCCGAAACAGGTTCTCCTCCTTTCTTTCTTGAACAAGGCAAGTTTAACCGTTAATATTTGAACTGTATACGTGCACCACCTAGCCGCACCTCTGTAGTAAATCCCAGCGCAATGCGTTGGGGAGGAGGAAGCAGACTGAACACTGGAGAGAGGAGGAGGTTTCCCCCTCTCTTTCCAACGTTCCGTCTGCTTCCTCCTCCCTGGCCTTCCTTTCCCTCGCCCTACCTTCTTGAGTTGCAACAAACTATAGCATCGAAATGAAAAAGGGAGACACTCGCGGAGAGGAAAAAAGAGTGAGAGGTTCTCGGGGGAAAGAGGGCAAGGCGGTACTTTCAGTATAGAACGGCTTTAACCCCCAGAGTCTGGAATAAAACATCAGATGCAAGTAAACTCGAGGTGTGAATAGGGAATAAAAGTGAATACAAGTTGCGTCAAAGTGATTTGAAGGAGCTCTGGGGATCAAAACTTTCATGGTGATGCCATTTTAGCCGCATTCAGTGACAGCCTTCTGAAATGAACTGCACTAATGCAATGGCCCAATTTCATTAACAGTTCCTTAAAAGAAAAAAGTTTTTGGCGCAAACGAAGTTTTGAGAAGTGATTATTCAAAACAAATTAGACAAGTTTCACAAACTTCCTTGACAAGGGCTTTGCACCATGCAGTTTTGCAACAGTGTTCTTATTCGTGATGTCAGCTGCATAGTTCGTGAGAAGGGGCTTTCCAGACTTCGTGCAGATCAGTCTTAAGAAGAGCTGTCGTCATATCTGCACGTCAAAATGGGAAAGTCCGTCGTGACTTTCGCAGCACGTTCCACACTGGATTGCAGGGCTTCACAATGTTCTTTCTGTGCTGCCAGTGCAATGTCCACAAAACTCTTCAGTGCTGTCAGGGCAGTGATGAGCTCAGGTATGGGGTAGCACAGGCCTCATCTGCCTTGATAGGCAACTAAACCATCTACAAATGCATTTGACTTCGGTTTTAGCACAAAAGCAATGCAGCTGTCACTGTTGATGTATTCCAAAATGGCTCTTGCTACAAAGCCTCCCAGAATGGTGATGCTGGCAGCAACAGGACCTGGCTGCTGGGGCCTTGGTGAAATGCAGAGCTCCCGAAGTTTTTCTCAACTACCACTGGGAAGTTGATGGTTGCCTTGGCTGCATTGCTGTCAACGGTGACCAGGGTGCTGGTCTGGTACGAGCACATTGCTCTGGTGCGACGATGCAATTAGGGCAGTTTTTAGTTCTCAAGGCCATTCAGGGTAGCTCTCAATCAAGGGCATCATTCCATCCCACTTGTTTTGCCTCAGAAATCCAGAACAATGCTTCTAGTGGATCACTAGAGAACTTTCGGGTTGGCGCAAACCCAAATGTTCCCTTGCAAAGAAGGTGCAAGATGCACTCAACATTTGAGTGTGTGTAGTCAGAACGAGGGCATGGTAGGTCTCTTTGGTTAAGAAGTTTTGAGGCAGGCTGTTCTTCAGCTCCAACAGGTATTCAATGAATACAATTTTAAGCAAGTCCAGTCTTTCGACATGGGGGCTGCAGAAGTTGCAGTTACTCACATCCATGAGGAGGAACCACCTATAAACGGTCTTCACAAACTTCAGTGGGTTTTATACTGATGTGAAGACCACATCACACGTGTGACCAGCTTGGTCTTTCATGAAGCTGAATGCTGCTGTGAGGAGATGAAAATATCTGGACAGCACTTTGCGCACTCATCTTTTCAATATTTGTGGGTAGATGTGCTTTCTTGTTACAAACCTCACCAGCTTTACAGTGCTTCCAGCCTGCATCTTGCATAATTTCTTCCGAGTAACTCAAAAAATTTTTTTCGTCGCCACCCAACTCTCTTGCGAGAAACTGACTCCCGACATTTTTTATGATATGTGACTGGTCAAAGGCGAGGCAAAGTTTTGCTGGGCATCGACTGGATGGCGTATACATTTCCCAGGACTTTGTAATTGTAGGGCCTTACAATCTCAAGGCCCAACTCTTCAACTTTCCATGTGATGTGAAGTACCACTGTAGCAAGTTGGTTGCCGCTACATCCCTTAGTAAAAAAATAGCCCACTGGTATATTTTGAATCCTACAGACTATCCACAGAGCAAGAATTAGCAGAGCGTTAGCGAGAGAGTCGTCATAATACACCAGTTCCACGCTCATGTCCACGTCTCCAGTGAAGGCGTCTTGCTGCTCGTGGTTGTCCAGGAGTTGTCAGATAAGCATTTCGTCAACAAGAAGGCCGCACACTCTTGACTGAGACGTTTTTAGGTTTTAAACCTCGGTTCATAGACGGCTGTAACCGTGAACGGAATTGAAGTCAACCTCTGCAACATAATTTTCCAATGTGTTTTGGTGAGGCAGCTTCAATAGTTCTTGCAGGATTTACCTTAGCTCTCAATTGATAGGTTTCTCAGAATTATACAGTGTCAAACAGTTGTTTCCAACCAGGCTAGCCTCTTCTTCTTGATCTTCTGATTCTGGATCAGACTTGATTCAAAATCATGAGAGCGACTTGGTTTTGCTTGTTGGCTTCCTGCACAACCTTGAGGAATCAACCTTGCAGTTTTCTTTCAATTGCTGCAATTCCTCCTTATACTTGTCAACTGCTTACTTCAGCCTCTCTGCTTTTGTTTGGAGCATAATTTCCTTCCGGCACCATTGTTTCCATTTGTAGAATGTAATAAAGAAATTCCTCTTCAAGGATTGTGTCCCGTACTCTCCTTGCATAAGCGATTCTTTCACTGGTGACTAGGCTCGGCACACAGTGCGTTTCATTACTTCCGATGGTACTATAAGAACAATGGCATGAACCTGGTTGTGACAAGTTCAGTGGTCTATGCCCGAGTCTTTTTGCGGCAGGCTCATCGATCCACTTCAGGACTCACACCACCGGAAGAGCTGTCGTCATCCACATAGCTAGAAGGTGCTGCCAGCAGCCCTAGGTCCATGCATTGTGGCCCAGCAGTTGTCGCCTGTACAGTTCTCTGAACACCTTGCAGCTTCACGGTTGTTGTTGGTTTCCTTTTTCGCTTGTTTACGCTCTGGGTGCTCAGTTGCTTGACAGGTGCTGGCTTTGTGTAAAAAGGGTATCCCTCAAATTTAATTGGAACCACTCCTTGAACCAACCGCCTAGATTTTTGTAGTCGTCTCGAAGCGGCTGTCGTCGAAGTGGTTGCCATACACAATAAAATAGTTGGATGTTGTCTTTGGCTGCCAGTCCTTATGCAAGACCGTCTTCAGCCACTGTTCATGCGACACGACGTCAGCCAGAATCTTGGGAAAGGAGGCTCCTGGTTGCTTCTTTTTACTGTTGGGGGTGCAGAACAGGATGCAACAGTAAGGCATGCTCGCAGCACTCGTAGCACAGCAGTGTATCAATTTAAAATCGGGCAAAAGTTTGCAGACAAGTCAGGATAACCGGCTCCAACGTTGCACAGAAACCTACTGAGACGACCGAGAATTCCACGGCTGTGCCTAACGTAACACCCGCTAGCTCGCCAAAAAGCCCAGATGGTCAAAGTTTGCAGCTCTGCTGTCCTCTTCCCTTCTTCCCGTCACAGGGAGCTACTGACTTGGACCATCTGGGTGGCAAGCTGCAGTGCCAGCCAGGGTGTTTTTAGTGTCATGGTCCAGAAGCTTGGCTTCTCTTCTCCCATTAAAGGAATGCTACTCTGCGACCCACCATTTTGAGATCTGTGTATTTTGAGTGGTTTGAAAAAGTCAGTTTTCTTTGGTATAAACTATGTTGGGAATCTGGTGTCTCCGCTGTACAGTGAAACCCGTTTAGAGCGAACCCACATACAGCGAATTATTGTCGATATCGAACTTAGGGAAACGTTCAATAGAACTGCATGTAAAAAACACTCTTTTATAACGAACAACATATTGGCTATATCAAACCCCCCCCCCCCCCCCCCCCCCCCCCCCCCCGGAAGGCTTCCAAAAACGCGCAAACAATTGTCTTCTAGCCTCTCCCTTCCCCCTCCCCCCCCCCCCCCCCCCAAAAAAAAAAAAAAATTAGGAAAGAAAGAAAATTCCAAAAGCTCTAGCCGCTGACAAAATTGACAAAGATAAGCGATTCAGCAGGGGAGAAAGCTAAAAAACACTACACCCAAGCACAGAAAAAAAACAAAAAACTTCAGCCTAAAGCGGTTGCCCATGAAGAGAAGCGATTCAGAAGGGAAGAGAAGCTAAAAAAACAAACTGTGCATGCATGCAAAAAAAAATATTTTTTTTTAGTGCTTTGTTGCAAGGTGCAGGCGAAGAGATAAGAAAGAAGGAGGAGCTCTCGCCTTACAACGAACGCATCGTGTAAGTTCGTGGTAAATGGTTTTTGCTATATCGAACTGATCGTAGAGTTTCCTGCAGTTCGTTATAAACGGGTTTGACTGTAGATTGGCTATTTGGCCAGTGCAGCAGAACTGCACTGGCAAAATCGTTTCATCACGAGTGCTGGGAAATACTGGCTAGTGTAGTACGGCTGCACTGGCCATATCGTTTCATCACAAGTGCTGGGAAACAGTATATAAATTTAAACGGGAGTTCAGCAGAAGCAGCAAAAATATGTTTTAATGCGCCCTTCAACATATATGCCTCCCCAGTAGTTAACGTTCATCACACAACAGTGATTACAATCCCGCATTCCAGTGAAACGCTCAGTCAAGTCTGAACGTACAGTGGCGGGGATGAAGCCTAGGATTCCTGGGTTTTGCAGTGTGTGCTTTCACTCCATCTGTTCTACCGGCTGGCCAACACACCCAGCTGCAGGCCCCTTTAGTGCTTTGGAAGTAGTGTACAACTAATATTAATTCTTATTTAAATATCCTCCGTGCAACATCGAAGACCATGTGCTTATTTATTTTCATCAAAACAAACAACGATCTCGACCTGCGGCTCCACACAGACAGCATGGCCAGCTGGGCCTGCAGGGCGTTGACGGCATCGACGGACTGATGGAGGGCAGTGGAATATGATTGCCCCTGGCAGCAAGGTGCAACAAGCAAAGAGGTTAGGAGAGGGTGTGAACATGCTTTTCGGGCTCTCTTGCCAGGCATCACCCTCTAGACCTTTCCAGCGGCAGTCTCGAACGAAGCGATTTACAGCGCGTGTCCCTGGTTTTGAGAGTGTACGTCAGTGTTGCCCGACTGCGCTGAGCTGTGGATTTTCTCGTCAGTAGGCTGTGGCAGCCTGCGTTGGCGCAATTCCGGACGCTGGTGGCGGCTGAATTGCCGCGTTTTTTTTTTATCTTGTGTTTTGTGGCGAGCATAATTTATAGAGGTCTTTAACAAAGCGGTGCTCTATTTTTGGGCACAAAAACAAAGAAATGAAAGCTGTTTTGGTGAGTCCGTGCGCGACAGAACAAATGCAACTGGAAGGTTTGTTTCATTTTATGTTCATTGTTTTACGGCACCGTAAACTCAGCCGTGTCAATCTATAAAGGTCAAAATATTTGACCACACAGGATATCCGTACTGCATGGATATTCCCCGCCCACAACATAAAATTCAATGAGTCTCATCAATCAAACAAAAAATATATTGTACGTACCCCTCGGTGCCGCGTTATCCGAACAGAATTTGAGAAAGGTCTCAAATAACACAGCATGTCCAATATACAGTGTCGACGACAGTCACTTCACGACGATCGGACGGAATCCGGCGTGTTTTGGGGAACATGTAGAAGAGAGCTCCTTTTTTGCGCAGCTTCATAGCAAATGAACGAACGTGCTTATTATGTCGCCACACCCCGGACCCGACCCTATCAGCTAGTTTTTGCGAAGACCCGGAACACAGCCTGGAAGGCTTTTTGGAGATTATATCGACGGAAATAATCCTCCAAGCACGTCGAACTGCCTGTGTCGCGGGCTGCTTGACGTTCGCTCTCTTCGTTCGTTTCCTGCGAAGGCCGAGCGGGCTACGAGCCCTGGTATTCCCTGGTTCTCACAGTGGAAGATAACATACAAAGGGTAAGCATCCTAAGCAAGCGAATAAAATAAAAACTTCAAAGAAAAGCCGGCGAACTCCGAATGCAAAATGCAGGTGGGGAGTCACGCTGACCGGGTTTCCACAGCTCAGGCGGGTGCCAGAAATTTCTGGCTGATAGGGGTCGCTCGATTCGCAAAATGGCGGCGGCGAGAGCGCTCTTTTTGGAAAGGTCTATAGAGGAGGCGCTGCTTTAGTGCTCCACCGTGCTTCCCTCATGCTTCTAATATGAACAGATTTAGTGATTTTCGATGGTGCTCGGAAAGTTTCTAATTAGAACCACATGCTTATTTTCAATATTTAATACATTAATTAACATATTTTAGTTAATTAACCGACTGATTGTTACAACTATCCCCCTATACTATGTCCCCCCGGCCGTATAACTCACCCGCACAAACCATATTAGTGTAGCTTTCACGGCTTATTTTAAACAAATTTGTTAAGCTTAAAAAGGAACACCCTGTATAGCTTTTACAGGAAAGAGCCAGCACTATGAGTATTTGACAGTGTTGCAGAATGAGCACCCCCATTCCATCTCCATTCCAAGGAATTGTAGTCTTTTCAATAATTCCATTTCTTTCAACTCCTAGGAATGAAGACACCAAGCCTATTCCCACTCCCGGAATGGCTGAAGATCGTCACAACTCGCATAAAAGTCAAGCTTATTCCATTTGCACTCCATTCCTGGCAAAAGGCATCCAATGCCATTCCTCCCAGCACTGCCGCCACCATTCCATTCCCAATTCATTCCAGGGTCATTCCAACCCCAGAGTGGCGACTGCATAACTTTGGTATCGGACATATTGTGGGGTTACTGAAAAAGTAACTTAAAGATATTGAGATCATTTCAAAGATTCTATAACAACGGCATTATAGGCAAACTTGTCGAGGTTATGGATTGAGAGATTTACCGTTTTAAAGACCTTCCTCTTTTTGTATTGTGGCATTGCATGTGGTGCTGCACCACACAACTGTTTTCATATGCTTTGCCCGGCTTAAGGAAGAGTTTTTTCCTATTTGTTAATGTAAAAGTATGAAGATGTTGCTCACCCCAGCTGGAACATGGTAGCCAGAGAGCACCACATCCTCTGGTAAGATTCGCATTACCCCAGGAACAGTGGGGTTCAGTCTGAAAAAGAAGGAAAGAACCACAGAGGGCACGAACTAAACTAAAATGTTTGTATAACAATTTGCCACATTAGTTTATAGAGACTACCCTATTTATTCGAAGGTAGGTCAACCTTTTTATGAACAGATCTGTGTGTCTGCCTTCCTGCAGAACCTACGGAGACCAATCATTAAGACTTCAGAGAATGACAAAACAAAAATAATGTTTAGAATAAAAAAAAAATTGTAGAAACTACAGGGGCGATTACCTATAAATGCGACAGCATTTACCGTTCTATACACGGGAAAGTGTTCGGTATCGACGACCAAGAACTGGAGCGCATTTATTTTATTTTTCAGCGGGGGAGCTGAATTGGTGCACAGGTTGAGACGTAAATTTTTTCCCCTAAATTTAACGGGGAACCTGACCAGGTGCATAGGTCGTGATGTACGCTAAATTTATCGGGGAAACTGTTTTCGTGGCCAGGAAACAGGATACCCATATAGCTAAAAATCTTATGGTGAATTCCATTTGCAGATCTCGAGCGCTCCAAAGGCGCTCCATTTGGAGCGCGCATATTCCGCTCGCAGATCTGGTTCGAGTTGGTCATCTTCCCCTCGTAAATCTCTGGCAACGCCCGCTTCATGGAGCGCCTCAAACCCCGCCGAACTTGCTCTTCGGAATTTCACAGCTCTTTCTGGAAGTCTACAGAGTGCCCTACGTCATTTCCTTCTAAATCTGCAGTGCGCATGCGTGGCGAGGTTGGCGAGGTCGGCGGGTCAGTCGGGCCACGGTCGGGTCGTCGAGTTGGATTTGTTCGGGTGCGTCGGTTGTTTAAGTGGGATTGCGAAGGCTTGAACGCTTCTACCTCGCGTAGATCAAGGATACAAAGCCGGGACTGTGGAGCGTGGTAAATCGTAAGCGCTGACATCTGTGATCGTGAGAGGAAGAACAAGAAAAAGAACGACAGAAAAGCCAGAGGCAGATGCAAGGTTAGGCCTGTTTATTCTGCAGCCAATGATTGTTTAAGTTTTTACACTGCATTCCGCCAGCGTTTTACCGTGCAATAAAGCAAGAAGAGATTAGGCAACGACCGTGTAAGTGATGGTTTGTTACCCCTGTATTTATCAAAGTCATACCAAAAATGTGAACTCCACCGCTGGCAAGCGCCGTGGTACGTATAATTTCGCCCGGCTTGTGTCGCGTGTTCTTTCTGCGTCAGAAAGATCAGTTGGCTGAAGCGTTGGTGGGCTTGTCAAGTTCAAGCAGCGGCCATTTTGAATGGCGGAGGGGGAAGCGGTGGGGAGGGGTGTGGGGGAGGTCGCTCCAAAAATGCGAGTTCATCTTCCGTTCGTCGTTTTGGTGTGGGTCCCACGGAGCGGAATTTTGCCTCCCTCGCGGATTTTGGAAAGCGCTCCGGATCTACGAGTGGAATTCAGCATTAGTAGCTTAGTAATGCTATCGCATTAAAAACAGCGATCCACACAGATCTCATTTTTTCATTCCGACGTTTTCAATGCCTTGTCATTCGCCAAGCCTCTCCTGTAAATTGCAATGATTGACTCTTTTTGAGCGTTGCAGAGAAATACACGCACAGGCATTGCTCATAAAGAGGTCGAGCTATTTTCGAATAAGTATGGTAATGTGAACAGACTAATCTGGTGAAAGATTGAAATAAATAGTATGTTACAACATGTTGGGGTGCAACATGCTGGGACCCAACTTGAACAATCAAAATATAAAAAAAAGAACTGGAGGTGCAATTATGTTATAAAAGCTACAAATATCTGCTATTCTGGGACACTTGTTTCGTAATAGAACACCCTTTTCTCCGGTACAACCAGTTTCATGACGCAGTTTGCTTTGTACTAGACCCAGTTTCATACAAGTTTCTTCAAGCTACTTTTGTTACTGCAGACCACCTTCGGTGACCCATTGCCACCGTATTTGCACAACTCGACATTGGGCTATTAGGGGAGAAGTATGCACACCGAAAGCTTTCCTTCATGCAGGCTCGAAGGTAGGAACAGCTGCTAACGTCCCCATTGGACGCCTGGAGTTCACCATGAAGTTTTTCTTGGACACCGGGGTTGCAGGCTAAGTGATGCAGCAGGAAGCACAGGGCATTGGTGGTCTTGAAACATGCAAACCAAACCATCATCATAGTTATTTGCCTGGATTTCATTAAGAAGCTTTCGAGGTTATCAATGAGCAAAATTGGAGGGAGGTGAACCTTTGGAACACCATTTTTGGGGGTCAGGCATTATTTCGGGAAAAACATTAACACTTGATGGTAATATTTTTTTTTTTTTTAAGGTGTTCAATAAAAAGAAGTGTTTGGCAAAATACCACCACAACTTTTTCTGACAATTTTCAAGGAAAGACGCAAGTTTACTCAAAACTAATGCGCTTCCTGCTTGGTGCAGTGCCATGTCTATGGCACTGCAGATATTATGGCAACCAGTCAACAAGTAATGTCTTTTCTGAAATACTGAATGTTTACCGTATTTGGTAAACATTTAGGATTTGGAATTTGCCAGAGAAATATAATGAAACAAGAAAAAAAAACTAATATAATAATAAAGGGGAAAGAAACACAGGTAAGCAGATGGACTACAGTAAAACCTCGTTATAACAAAACGGGATATAACAAACTAATGGATATAACAAAGCAATTATAATTCCCCTTGCTTGCTAATAGTGGGAAGAAATGGACATTGGCTATAACAAACTAATGGTTATAACGAAATAATTACGACCGCTCCTTCAACTTTGTTATAACGAGGTTTTACTGTACCGCTCCACAATGAGCACAAGACCAGGAAATATAAAAACTGGACAAACATGCACAATGTCTCAGAGATGTGTGTGCTTGTCCGTTTAATATGATTTTTTTTTATTATAATGATCCTATTTTTTTTAACGATCTATTAACTTAGTATTTGCTATAACTTGGCTCTCAGAAAGGGTGTAGTATCATCCACTGTGACAAAAAAATGTAAGACGGATAATGCTTGAAGCTTAACAATAGAGGTCCATGTCCCACCGTGAAAACGCCACCAGCGATGAAGTCCATAATCGTGAGGTGAACATCCTTTTCCGAGAGTCCTTCAGTGTTGAGCAGGGCATGGAGCAGTGATGTGTGCTTTGCATAGGGTGCATGAGCAGAGTCTTTGCAGTCATGGTTTGCATACTTCTGAAGGTAACTGAGTGTTAGCCTGAAACACAAACATGCAGACAACAGGGTCAGTAACGGTGTTTCTCAGCCATTCTTAGATGTTTCTCCCCAACATTCACACCGCTGGCAAGTGCAAGACTTCCAAACCTTCTGTAACTTACCAGCCTTAACATTGTCCTCATGTCGCAGTAACATTAGGGTTAGCATAGACTGCTTTGTGAATAATGCATAAAGAGGCAGCGATGAAACTTTGCTTGTTTACGTTGTAACCTGAAAGGTTACAAATTAAAGGTTCAAAATTAACAAGTTTACTGCATTATAATTAGTTTTTCAATGGGCTCCTTAAAAAGAACCTGCTGCTTTTCAGTGGCCACAGTTGTCCCTGAAGAGAAAAGAGTTGGTTTCGAAACATATTTCTTTACATTTAGGGATTAATTGGTAGTTACTATCATAATTTTAATCCAACCAGGCATTCTTCTAACATGTTTACGTTTAAGGCTGCAACAGCACATATGGTGTAGATGTACACTAAAAGTGAGGTATCAAGATCATTAACATTTCCTTTCTTTTTCATCTTTCTTTTAAGCTCGTTCGAAGCATTCCATTTTAATTTCTTTTTTCATCTAATTGAGAAATAGACTGTTCTGGTTTCCGCAATGAGCCTTGTTTTTTTTAACTGATTTGTAGTCATGAAATGAAGGCAGTTGCAAGCAAAGAATCTTAATCAAGAAAAATTGATGCGAGGAATACTTGGATAGGAAAATTAATTTCCGAATTGCCACATACTCGTAAAGCGTTTCTTCCGCCCGTTGGTAGCTGCGATATGCCGCAGTGCTGAAAAACTTCCACAGGGGCAGACCATAGTAAAGTTTCTGGTAGGCGGAGAAGAGGTCTTTGGCAGCTGTGATCACAATGGCCGCATCGCTGTCATAGTTCACGGTGCGACTGAGGCAGCCCAGCCGTGTATCGAGGCAAAGCATGAAGATGGCTGGAGGTGCAAAGGAGAAGAGAAAAGAAAACTTAGGACGGCATTTTTGAAAAAAGCGCTCATCACAGCTGCACGGCCAGTTCCTACCGGTGGTTCGCGTCTTCTCTGATCTGACATGCACAGCCCCCTAGTTGCATTGACAAGCGATTTAGGTTTAAAAAAAGTTGCTACATGTAGTAACAACATTGCTACTGTCTGTCGCAGGTTAAGAACAGCGGGACAAGACCCGCCCACAAAGCTCTCTACTTGCCACAATTGAGGGTTTTCTCCTTTCCAGCATCCGCTCTGCTAAAAATAGAAAGAGCGGAGGACTTTGTGGGAGCTTTTCTCGCTATTTTTCACCCGTAGCAGATTATAGGTGGCTACTAATGTGCTTGTTTCAGGATACAGGAGAGAGCAGACACACATCCATACTACAGGGTGATTCAAGGAGACGCCAGGCTCTTTGAATCGACCGCAAATTTTGGTTTCTTAACCTATCGCGCTACGACTTTGTGCAGCGTTGCCCACAGATGGTGCATTTTTTTTTTGTAAAATTTGCAAAGAGCGAACTTACCTGAGAAAAAAAGTAAAGAAAGAAAAAGGCTTAGCTCCTATGGAAACGCTACGAAGCCACTGGTCTTCAAACAACACGGTGCCATTTCGCATGGGAGACAAGAGATGGCGCAAGCGGTCACGACGCCAACTGCTGCCAACGAACGAGCATACAACGCTGAGAGCCGGCGTCTTTAGCAGACAAGGAACTGCACTTCATTGTTGTTACCGCGCCTGTTTTTGTTGCTGCGACTGTCGCCGCCTGCGGAACGCGCGCCGCTTGTGAGTTGCAAAGATTGTCTGCTAAAAACGCCGGCTCTCGGTGCCGTATGCTCGTTCGTTGTTGGCGTTCGTTGCACCATCTCGTCTCCCGTGCGAAACGGCGCCGTGCTGTTCGAAGACCGGTGGAGTCACTGCATTTCCATAGGAGCTAAGCCTTTTTCTTTCTTTACTTTTTCCTCAGGTAAGTTCGCTCTTTGCCAACTTTACAAAACAAATGCACCATCTGTGGGCAACACTGCACAAAGTCGTAGTGAGGTAGGTTAAGAAACCGAATTTTGCGGTCGATTTAGAGAGCCTGGCGTCTCCTTGAATCACCCTGTAGTATGTAAGTTTGTACGAGTCGGGGACACAACGACAGATCCTCAAAAACTGGCTCATGGTCGAGGCTAGCGAGTGCTCTTGGACGTTTACTCAAAGTGTAGAGAAGACTTTTGGCATGAAACCCTTTTGGCCTTGTCTAAAGGACTAGTCCACAATTTCTCCGTATCATTTGTCGCGCGTAAAGGGAAATGAGAGAATGGGCAGTTGCGGAAGTACTATGCTTAATGGTTCCTCTCGACAACATGCTCGCTTTATTTGCGAGGCGAGCATCCGGGCGGGATGATCTGCGAGCGACGCGGAGGGAGCGAGGACTCACATTCCAGGGCAAGCCGGTAGAGAGAGTCCTGGATGTTGTCAACAGCCTGGCTCTTGCTGTTCCTGACAAAGCGCACATAGCTCACAAAGTCCTCGCAGATCTCGGATTGCTGTGCCGCCAATCCTGGGACGCTCCTCATCTGCAGAAGCACCGGAGCCAGGGCCGTACGTAACGTGTGCCACTCTTCGCCGAGTCTGCGCAGGAATGTTGCCAGGAAGACAACTCTTACCTTTTTGCCACCAAACTACATCTATGTAGCATGGCCTTGTTTGAGGGGTTTATCCTGCTATCGTTAACCTGCAACAGACTGTTCTATTACTACTACTAATAACAGCAATTAAAAATATGGCATTATAATTATTATTAAAAGGAATTTACACACATAAAGTGAATCAAGTCTGCCAAGCAAAGGTTAACAGTACAGGGCATCGGAGACGGCGGACGCTGACCGGACTACCAAAGTTGAGCACACCTTACGAGTGAAGCAAGAACGAAATTATACTCAGGAAGCTGGAAGCAATAAAGCAGTACCTAAACAACCGGAAAGAATAAACACGAAAACGGGACGAAAACTGACGCATACAACTTAAAGCAGTACCATTTGCAAATGTGATATACAAATAAAAGAGACAAACATAAGCAAAGTGCAATCCCTCCGAGGCGTTTAAAAATGTGTTATATCAGTATGAGTTGTCTTGGGTAAACCCCAAGTATGCATAAAGAGATCCTGAACTCCCATAAAACTTTTTTTTTGAGTGCCTAAATGAAATAAATATTAGACACAATAAATTCTTTTGTGTAAAAAAAATATATATATACCGTATTTTCCGGACTATAGTACACACCCGGTATATAGTCCGCAGGGGGAAATTTGGGGTCAAAAATAAAAGATTTTGCTTAGATAGCCCGCACCCGGTGCTTAGTCGACTCGAAAATCTTCTCATAGACGGCACATGTTTACAAATGTCTGCTTTTTAGCTCACAATAAAGCCTATAATGTGCATAATCATCATTAACATACAATTTCGTGCACAAAATTCGTCACGTCTCGTCATAATAAACAATCTTGAAAAACATAATTCCTGTATAGTCTGCACGCGTAGATAGTCTGCACAGCCAGAAATTTCAACTTTTAAACATGTATAGTCCGCGGACTTTTTATATATATATATATATATAAACGCACATTATTTACTTTCTGATATAAATTTTGAGTTGAGAGCAATTTGGAGGTTGACATAGAAGTTAATTAGTTGTTAAGGGTCACTGAAAACTCAAAATGTATCTCGTGGCATAAATATGCACCAAATAGTTTGTTTGTTTTGAGGGGGGGGGGAACATTGCATTTAACATACCTATCAAAGCACCTAAAAAAAATTAAAAAAATTGGGGGAGTTCTGTTTTAGAACCAATTGCTAGCCTTGCGTTTGCGAGTCACACAATTTATTCATTTAGTGCTGGAAGCACTGTTTACTACTATGTTCGTGAACACCTTGTATTGTAGTTCACTGCCCCCTCCCACCACAAAGACTGATGCTCTTCAAAGATGGCACTACTCACGCATTGGAGAGGCCGACATTGCTGTACTTGTGTGGGTGTTCGGTTCGATACTTTCGGACAAACTCGTTGGCAGGACGGATGGGGCAGCGGCCCTGGTGCCGAAATATGGTCTCAAAGTCCTCCGGGTTGAATGCGTGCACGATGGGCACCTGCCACTGGTACTCCTCCTTCATGACGTCGCCGTACCGCCGGTACTTGTCGGCACAAGCCTCGTGGAGCTGGTATAGGCTGTAGCGTCCTGTCGTGTGGCGGACGGTGAAACAATAAAAATATGCTCAACCCTCAAAAAGAACTCTCGCATGCAGTGGCATAGGCAGAAGTCCTCGAAACAATAAAATAATCCACTGGGTTTGTGCAAGCTGTGCTACCCATAAAAAGGTTGCGAACCATTTCTTTTTTTTTTAATTTTAAGGCGACAGATTGAAGAGTCACAAAACGACAACAAGTGTGAACCTTTGGTTTTAGCGGGATAACAGGCGAGCTGAAACAATTGAAATTGTTGGAAGCAGAGGTAGCGAGATAACGGAGGGATAAGGTGCGTTTGTGCTTTAATCTCGCCTTTGTTAGCATGTAAACTGGTTCTGTGGAAAAGATTACAAATACTAAAGCCACTCGTAAGTGTCTCATGCTCAACAGAACTGTCTGCTGTTAACAAAACGCGCATAAACAACTTTATTTTCCCGGCACAAGCATTCGCAATTGGAAATGGTAGGCTATGTATTTGTTTATAATATACTTGGTAAAAAGGGTAATTTATTACAAGCATTTGCAATTGGAAATGGTAGGTTATGTATTCGTTTATAATATATTTGGTAAAAAGGGTAATTTGTTTGCACAATCTATTTTTCCCTGTAGTTTTAAAGTCGTACTGGGAATTGGTCATTGGGAATATTAAGTCGTTTACAGCACTCGAAATAACAATGAAAAAGTTCTTGCTCAGTGCACTCGGGACAGGTATATCGAGTCAATACTATGGGTCGGGTACAAAATATATTATCCGCTGAAACTTTTCTTTTTGTAGAGGTGGAACGAGGACAACTTCACTCGCCGCATAACATTTATCGAATTCTCAGCACCACCAATACCACGACTCTGCAATTTTTCCAAGAGGGGGGGTAGCTGAAAAATCTTGACAATAGCGCATGAATGGTTTGAAAGCGGGGACGACTAAAAGTGGGCACTCACCCCATCGGAAGTACTGCCAACTTGTGCCGATGAGAGGCAAGGACGGCTTTGGTCCAGGGATCTGGTGGAAAGGCTTCGGGTAGGTCCGCGCGTCCGCCAGAGGCGTGACTACTCGCTGCTGCGCTTGCTTGGCAGCCGGGGTCGCTTCCGCGTGTCCCAGAGCGATGATGTTTGGCGTCTCCGATCCCACGCTCCGAGCCAAGACGCGCGCGCCCTGCTTCATGCCGCCGCGTGGGGTCCGTCACCAACTCTCTTCACCTGACTGTCATTTCACCCTGACGAGGGAGGGCGGGAAAGAAACGTCAGCCGGCTTGATCAAAACCTCTTACCTCGCAGATAACGCAAGCGCTAAAAAAAAAAAAAAATGAAAACGGTACTTTTTTTTTTTTTTTTTTTCTATTTTTGCCACTTTGGAGAAGCACCCGCACGTACGGTCTCTTCGGCGCCTGCCAACAAAAATAACGAATAGCGGCCGAGCTTCGTTGACAGCGTCAATTAAAGCGCAACGGCTGGGAAGAGTGGTGGGGCATCCCTCGCCGGAGCTCGCTTGCGCGATAATGTGTGGTTCGCGGCGACGTGACGTGATTGATAAGAGGCGACGGGTTGCGCGCTACGAGTTTATTTCACTTTTTTCTTTATTTTATTCTTTTATCTCCCAACACCTTGTATCTCTTCGCATGGGCGGAAGGAGAGGAGGTCGGGGAAAAGGCAGAAGCGACGAACGACTCGCCTGCCGCAGTATTCCCCGCGGTGTTTCCTAGTAAACAAAGCAGCTAGCTCGCTCCATTACAACGCGACTTCTCCGAAGATCGCGGAATGGGCGGGCGGTGCGTCGTCCGTTCGTCGTGGCTTCCGTTTTCGCTCCAAAGCAACGATAGCGGTTTTTTCTTTTTTTCCTTTTTTTGCGGCCAGGTGCGAAAAGAGGCTGAAGCAACGGTGGGGAGGAGCACATCTGACAATACCCCGCGGGGGGTTTATCAGTTGGAAGGCGCCGCCGATAGTGGTTGCACAATCACCAGAACCACGATGTGCGGTTGAAGGGTTCTACGGGGGAAGCTGCCGTATCATTTTTTTTTTCGAGCCCCTAAAGCGCGCGCCTAGCAAGTTCTTTAGACACTGATTTTATTCTTCCCTTCCAGTAAGCAAGCAACGTTCGTTACACAACTTGGGATGCAAACCCACCAAATAACGCTCGTAAGTCGTGTTGAAGCACGTTATTTATGAATAGGCCATAGGTACGCGATGGCTGTCGATAACTGATGCAGCGCGCGCGACCACTTCCGCGTTTGTTATGTACCGCCCAACGACACGTAAACTACGCACGTTCAACCATATTCAATTCCAGAATTAAATCGCGTGGAAGCGAATGTATAGCCGGAGAATTTAGGCGCGAAACTGTTCTAAAAATGACGCTTCCTTTGTTGTTTACTGTTTCTACAACATGCGCCTTACAGGCTTCCAGACGACTGCATACCCAACTCTCAGTCGATGCGAATGTCCACAAATCGAAGCCCCAAAACGCGACAACAAATCGATACCTTCCGCGCGCGCGTGTGACCTCGCAGATTGCCTTACCTTGGCACGACGGCTGCTTGCGTTTGAGTGGCCACTGACCCTGCGACAGCGAGCATTCAACTGGCGCGTGACACAGGCTCAAGGTTGTGTTGAAAGGTCACTGAACAGATGGGAGCGTGATAGAGGGGAAGGCTGGGAAGGCCACGACGGACTAGCGGACAGGGGAGAGAGTGCAGCGCTTACCTTTCCCATTTTATTTCTATTCCTTTCGTCCTCTCCTGCTCCTTACTTCCGTTGTAGGTGATCTATTTTTTTTCTTTTTTTTTACTTGGTTCCCAGTATTTTGTTTCTACTAGTTCCCACGCTTTGCTGCGATGCCCAAACTCCCAGCCAACACCTGGCTTTTATAATACCTTTTTCCCTATGTCCCCGGAGCATTGTGCCCGTGCGTTCTCTTGCTGTTCTGGTTTGGTTTGTTTCTCCTGGTTTGTTGTTTTATTTCTAAGCTTTTGGTTTCGCTTTAAGTACATACAGCACTAGAGGAAATGAACACTAATCTGAGAAAGATTTCAGCAATTTCTTGGTACTGCATGCACATATTTTTTTTGTAAATTGATGTTTACTTGACATAACAAACAGGGAACCAAGAATACATTCTCCAAGATCAATGTTGAGCTAGTTATTTATTCATTAACTTACTTACGTAAGAACCTTCAATGCTTGCTAGAAAGAAGTCTTGTTCCGAGATTTGTGTGTCACTTCAATGGAGGTTGCAAAATCCAACCTCCATTGAAGTTTTCAGCCACTGAAGAATGTTATTCAGTATCTATGCGAATTATGGTCGACTGCTTTTGAACTAAATAAATTATATTCAGCAAATATGGTGAAGTTGGCACTAAAATGTTAAGTTGGACATTTTTCAGATTGCGATAAGTTTGAAAAATCTGGGATACAAAGCCAAATTTCCAAAATGCTGTAAAAAATATATATTTGTGCGGGACATTTTATACGAAAAAATTAAATTGCGAGCAGACTTTCCGAGATGAGACTAACACAATGATTGAGCAGGCTGACAATCAATGTCGTTTCCTTGCAGTTAAGCATCAAAGGGGTATCGATGGCTAATTGTGTTAGAGCAGCACAGCTCAGAGCACGTGGAGTGAAAGCTTGCACTGCAAAATCCAGGGCTCCTGCGTTCAATCCCCACCCTTGCCCGTTTTGATCTAAATGAGCATCATACCGACGTTTGTTCGTGTATCACTACTGCGTGATGCAAGTTAAAGACCCCAAGCTAACATTCATACTGCACTGGCCAGAATTCTCATCTACAACGTGACCCGTATTGCCACACCTCAAAGGAGAGCGACTTTATGCCTCAAACACAAACATAATTTTTTTTTTTTTTTTTTTTACGGGGGTAGTACATTTATGCTTTACTAATATTGACACCGTCAATATGGATGGCATTATGGACACAATTTTTGGCAAACAAACTTCCGCCAAGCAATTTTGTCCCATTAATGTGCAAACCTGCAGTCCGGACTATGAACAACCATTTTGGGGACAGATGGGGTAAATACAGGTGTCTTTTGTCTCGTCATTATAAACACCAAAAACTTCAACTAAAAAAAAAAAAAAAAAACTTTAGAAATCTTTGAGATATTGGTGAACCCAAGAGGTCGCAGAGTGCACCTGGACGTTCGTTGCAGGTCTTGCGATTAAAACTGCGCACCAAAATACTTTTTCTTTTTTTTTTTTGGTTCTGTCCTTTACGTAAGATAGGTCATTACCGCTTTGCAGTCTACCGTAATTTCCCGAGAAAGCCCACCTAAAAGCGAGAGCAAATTTTAAAAAAAATAGCAAATCGTGCCAAAAATCTTTCTGGATATTACGGTATTGTTGCTTTAGATCGTGTAGGACCTACAACCGGGAACAAAGAGGAATGATCCCTAAAGAAGCCAGGTCACCTCACTGTATACCTCGTCACTGTTTGGGGAACGAGAAAGAAGCTGTGGGCGCACAGAGCTACTTTCTCCTACACCCCATTTCACCGTAACTTGGCAAACGGCGAAGGTTACGGTACAAGCGAGCCAATCAGCGCGACGAAGGGAGACAGCTGACTTGCTAGTTGCGTGCAATGCTGTCAAAGACACGGGTAGAAAAGAAAGGATGATGCTTTTGTACAAATTTTTAGTGGCAGGCCGAGTTTCGGGGGAGAGGAGCAAGGGGACGTATGGGACACACAAAAGAGGGTCCGTATATAAGGGGAGTTCCTCTTCTCCAACTGCTTGGGTTACACGGAAGCCACCTACACTCTCACCACCATACTTTCGGTAAGGGCAGTCGCCTGCCAATACGTCATCGTGGGATTTTTTTAAGGAATGGAGGCGTCCATATGTTACCGAGACATGACCGTACAGCAGAAGCAGTTTTTGCCTTGTGCCTTTGAGTGTCACTTATGAGCTTTCTCTATCTTGTGGGTTAGGCAAATAAGAAATCCTGTAAAGGAAAGGTCACGCGAGCACTCGCTGGCTGTTGAGTCAGAATAGCACCTTCAAACCACTTATGGATGCACTTTGGCATAAATAACAATAGATGGCTGTTGAAACTCTATATGACTTCATTTTTAGGGGCTGGCTTAATATTGCTCCAATTTTGGGAAGTGTAGGTTTTGGGAACATTTCGCAGGCACAGAATTTCTCAAGAGGGAGTAACATGCTACATATTCATTACCACAGAATAATGTACTTAATTAAATTTTTGCATCATTTTTTTCAATCGCAAACTTTGCGAAAAGTAATTCCTCGCAAAAACCAAGCCTTTCCATTATTTCATTTCAGAGTGTGACAAACTGCTCGTTATACTTTTTATCAAAGCAATAAAATTCTAGCACTTTTGACATGTGCGGATTATATATGTATAACAAAAAGAAAGCTATGCAGCGTTTCATGTTTAGTTTATATAGCCGGTAATAAGTGTGCCGCAAAGAATCATTGGCCTGCGTATAAAAGTCACAAGTGAAGCCCTGCACATTCCCTCCCAGAAACCGCCGACATCACTGACAAATCTTGATATAACGACACTTGTGCATTACAGGACTGCAGTACCATGCTTAAGCTGAAAAAGTTTAGCAAAGGATATGTCACCGAGAAACCTTCCGAAAGCCAGTGTTGCAAGGTCAGCCTCCCACAGTTGCTGCCAGCTTAGCTGACAAAGCATCCAGGGTGATAAAAGAAGTTGTAGAAAATTTCGGCTCTGAAATCCAGTCCGACAAGAGACAAGCTTAGGAAAATAAAGAGGGACGTGTAGCTGGACATGCAAAACAATCCCCACACAATTAATGAGCAATCTTGCGACAAGTCCGTTTAGAGGGTCTTCAAACAGACAGGAGATTTCCAGGATCTTACCATCTGGACATGCCCTGCGGCTTTCTCGAAACAGTCATGCTGCCTTTCATAATAGCACGAAGGCTTTCTTGGGTGAGGAGAGTGTACTGAAGGAAACCAAGAGGAGATCTTTTTGTTTTCTGACTAAAATTTTCTTTGAAGTTCAGGGCCACAAACCAAAATGTTTAAAGGAAACCGATCGCCAAGCATTCAACAATGATCGGGTAGCCCCGTCCCTTACAGAGCAAAAGCAAAACGCTTTTCTAAAGCCTCTGACACAAGTTTATCGACTCATATGTACAGCATTAGTTGGCATCATCTAAAAATGCCATCAATATGATGCATGAACATTTGAGTTAGAAAAACTGGTCTCGTGCACTGAAAAGCTCTGACCTGTTTGCAGGACCATAATAGAACCCTTTGCCAGACATTAGGGAACTGTATAAAATATGCTTATAAAATAAACAAATTTGGGGCGTGCAATAGCCTATAAAACTGATCGTATGTGAATCCTGCCGAAAAGTCATGGGTACTGACAATTGAACAGCATTTTGAAAAGAAGGAGATGTTTGGATATTTTGTCCTTGGCTGACAGCAAGTAAATTTAATCAAATCAATGTCTATTTGTTTAAAACATAACTTCAGTGCCAAAGAAACATCGAGCATCAAATATTTTCGTAGAAAAACCTACTTCTAAAGTTAGTTTGTACACCTAGTTGCGTTTCTTCCCTCTGTCCACACTACTTCACGCAGCACCTATATGTAGCGCTCTTGAACATTTGTTTTTGCAGTGCAGTATTGCGTTGCCAAAACAAGCGTTATACACACCACCAATCTCATTGGCTTGTCTCTTTTTTTTATTGTAAGGTTCACAAGGTTTTACATAGTACACACTGCTTTCTGCGTAGTCTACACAAGCACTACAACGAAAAAAAGGTTGATTTGTGGTCACCTGGGTCTCCCAAATTCTTTTTTTCGCCAATGGCATACACACGCACGCACAAAGAGCTGGTAAACACACTACCAACACGAGAACTGTACCCTTAAAACAAAAACACAAACACAAGGACGATAAGAACAGCAAAAACTTGCATGAACGAGTTTTGTATTAGTACTACAACCATTTCTCTTATTTTTGTTTTAGCCCTTTTTCATTCTTGCCAACACGGCTCTGGTAAGAGCCCGAAAACAGCTCGGCCTAGAAAAATGCCGTTCCAGTGAAAAAGTGGAAATGTTGGACACCGTAAATGCTGTCAGAGTTGCTATGTACAGCAAGTTCTCAGATGTCGGCGTATAAAATCCGTTTGGCAGTAGCATGTGATATAGCGCATTATATATAATATATATATATATATATATGTACCAGGATTACAAGGGAGATGGAAGGACAAAACACAAGAGTTTACGCAGCTCACTTGTTCCGACTAGAATACTTGTACTTGCATCGCAGCTTTTCCTTTCCATCATTTGTAAGAAAAAGTTGGATTTGCATACAATCTTTCTTTCTTTTTTTTTTTTTTTTTTTCTTTGTGCAGATGGAGTTGTTGATGTGTGCCCCAAAAAGGAAGCTTGCTCAAATACTACTAGACCAGGGACCCCGATCAAACTGTGTTCATCGGTTGGGTTCCTCGTAGAACTGGAACACTGGTTCAACAATAAGCACAACCGCGGCAGCTCCTTCCGTCTACGGGAAACAAAAAGCTCGTACCTACAATCACTGGGTGTGCTCTGCTGTGCTAGGAGGTCATACCCCGGAGCACCGTGTTCAGCACAATCTATGCAAATAATCGTAAATTTAGTCTGCGCATAGCTTTAGAGCATGGCACTCGACCAAGACAAACCGAAAACGATTTTGCGCACACAGAATGGGATTATAAAACTAAGCGTGTTTTCCTCCGTCATTTCAGAAATTTTTATGTTAAATGAAACTGCTCAAGAAACATTTCCATCTTGCCCTGTTCCGACTCTCTCGCACCCAAACTTGCAACTATAGAACAAGCGCTACTGAAAATCGCTCGTGTGGCTGTGTTGCAAGGAAAAAAAAGAAAAAAGGAAACATTTGAGGTACGACGTGAGCCGCAACGTCAACGCACAAATAGGCACCACAAATGCGGAACTGTATACTACTTTAGATGTGCGGTACCTGTATTACTGAGGCAATTTGTGTGAGACTAAAGATGCTAAATGATTAAAATCAAGAGGAGTGGATGAGCTTCTTTCTTTCCATCTACACAACAAATATAAAACGAGTCTTGGTTCTTAAAACTGACACCCAAATAGACAAAAGACGCGACAATTCGCGCCTGAAGTCGCAAAACCCTCGCCGTCAAGCCATGGAACACCCTGTGCAAACGTCTTGACTAATCATCACATACTTGAGCAGTTTCAAAAGTATATATATATATATATGTATCTCATATTCTCCATCCTTATAAAAAAAAAAAATCCTATCTATGTACACGCTACATTTTGTTCTGTCGCTTGGGTAGAGTGCTGGGAAAATCGGCACAATTCAAAATGTGGAAATCAGTCATTAAGTTTCCAGGCAAACAATGTATGATTAAGAGCGGAAAAAGTTGACTAAACTTCGCAAAAAATGTGCCCAAGGTTACGTCTGACCCCACTGTAAGCGAAGTTGTTTCGCAAAGTGGAGCTAGCTATGCCACCAACTGTCCAATTGGGAAAGGCAGTCGAAGACGTCTATAGGAAAGCGTGATGCAGTGTTACGTTTGGCATGCATTTGAGCCGAGACACTAACCCTCAGTTGAAGGCCTGCGTCGGCCAGTGCCTTCGAAGACAAACGGGCGTCGTCTGCACTCATAAATATTACAACCAACTCCAACTTTGCGAGCAAAGGTCCGTATGGAGGCAGTCTTGCCACAACCTCATGCAAATGTTTCGCTACTTGGAAGACTCTGTGCCGGTAATGTTTTTTTTTTCTTTTTCTTCGCTTTTTCGTTTTACGAAGGAACAAAAGAAATAACAGGAGTAAAGGAACCGTATGTACAAACAAGCGCCTTGCCCCAGCGCTCGCTCCTAAAGAGAGACCAGCTCTCTCGGGGAATACATAGTAAGTCGTCGGGAAAACGGGAAAAAGGATTCGAGATTAAGAGCTTGGTGGATTAAGGGGGGAGGGGATAATCTCACTTGGGGGAAGGGGAGAGGCACTAATCCGACAGCATGTGAACAAAGCTGGTGGGGAAGACTCCCCTGCGATGGGGCTCCCCCTCGATCATGCCTTCCATCCATTGGTCGTCTTCGGTGATCTCGCTGATGATCACGATGATCTCGCCCTCGGCAAACGACAGTTCATCCCGCTGGTCGGCGCAGCAGTCGTACAGCGCCCGGCACCGGCGTCTTGTCTTCGCGGGAACGCGATCATTGGACTGGCGGAAAAACAGAATAGAGACATTTGGAAGTGGTGGCTTTTTCAAGTTTGCGGATTATCTGAATCACCAGACATCGAACAGAAAAGTACATTGGGGATGTGAGTCACACTGACACGTGAAACAGGAACGTGATAACCACATAAGTAGCTCTCTAGAACAGGAAAAAAGAAGAGACAAAAAACATTTTACATGATAAGAATATTGGTTCCGTGTGGGTGTGAAAGTTGCATACAAAACAGAAAACTTGGAAATTGTGCACCGTGGATGGTGAAACTAGAAATAAAAATGGTAAGGAATGCTGACATCTAAAGTTTGCACAAATGCGATGCTCTGAAAATATTGTAATATTATTATAGTAATAACATTAGAAAGATTACCGTAATATCTTGAGATACCCCACCTAAAATCAGGAGCAAATCGACCGCGTGAAAATATGGAGTGGGCCAACTTTCGGTGTACAACCAAGAAAAGTAGAAAAACTGCTGAATTTTAGGTCATGTGTCCCTTCCAAGCTTGTTACCGTGGCAAGGGGCACCAAAGCAAAGATGACTGCACTTCTTAGTCAGCAACGTTTGCTCATATCCCGCCGTAGCTAACTAGCCGCATTTGTGCCGAGGCCATCATTGATCCCAACACTACTATTAATAGAAGTGGGCTATCTTTCGGTGTTTAAAAAAAAGTAGAAAATCGAGCCAAACATAGAACTAAGCTATCCTTCAGGGGTGGGGCATCTCTCGAGGTTTTACGTTATTACTATCTACAAAAAGTTTGCGGACGATTACGTGACACAATGCGAATGTGCAGCGTCGGCTAGTGCGACATTTCAATGATATTGCGTCGCACGGTGACATGACAATTTGTTATGTCTTTACTTTCTTTTTTCTTTGCGTCGTGCCGTAATTGTTACGTGAGCGCTATGTGCCTGTGCACAAACACTGTATAGGCACGTGGCACGCGCCCTGAAGGGAGCAGGTCACCGTCCTCACGCAAGGTGCAACCGATCGCACACAGAACAGCTGGCACCAAGCATGTTCTTGTGGACGTGCTGCTCAAATTGCTTGGTGGTACCAACGTGTCCATTCTTTGCCCGGCGACATTCTCTTCTATGTGCCGCTTCACGTTAATGCACAGCATAATTTTGATGTCGAATGCGTTCCATTCTAACACCCAGGGTGAGAGCATCGGCGACTACAGATCGACGACGTTCTCCGTCATGGGCACGTTTATGCTGTCGAGCAGCCACTGCTTGCTCCGGTATATGCTTCAGGTGCCCCATTCTTGCGCGCAAAGGCTTAGAGCGCCGAGGGAACGGGCAATCGAAGACAAGAAAGAGCAGGTGGGGAGGGGAGGGCAATTACATGACCACCAGCGTAATTGCGATTGGCCCAACGCGCTGCACCTCAACCGCAACTATTATCAGCATAAGGCAAGAGTGTCGCTGCTATACACCAACTCATGTTTACAAACAAACCGGAGCGCCCCTAGCGGACGCCACCGGTGCCGCGCATGCACGATGAGGGTGTGGGCAAGAAACTCGCCGTCGCCCATAAACAAACCATTGAAATGCGATGTTGTCGGCGTCGGTGTGAGTCCCCCTGCCCTTTTTCGCGTTCGCATTGTTGATTCTACGTCTTCCTGGCAAGGTCTGACTACTTCAGTGGCGTCAGCGAAATTACCGAGGCTCGTTACACCGCAAAACTTCGCGTGAATAATGTGACATGCGGCGATTCATTCCGCGTGGACGCCGCAGAATGTACGCTAAAGCCTGAGTCGCATGATGAGATTTCGCTCGCAATTTTCATTCCGGACGTCGGTCGGGCTGCAAAAGCGTGAACCGTAGCTGAGATGGTCAACGTCGATGCTGAAAATCTCAAGCGGAATCGGACCAGGTGAATCAGCCATAACAAGTCGGTGATGGCCACTGGTAACAATTATCAATGCATCCTTGTATCTACTGCTTACATCGAGCCTGGTTACCAACATTCAAATTTGAGTCTTTTGAGGCCTGCACTTTATTCTTATCGCAAGTACCGGGCCCACGTTTGGTCTACGGGCCGGTGTCGTCCAAAAGAGCAGACGACAAGCAGAAACGTTTGAAAGAGCAGACGGCAGTTTAAACAGTCAAGCGGCCGTTTGAACTTGAAGACGCACTGAACGTAGTCCGCAGGTGGTCCGTACAACCTCGCGGTTTTCCGCCGTTCATGTTAGAACAAAACAAATACATTTGATGACCAGAAGTATCCGTGAATTCAATCCAAAGTGCTTCCCGCCCAAGCAATCGTGGTCGACGGCGTCTGGTTTTCCCTTTTCACGTCACATATCCACCTTCTCGGACGAACCGAGCACATGAAAACTGGCCTTCAAACCTTTCTCGACCCTTTTAGTACAGCCCCAGTCGCGGCGTTTTGTCGAAAAGGCAGGTTTTTGTCAGGTTCCTTTCAAAACAACGCAGGAATACACGTCTCGCATGGGGACTTCTGCCCACAGCCCCAGACCGGAAGTGCGACCGACGCGCCACCACCGCGCCAGGACGTAACAGAGATGAGTTTGTGTATACTCGCCTTCTCTCGGCGCAGGGCCAGCTGTAATAAACGCGTGCATGCTCCGTTCGTTTTCGCAAATTTTAGGTCATGTGCCCAGTACAACAAGCCCAGTACAGCTGACACTGTAAAACCAAACCACGGACAGGTTTTTCCAAATGTTAATAAATTAGTTTAGAGTGCAGTTTAAGAGTAAACACAACTCAAACCCCTTGAGAATTTGTTTTCCTTACTTCGCTCACCTGCTGGTCTGCTTGTCCATCAGTGGGCTTTTTCAAAGGGGGAATCTGAAATGGGATGCCAACTCAAGCAATGCTTTTGATTTCCTTGAAATTAATTCAGAGACTGCCAATTATTTCCAGTACTAAAAACAGACACTTACTGACTCTTCATATCTCTACACCTGAAGACGATTGAAACACTACACTTGTTGTTTATCTTTTTCCTTTCTTAGCAAATACTCCGTTATTTATTTGGGTTTAATTTATCACACTTTGGTTGGGATAACATACTAATGTCCCAGGCACAACCCTAGTTGACCACAAAATGTATGGTAATAGATAAAATAAATAAAACGCAAAAGATTGCATACTGCAGGTGTCACTGTTAATGTCAGTCCACGAATGTTAAAAAAAAAAAAAAATTTTCTATTTTATAACTGCAAGTTGTTGCGCAATATGTCCATACTATTGTGCTTCATATGCAAATGTCCATGTCAACACTAAGTCTGAACTCTGGGGCCCAGCATATGAGGAAAAGTGAGGGGCAGTGCGATGCTTTGATGATGCTGCACATGCACATGCTTTTGTGCACGCCCAAGCTGCGGCAATGCATGCATTAAGTGTGAAGAAACACGCCTTTCTCGCCAGAATCCTTGCAAGCTGCATTTAACAAATGGTTCATTGTGTACAGTGAAACCCGTTTAGAACGAACCCACATACAGCGAATTATTGTCGATATCGAACTCACGGGAAATTTAAATAAAAATACATGTAAAAAAGTACTTTTTATACAACATATTGGCTATATCGAACTTTCCCCCCGGGAAGGCTTTCAAAAACGCGCAAACAATCGTCTTAAAGGGGCACTGACACATCAAAATCATATTTTTTTTTATTATCCGAAACGATTGAAAACGATGCCGGGACATTACCCTCAAAATTTGAAATTTGGGAGTTCAGTATTTGTGAAGTAAAAAAACAATTTCCAAATGCCGAATTCGAAGTTCCCGCGCGATCGGCGGGTGCCTTGACGTCAAAAATCGCGGAGACCTGAGAGTCGACTTTCTTTCACCACTCCCTGCTGTTGCCATGGCGACCCAAAGCGAGGAGGAAAGGAGTGAGCGGCGGCGTTACGGCGGACCGGTTTTGAGCGGTGTCGCCTGTTTTCCGTTGGAGGATACAAATCCAGGAGACGGCACCACAACGAACTCCCGATTTTTGGTATTTCAAAAAGAAGGGCCGTAGTGCGTTCGCAATTGCGTTAAAAAACATGTTTTACGATTGCCATAATTAAATGTTATAGAGATGTCGCCTACAAAGCTTCTAAATTTCCTGATTTTTGACGTCACCGATCAAAAGAAGCGAGGAGGCGAGAGGCGGGAAAATCAAACGCCAAAAATAAAAAGGCGCGCGCGCGCGCGGGAAAATTTTTTTTCGCGATGCGTTTTTTTTTGCGTGTCTATGACTGCAACTTGCATCGTTTTAGACAATAAAAATAAATACGACCTTTGGGGTGTCAGTGCCCCTTTAAACACTGTCCCCCACCAAAAAAAGAAAAAAAAATAGTAGGAAAGAAAGAAAAGTTTAAAAGCTCAAGTCGCGAACAAAATTGAGTGAAGAGAAGTGATTCAGAAACGGAAGAAAGCTAAAAAATACCCTCTACATGCACGCACAAAAAAAAAAAGTTCATCCCAAAACCGTTGATTACGAAGAGAAGCGATTCAGAAGAGGAGATAAGCTAAAAAAACAAACCCTCCGCGCATGTAAAAAAAAAAAAAAAAAAAAAAAAAAAAATACTTTAGCGCATTGTTACAAGGTGGAAGCGAAGAGATATATATATGTATAACGAACGTACCATGGAAGCTTGTTGTAATGGTTTCTGCTATATCGAATTACTTGCTAGATCAAACTGATCATAGCGTTTCCTGCTGTTTGTTATAAACGGGTTTGACAGTAGAACAACACATTAACTGGAGTCAAATACACTGTGCACGCGAGTACATATGCCCGTGCTTTTGAGCACCTAGCAGGACCAGCTTTCATAGCTATTGAAGAATCCAGAATGATCGGAAATCTCCTTTAACGGGACTAGAAGTGATCCTCAGAGTTTAATTTTATAGTTGTACCTAGACAACACAGTGACCAGATTTTAACGTTGATAAACGATATTAACGAGCATCGAACTAGGCAGGAAACATTCAATGAGTAGACAAACCAAAATATCTTCGGACTGCTTTCGGACACTTTTGACGAGAGAAGCTCCTCGCCAAAAAACCGACAGACGGCAGTAATGGCGACGCCTCGAAAACTACAGCGAAAAAAAAATCTGGTCAGTTTCGAGAAAGTTACCATATGCCAACCTGCAGCAAACAAAGTATGCGTTCATTCCGAAATACTACTATGCGAGTACGGATGCTCGCGGAAGAAAGCAGACGTGCAGCTGGCAAGCGAAGCAGGGGCCGGTAGCGGCCGACTAGCTCGGCAAGCGTGTGAGCGGCCTCAGGGTTGAAAGAGGAAAGGGAAAGCAAGTGAGACAGAGCAGAGGCAACACCTCCTAGATCGGAAGTCTGTTGCACCGAATTTTTAACGTCGCCTAAAGAGGCAAAGGTTGGCACGGACTCGACCTGTACGCCTCTTTAGGCGACGTCGAAAGTTCAGCCTCCGTAGTCGCCAACAAGGTGAGAATGACGGGGAGAATCCTCGGTTGTCCCGCCCCCGGCACGAGGCCAGGCGTCAGAAAGAGTTACCCCGCCGTTCTGATCCTGCCGGTGACCATGGGAGGTGTTTGCAGAAGCATGCGGATGAGAGAGAGGGCAGAGAGAGAGAGAGAGAGATGATGAACCTTGGCAGCGGAGGGCCTGGGACAGAGTCCAGTGTACCAAAGGTGAACGAGGGCGTGGCCCACCTTCCGTGGCGGAGGCACCGGAGGCTCTGCAACCTCCGGACTCTGCGGTCCCCCGGCGTCAGAGCCCAGCCTCCCGTTGCTCGGGGCCACCGCGTCCACGGAGCTGTTGGCCACGGCCGCTGCGTGGGAGCGTCCCGGCGCACCAGCTCAGTCGCGTGCGTTGGGACGTCTACGGACGTCTCCGAAATGGGGCAATTTTCCCGGGGTTGTTCGCGATTTTCTCTTTGGCGAAATCGACCAAATACTTGTAAGGGTCCTAACACAATTGTTGGCCCATTCGTAGGATAATCGACCCTACCCACTAGGTGCCCATGGTATGGTCTATTTATATTTGTGAGACAGCCAGCGTCGATAAAAAAATAATTAATTTTTCGGCTCGATTGACAGTTTATAGCTACGGGGACCCCAAAAAGGCACCCAGGGACCTCAAAGGGTTTGCCTACCGCCATTTGAGAACTACTGTTGTTTTCAATTCGACCTGTATCGTCAAAAAATAAAAACCTACATAGAGAGAAACAATTCCAGCATGAGAACCTCACTGAATGAATGCCAAATGATTGGTGCACTTGAGCAAATGCCACACCACTTTGCAGTGCGGAGGTGGTGCAGTCACCCGTTTTCAGATTAACAAAAATGGATTGTTAACAGGTGCCACATTCTCATTATTTTACGGGCTAACTAAGCGGCCCTTGAACGTCTCTGGACGCACCCATAGCTCCGGGCGTGGGTGGTGGAGGGCACTTTGGCCTCTGCAGGGTGCCGAAGGTGGGCCGCTCCTCCATTCTGGAAAGAGAAGTGGAAACACAAGTCGCGCTAGCTGCGATTTTACCTTAGCTGTGTGCACAACAAATAGCAAAAACAATGTCAAGTTTTGTGTTAACAAAGCCAAATGGAAGGAGAGACATTTTCTACATTTGTCATAGCTATGTGTGACAATGCATCTCTGAAAGGTGAACCAGGTTTAGATGGAGGAAAGTTAGTCTGCCTTGAAAATAGGATTTTATAGATGGCCAATTTGGTTGATGCAGTAATGGAGCCTCGGTAATGGTGCATCAGAAAGGATGCACCTGCAACAATTCATTTGCGACAAGTCTTTGCGACTACTGTACGACCATTTTAAACGTTCATGACAGTGGAGAAAATGTTGAGCATACTTCTGACAGAGCGCAAAGCATATGTGAAAAAAGTCTAGTTACCCTTTTAGAACAGAGCTGTGGGCATCTGATCCCTGGGAAAGGTTCTGGCGGGAGGAACCTGCAAGAAAACGTCCCAATTACCTATGTACCCTGCCAGACCTATATTCCCTTGTGCTGTATAATTATAATGTGACTACCAGATTTCGTGCTAGAGAACACATTCTACTACTGCATAATGCCCCCCTAATAGTGTTGAGATTTGAGGACATAATGGCACACCAATACAAAACAAATATGACAAAGGTAAGTAAAAAAATCTTAGAATTTTTTAGTACACAGGGCATTTCTTGAAACATTAGCCAACTCATTTGTGTGAATAGTATGCATCGCACCGAAAAAAGGTTAATGTCATATTGCTCTCAGCCAATGGGCCCATTTGAAAAAAAATTAATGGTGTTTGGAATAATTAGTTTATTAATTACTTCCAAGTAATGAACTTCTTAATTAAATTAGTATGTTTAAAGGTATGGTTTCAATCAGAGACTTGCTGGGCACCATCGAAAACCACTAGGTCAACTCATTTTAGAGAGATGTAACTTATAAGGCATGTATGGCATTTTACGGTGTTTACGGTTTTGACAGGAAACAAAACAAGGTTTTTGTTTCCTGTCAAAGCCGCCAGCGGTCCCCCCCCCCCTCCTCCTCCTCCTCCTCCTCCTCCTCCTCCTTGCCCCCCCCCCCCCCCCCCATATTGTGGCTGAGGAGTGCAGCTATCGCCTTGCCTCCCTCCAAGGAGGCAAAGGAGGGAAGGAAGTACTGCACCTTGCATTAATACCTCTTGCTATATCGATATAAGCATGATAGGACCTTGGTAGCTGTATTAGCCGTTCAGAAGTTAAGAGTGTTGTCAGAATATTCGAACGGTTGTTTTGGGTAAAAGGCTATTCGATATCCGCCTCAAGGTGAACTCCAATATTTACACTTTTTGAAGTGTTGATTGCAGCAGGTTAGCTCTGTTGAGCGCGCTTCTCACTGAGCATTTGTGCACAGTGGGGATGCCATATCTGCACAGCTTGCGGGCTCCGCAAGTTTTGCTACCCCGCAGTGCACAGCGGCTTAAGTGAGAAACACGCTCAACAGGGCTAATCCACCGCGATTATGCAAGTTATGTTAGGCAGCGATGTATTAAAAAGCCCACATTCATCATTCATGTTTTGTTTTTTTATAAAATTTGATATAATAGAATAAATATTTGCATATAGCAAGATTTATAAATCCCCTTGATCGGGATGGCTGCAACAGATCTTTCGTTTACATGCCACAGTTCGTATAGCTAGCTTAAAATTAACAGAGCTTAGAAGTGGAGAAGTGGAAGGTTGGGAACAATGTTCACAAGTTCAGGTGAATTTTTGTTTTAGCATGGTGCACGGTAGTGAAAAGCTTCGAGAAACTATTCAATATTTGATTAAAAAATATTCGGCCAAAACCACTATTTGCTTCAAAATCGCTTTGAAGTCAACACCCACTATTCGCACATCCCTAGAAGCTAATATATACCGTATCACATTCTTCGGGCGTATTACCCCATGTACAACTGGAGCAGGTATATAATGGATCCGTGCTGCCTGCAAACCGAGCCACGGAAGCGAGAGTGCAGAGGGGCTCGCTCAGAAATGCTACTGCCTTTAAAAGGAAAGAGGGACAACCGGGTGAAGGAGGGGAGCCCTACTTGAGCCGAGGGTGGAGTGGTTGGAGGAGCTGATCTCCGAGGAGGAGTCCATGGACGAGCTCGAGGCCAGGTCCATGGAAGGGTTGCGCTTGTGCACGGTGCCCAGGGCATTCTGGGAGAAGCAGGGGTCCGACGGGGTGCGGGAGTGACTAGGGCCCTGGCCGGTGGGGAAGCCCCCCTGGGGGGGCATGGGGGCCGCCCGCTTCTTCATCGACCCATGCGCATTCAGTCCCGGAACTGCAACCGCCCGGGGCATTTGCTCTTAGTGTTTCCTTCAATTTGTCTACCATAAACAAACACGCTTGCAAAGAGTGAGAACACGAGCGTGGAGGAAACGAAAAAAGGAAGAGGGAGAAAGTGATGGAACAACGCGAGAACATGTGGCTGCGTTATTGGTCCTTTTTTTGTTTTAATAAATAGACAGACACTTCTAATTGGTCGGTCTCAGTTATCAACGAAGACGTGTGCCATGGCACCAAAGGACGGCAGCCTCGTGGAAGCTTCGGTGGCTTTTCCACTCCGGTTTTCTTCAACGATTCTTAGTCATAAGTGACTTATGCCCTAGATAGTAATAAACTATGCACTCAAAAATCGATCACAGGAACAAACTACCGTAAAATCCTGAGAGATAGCCCACCTAAAATCAAGAGAAAATCGAGTGAAAATAGGGAGTGTGCTAACTTTCGATGTACAATAAAGAAAAGTTGAAACCATTATTTTTTTAGGTTATGCTTCTCTTCCAGGTTTGTTATCGTGGCAAGGGGCAACAAAGAAAAGATGACTGGTTCCCAGTCATCAACGATCGGTTACCGTATTTACTCGCACAATGAACGCACTCGCGTAATGAACGCACCCCCCAAGTCGGCTCTCAAAATTTCGACTTTTTTTTTCACTCGCGTAATAAACGCACCCCCAACTTGGACGTCAAAATTTTGACCCCCTCCTCCCACGCGTGCGAAATGAACGCACTTTTCTATCCTGGTGCAGCGAGGTCGCGAATGCATGGGCAGCGAGTCGAACAAAACGCCTTGCAAAAGGCGTTAACAAAATTTGCGAAGATCCAACGGAAGCAAGAAAAAAAGAAACATGCCAGAGGAGCTTTTTTTTTTTTTTTGCACAGCGCAGTCTGGATTTTGGGTTCGCGCGCCGCCGCGCGCAAGGAGGTAAGAAAGAGAAGCGGAGAAGCGCTCTAAGCGAAGGAAACAGCTTGCGAAAGGCGGCAAAAAAAAAAAAAGAACAACCCACGGAACTGAGAAAAAAACAAAAAAAAAAGGAGCTTTTTTTTTTTTTTTTTTTTTGCACAGCGCAGTTTGGTTACGGGAGGTCGTGCGTCGCGGGCCGCGCGCAAGGAGATAAGAAAGATAAGCGGAAAGCCCTCGCCTAAGCAAAGAAAACAGCTTGCGAAAGGCAGCAAAAAAAAAAACAAGGAACTAAGAGAAAAGAAAGGATTTTTTTTTTTTTTTGCACAGCTTAGTTTGGTTGCGGGGTCGGGCGCCGCGCGCAGAGATAAAAAGTTACTTCGATTTTTCAGGATAAAAGGTCCGTTCATTATGCGAGTAAATAACCGATGCAAAAATTTTACCTCGCGTAATGAACGCCCCCCCTAACTTTGCATCGATTTTTCGGAAAAAAAAGTGCGTTCATTCTGCGAGTAAATACGGTATATCCCACCATAGCTATAGCTAGCCGCATTAACGCGCCGAGGTCATCATTGATCCCACCACTACTATTACTAGAAGTGGGCTATCTTTCGGTGTTTCAAAAAAATATATAAAATCATGCAAAACATAGGGGTGGGCCATATTTCGGGAGTGGGGCATCTCTCGGGAGTTTACGGTATAGTACTAAGTCTGCACCACCGGGAACTACTTGTATAACCAACTGTGCCGCTACGTCAAATCAACTTGTCAGATGAGTATTGGCTCGCTTGAAGGAGACTGTTGTTCAATAGCCCAACAGTATAAATTTTGCTGGCTAAAACTGATTATGGCAAAAAAAAAAAATTATTGGCATAGAAATGTGCAGTACATGGTGCAGATGGCATTTTTATGTGAGAACATTAACTTTGACTTGTCATTTGGAAGGTTCCTTCTGTAGACACATGGGCTCTATTCATAAACAGTGTACAGTCAGGTTATATGGGTATTTCAAATTATTGTTTATATCAAACAGCCCAACCACCCCCTTGAAAATCACATGTAATAGTATAGGAACGTCGTCTTTCTGTATCCAACTCCCATGGCGGGGACACTCGATATAGGGAACGAAGCCTAAGCCGCACCGCCGGTTGCTTTTCCCGCGATCAGATTATGCCGGTGGCGAGCACATCGCTTGCGTTGCGTGGTGGGCAGACCCCCAGGCCAGCATATGTGCGGGATTATACACAGGGAAAGAGCAGTTGTGGGAAAGGAGAGTCAATGAACCGTAAAAAAAAAGTGCCGGACGGCAAAAGCAAGGGGAAGAACATGCATGCGCGCGTAGAAAGAGCAGGGAGTGCTCGCTGTTGGAACAACAGCCTGCGGTCTTCCCCAAACACTGATGATGCTGCTGCTGATGCTGCAGGACTCCCTAGCCCAAAAATAAAATAACAAAAAAAAAAACTTTTGCAAGTTGAGTGTGTTGACAACGGTTGTGCAATCGAACTTTGAACACCTAATCTTTGTTTACCATTTTTTTTTTTTGCCGTTATTACTTTGCCCCCTTTTTTCCTTTTTTTGTTTGCCCTTTTTTTTTTTTTGCTGCCTGAATTTAGTGAGCTTTCTTTTTTGCTGCTTGCTTAACTTTTTGTCTATGGATCAAGAGTGAGCGTGTAAGTGCGGAGGTGTTTGCAGTCTCCGCCAACTACGCTCTACTGTATTTAGCGGCTCTTGGAGGCTCTACTTGGTAAGCTCCCGTTTGTTGTGACCTTCGGTATTAACAGAGACGTCAGGAAATTTCAACTCGAGCTTAATTTAACATATTTTTGTATATCAAATTAATGATATATTGAACTATTTTTTTGACCCCCTATGAATTCAATATATCTGGGTTTGACTGTAGTAGTAATAACTGAGTAAATGAGAAATGCTAGCAAAACACTCAGATATGCTATATTACAGAGGTTCTCAAACATATTCGTCCCAGGGAACCCTAGCAAGTCAAAACAAATTTCAAGGAACCCCCACCTTCCCCTTCCTTCCCAGTTGCCAAACGATAATACTGGGCAATAAAAGCATTTTACATAGTGAACATGAGTTTATCACATTGACAAAATAAGTCAAAATGGAGGACTACAGACAGAATAGGAAGGCAGAGGGGTTAATTTAGAGCACAATGTAAAATATATAAGTGAAAAAGGTGAGGTTGCTTCGCCCACAACACCAACTCAGTCCATGGCTCAGTCGGTGGAAGGTCCAACTAAGGGGGAGGGGGTGGGGGGGGCACTGCAATTTGGATGCTCGCGGAACCCATGAGACCAGCTCGCAGAACCAAGTTTGAGAACCCTTGTGCTACAATATTGGGACGTTTGCACGAATGCCACTCACTGACTGGCTTGCGATTCTGTGGCGGTGGAGGCGGGGGCTTGGGGCATGGCTGTGGACTGGCCGATTCGGGGCGCGTCGACTCGTTGCTGACAACGCTTGACGGCCTTGACCTTTTCCAATCCGAGGTCAGCTGCAGTGGTGGAACAGTGCCAAATTATCCATCAGAATGTAAGTAGCACTTACCCCAGTAAAAACATAAACGGATTTATTCAGACAGCACACACGAGTAACTACGACACTTGGAGACGGTGAAGGGCCTACTAGACGTATGACCATACAGAGTTACAACTATCACTAGGCAAACTGTTTTAGTTTGACATGAGCTGCTGGCGTGTTGGCAAACTAGGGATCGACACAGACAAACATAAAAGGGTGACGACGTCGAGGAATGACATACATATTTTAGACAAAGACAAAGTCACAATTTCAAAGACACCACGTGTCCTTGTCATACTTCCTGTCAGTGCCGGAAGTGTTGCAAGGGTCACGAGGTCAGGTGAAATAAATCGGCAGAAAGGTAGATGCTACCATGAAAAAAGGTCTTTGGATATCTTCAAACATAAACAGAGCGCATACACACACACATTGTACAAAGGTAACCAAAACAAAGCTTGAAGGACAAACAGACCTTGCCCCTGCCTTTTTGCGTTTTCCTGTTCCAACAGACCTCTCGCATAATTGAAGTGATCCTGGCGGCGTTATACTGCGCCAAGCATCTTGGATACCTTTTGGCCACGGTTTCGTTTTCGATTTGCGAACTTCGGTTCACGACGTCCCGTCACGACCAAATACAGCGCACACATTTTCGAATATCTGACTTTCCTTAAATGTACGGTGTTGCCTACCAACGCAAATAGAATGCTGAGGCAGGTTTTTTGGGGCCCCGGACGTGCCAGAGTTTGTGCGCCAGTGAACGGAGGAAGAAGAAGAATTGTACTGAGCTGATCATGCCGTTCTATCACCTCAATGTCCTAGGCTTCTTTAATGTTCTGCGACCCGGGAGTGCCATGGTGCACTCTGGAGTATAGCCAGGCCGCCAGAAATGTATAGGGCGTGGTGGGTCTTACTCCTACTTCCTGCCAAGTCTAGGCAAGTCCTTGCGGCCTCCAGAGGTCCGTGTCGCAACGTGAGTTCTTACGAAGATGAACGGGCACAATGGAAGCGAGCGCCAACTTTATTTTAATTGAGTGCCAGGATGCACCACTTAGTCAACGAGGCCATCGCAATCGTGCCACTCCTCTCCGTGGCCAAAGAGGCCCCATAAACGTGCGCATGTTACATGCGGGGATTTTTTTAGGTAGTCTATTATGACTCGGGTTTTAGTTATGCCAATATGCTCGCACAAACTAGCCTAAGCCCTTGCCCAGTACATAAAAAGGTTTCTGCGCAGGACGAAACGCAGCTCGGGCAATCGAGACGCGGACTTACTCGATCCTCTGGGTAGTCGTCGTCGCTGAAGTCGGTGGAACCGTCCTCTTGCGTGAGGCCCCAGTCGATGTTGACATTCTCAAACAGTGTCTTTTTGTTCTGCAGCGAGTGCTCAATCTGCGTGGTCAACGGCAGAGGAAAAAGAGGTGAGAGACCAACTTTGCTTCGTTTGAGCGGGAACTATACCCTGTTGCACATCCAGAAAAGTGGGACAAGCTCCTCTTGCAAAGCCTCGCGTCCCTTTCACTAATCAGAGTGAACGTCTGGGAGGGAGTAAGTCACCCCTCTCCTCATCTTGTGTCCTCTCCGGTATTCGCTCTGCTAAGTGCAAAGGGCAGAGGGATTGGCAGAAGGAGCTCGCCCTGCTTTTACAGTAGACCTGTTAAGGGTTAATTTCCCCGAGTTTCGTGTCCATGGACAAATAGATCTCGACACAACCCTCTGAACAGCTACCGCCATCTATGAGCGACGGCACCACAAAGTACAGCTCTGCTGCTCTTCCTTCTTCGCCAGAGTGGAAAAGATTTTTTTTCTTCTTTTTTTTTCTCTAAAATTTTTATTTATATGTTAATTTGAAATGATTTTTTTTTTTAATATATAATCCACATACATTTGTTTGATCATTCGGGAGCTTTGGGTGGTTTCAGAAGCATTGCACACACAACACACTCGCGTGCCTCCCAGTTTAATTGCAATAATAAGGGCAAGTTTAGCTACATTTATCCACGCAGTGTTTGAGGAGTATACTTTGATAGACCTGTCCAGAAATATGTGGTACCCCCAGCGGCTCCTTTGCGCATTGTAATGTTGAGGTGTACGGCACGTGAAATTATCTAAGAAGCGAAGACGAAGTTGACGTTGGTTTAATGTTCGAGTCCTACTATACTCCGCGACAACTTTTCTTGGCAATGCAGTGGAAGGTACGTCCTGCGTCCCCTCTCCCATTTTGAGTGTATGCAGGCTCTCCTCCTCTCCCCGGAAATGGGGGAGGAGGAGAGCCAGCGTACACTCAAAATGGGAGAGGGGATGCGGGACGTACCTTCCACTGCATTGCCAAGAAAAGTTGTCGCGGAGTATAGAGCAACACACAGACACAAACGACAGCAACAAGCCTCAAACCAAAGCCTTTTGTGATTTGACAGGATTTGTAGAATGAAGGAGGCTATGCTCAAACACAAGCATCATGCACGCGAGGGCATCTTTGGCAGGTTTGCAATCACTTGCGCTTACTTTACGAGCACCGAACGACTAAACACCTGCCAAGGGTACCATCGCGAGCATGCTGAATGTGTTTGAGGGTTGTCGCTGTCATTTGTTTCTGTTTGTAACTCTAGTGGGACTCGAGCATAACAGTTTGCGATTTCAGAATGCAGAGAAGGCCAAAGGAAAGCAAAACAGAGTATGCAATGACCTTTTTTTTAACCTGCAATGGGGTGAAGCTCACGCACACGTTTTGCTCGCAAAAAAGTGCACGAATTTGAAATTTCAGTTGCTAGTACTCTTTTTCTTTTACCTTGGTTGGTTCCATTGTTAAAATTCTTGCTATGTGGCCCCTCTCCTTTCCTTCCTTATGTAATGCCTGCCTTCAAAGTACATTCATATAAAGAAATAAATATGATGTTCAAAAAAGTTGCAAGCAAATAACTTTTTAGGACCATTCTTTTCTTTGGGGTTAACTTGGTGTCACCACTCACAGATGTCACCTCTATCGCCGTGTGTTACACTCAACCCCCGCGTAGAAGCTCAGAACCCTCACTAAATCTTTTCTCATCTCAGCACTGATGTTCACACAAGCATTTCACTACCACTTTGCTAATATCAAAGTAATGCTGCAGCTGCAGTGCATATGACAACCAATGTGAAGGGCATCTGCAGACAATGTTCGATGATGCTATCACAAGGGTGATATCTATCACCCTTGTGACAGATATCACCCTTGTGTGAGCAGCAATGCAACCGAGTCTGTCCCAGTCTTTCAGTTTCTCTCAAACACTTCAAACCATGCTTTTAGTTTTAAATCTCACTGCATCGCTGGGACCGGCGAAAAACAACTCCATGCGAAATCACAGCTTAGCACAAAGCGTAAGAACCGTCTCTGTGTCCAAATAAAGTCCTCATCACTTCCAAACGTAACCTCTTCCACTCCGAAGGATGACAGGTGCACCGATGTTGCATGCATGCCCCGGCGAACCGGCCGAGAATGTGTAAACCAGCCTTTACTGCCGACTATGCAGCTCTCACCAGTTCGAGGCAGATGTGATGATTCAGCTCCCTGGCAAGATCCAGCGGCGTCTTGTTGTCGGCGTTCCTGACGTCCACGCTTGCTCCGCTTCGAAGCAGGAGCTTGATGCATTCCGTCTGGTTGTGCAGCACCGCCGTGTGGACTGGAGTGTTGCCAGCTTTGTTCTGCATGTCTAGGCTGGGGCTGGGCATGGCAGCGACGAAACAATCGCGTCACCCGCCACTCTCGAGCACCCTATCATTGAATGTCCAATCATGTGGCAGCCACCTTGAAAACGAATACCATACTATCCCAAGAGATAGCCCACCTAAACACGAGAACAAATCAGGTGAAAATGATGAATAAACTAACATTCAATGAGTGACCAAAAAAGTTTTAACAATGCTACTTTTATTTATTTATTTATTGATACTACATCTCCGCTTGGAGATTTGATAGGGGTGGGCAACAATCATCACTGACAATACACTGAGAAAAATCAACTGAAAAATCAACAGGGTCAGCACTATGGATATTACAACATTCAAAATGTCAACACGTACAGGTCTATAGACTATTCCATTTAGCGCTCTCTGGGCGGCACCATTTTGTTCGACAGCAGCGCCCTCTCCATACATCCGGGAAATTCAGCGGGTTCGGCGGGGTAAAACGAGAGAGAGGGCATGCGCCCAACTTTGCTAGCAGACGACAAAACGGGAGGTTGCCATTCTCCATCTTTGGGCTGTATCGGCGGGATGTACGGAACATCGAACTCTCGCTCGTGGCTGCCGTTGTGAAGTGGTTCGCGTTCTTACTTAGAATAGTTATGGCTACTCCAAAATCAGCCTCGAGCTCTCTGTTGTTCTACTTCGATAAATGATCAACTGACATATCTTTTTTCTGTTACTTAAATAGCAGTTGAGTCAGCCGGCAGTACTACCCTCAACTACTGCGTGTATTGCGGCAGGAGAGCACGTTTTTATTTATTATTTCAATCATCCACTCATGGTCGCTAAAGGCCTACACCAGTACAAACTTTGTATAGTAAAAAAGGTACAGCCACCGGATTCACTTTTCGCCGGAGAGACCGGCCAGTCTGACACAGTTTTCCCTATTTTTTTTTTTTTATTTGCAAGCCGATAACAGCACAATTGGACTCTGTTAGTCTTTTTTATCTAGCATAGTAATACACGATAACTGGCATACCAAAATCTGCGCATCTGCGCTTGAAATTCCCAAAATGATGCGATTTTAAACAGAGTTTGTACACCAGCCGGATGCTAGGTACTGCCCACTCGGCGGAGCAGACGACATGCAAGCGAGAGGGGGAGGGCATTTTTTTCTCTTTTTACCCTTTCTGCTATGACCCTAATGGAATGGTCTATATAGAAAAGGAAATTTAACATCACGTGTGCATATCAGGTTTGCATAGCAGAGTCCACCGAGTACAAAGCCGAAAAATTCAAGAAAAATGATGATAAAGCTCGCATACAAATAAGGCATATTCGGCTTCTATAACAACATCATAGGCAGAGAATTCCAATCATGTATTGTCCTTGAGAAAAAAGAAAATTGAAACGTGTCTACTTTAGAAGTATGTTCGACAAGGGCCATAACGTTCTGCGTCCTAGAGGGGTAGCATGGAGGAGGGTAGCGGAAAATGTAGCTATTCTTGTCTAGACTAAAGCGGTCATGGGATAAAATAAACAAAAGTTTAGCATGTTAATTTTGCGACGAAGTTCCAAGGGTTGAAGGCCAGCATTTGCATAGAGTTCTTTTACGGAGTCAGTACGAGAGTACTTATTGTAAATAAAGCGTAAACTTTTTCTTTGCACTTTTTCAATTGAATTAATGTTAGATGCTGTAAATGGGTCCCATACTACATCAGCATACTCAAGAACTGATCTAACAAATGTTTTATAAGCTTCTAATTTAACGGAGGATGATAGAGATTTCAGGTTCCTTCTTAAGTACCAAAGTGTATTTAATGCAAGGCATGTGAGATGTGTGATGTGGGAGTTCCATCGTAGATCATTTGTGATAATGACTGCAAGGTATTTATATGACATAACTAGTGAAAGGGGGTGATCGTGCACATTGTAGTTAAAAAGGGAAGTCGTTTTTTTCTGCGTTATGTGCATATATACACATTTATTGAAGTTTAAGGACATTTGCCACTCCTCGCACCACTTATTCACTTTATTTAAACCAGCACCAAGTTGTTCCTGATCCGCTATCGTTCTTACTTCGGTATACATGGTGATATCATCAGCAAAAAGGCGTATAGTCACAGGTATATTATGCGCAATGTCATTGATAAAAATGGAAAAAAGTAAAGGACCGAGCACCAATCCTTGGGGAACTCCCGAGTATACATTGGACTGGGATGACTTGCAGCCCTTTACTTCAACATATTGACGTCTGTTGCTAAGGTATTCTCGAAGCCATGACATTAACTTTTCATTTAGTAAAACTGAAGATAGTTTGGCTAAAAGCTTATGGTGAGAAACTTTGTTGAATGTTTTTGCGAAGTCTAAAAATATAACGTCCACCTGCTGTCTATTGTTAAGTGATCGCGAAAAGTCATGAATGGTCTCAACAAGTTACGTTGTTGTTGATAATCCCCGCCGGAAACCATGTTGATTCGGGTTAAAAAAAGATCTAGTCTCAAGGAACTCCGAAATGCGTTTAAAGATCATATGCTCCAAAATTTTGGAGCAGGAGCTTAACCCAGTCAGCAATGTTTGCTCATCGGAACCCTTGCCAAGGCACTGCAATTACTACCAGAAATGGGCTATTTTTTGGTGTTCTTGAAAATCATATCAAATCATGTCAAAAACTCTCAGCCTTTCCACTCTGGTGAAGAAGGAAGACCAGTGAAGCTGTACTATGGTAGGACAACTTCAAGGACGACTTCTCGGACTACATCTAGGACAACGCCTAGAGGACGACGTCTAGGACGACCTCAAGGACGTCTAGGACGACCTCTAGGACAACCACAAGGCCGACGTCGAGGATGACCTCTAGGGCAACCACAAGGACGACGCCTAGGACGACCTCAGGGACGACGTCTAAAACAACCTCAAGGACGACGCCTAGGACGACCTCAGGGACAGTATCTAGGACGACGTCTGGGACGACCTCAAGAATAACTTCTAGGACGACCTCAAGGACAACCTCTCAAACGACCTCAAAGACTACCTCAAGGACAATGTCTAGGACGACCTCAAGGACGACTTCTAGGACAACGCTTAGAAAAATTCAGCCTTTCCACTCTGGTGAAAACCAGAGTGGAAAGGCTGGAAAGGTTGCCACTATCCATGAGCGACAACTGTAGCTTTTTAGAGTTTTGTGTCAACATTTATTTGGTGACGGGCATGAAACTGGGGAAACTAGCCGTTAAAACTAGCTCCACTGTTAAAAAAGGGGGTGGGTTATCTCTCAGTGGTGGAGCATCTTTCGGGATATTACAGTACCATATACCTAGTTTTCAAAGACAAATGCAAAAATTGCAGTATCTGACAAAGCTGACTGTGTTGCATGTCGCCTGCCAAATGGAGCAGAATCTATTGATGTGGTACATCTAGAACTTCGTTTGTCATGTTAGAATATAGAGTTTCTAAAATGCCGAGGCTCGATCTAAAATGAGCCGTAAAAATCGGTGCTTGCACGTGGCAATCTAAACTTTTCAATTGCAAGGTAAAATCCATGTGTGGAAACACATGGATTTTACCTTGCAAAAGTACAAGGCGTAGCTCCCGTTCTCTAGAAAGAAAACAGGGCCAAAAAACTTGCCAGGGTCAACGGCAAATGGCGACGCAATCGACCGAGTCGAGTGGCAGGGCGTGCAAGTTGTCTGCTTCTTGAGCAGGGGTTTGCAATAACACCAAAACGACGCCGAGCTTTGATTGGCTTTGATTGAAAGGATAGTGGGCAGACCTCAGTGCTAGACACCTTGAATTCTACCCACTATTTTTTTTCACTCAGCCAATAAGAGCTCGGTGTTCTGACATCACCGCAACCCCTGAGCAAGAAGCCGACAAACTTGCGCTCCATATTGATAGATGGTGCTACCTCCTTGTTCCGGCTTGCTTTTAAAAAAATATTGAGACTGTCCCGCAATGACCGTGGTCTATTAAAATTAATTCTAATGTACCTTTGGCTAAAAAATAAATGCAGACAATAATGGCAAAGTAAAAAAAGTTTTTAAAAAATATGGTTGCATAACTACGGCGGTTTTGCTGCCGATGGATTTCGTCAGCATGCCGTCTGCTTTCTTTCACTGGTTGTCCACGCCTTCTGACGCTGCTCCCAACGCCATCCATCAATATGTGCACCAAATGTGCCCTGCCACTTGACTCGATCGTCTGCATCGCCATCCGCCGTTGGCCCTGGCAAGATTTTTGGCCCTATTAAAGCAATAGCCTTAAGGAGCTCATGTCACGAAAAAGTCTGCATCGGTGGGACAAGAAAATCCTGATTGGTCAATGAGTAATTCATTTGCCTTAAGGGGGAACACTGGTCTTGGAGCTTTTTTTCTTAATTTATGACCAAACTGAATGAAACTTCACAAGCTTGTTCAGCTTTTTGTGCTGATTTCATATATCTGGTAATATCTCCATTCAGTAGAATTGTCCTGAGGATAATTAAAACTTGCCTGCCTTTGTTTGGAGGAATGATAGGGAAAAAACTGCTCAACAAAATATCCTTTTTAACACATGGCCAGATACTATGAAGTGTAAAGAATACAATGTTGGAAGTACTTTTAAGATAAACCCATTATTAGTCATTTTACAACATATTGAAGTTCAGTGCCCAATGCATGGTTAACATGTAATAAAACAAAAGATCAAATAAAAAATTTTCTAGACTTATATTAAAAAATCTGCTCTCAACATTGTAGGCTTCACACATTTAGCAACACATTTCAAGAAAGGTTATATTTCTGACTGCTGTAGATACTGAGATATCCCTCCTGCAAATTTTCAACGAGTCCAAAAATTGTGTGATGTGAAAACAATGTTTTAGAGTCAAATTTAATGCACATTCAGCCAGCATAGACATTATAAGTTGATTTATAGCTCGAATATTCATCCACGAAATTAGAAGCCCGGTAGATTCAGAAGAACAACAGCCATCGCCATTTTCAAAAGAGTGCAGTTTTAGGAAGTTTTTGGCTCCAAAGACCCATGTTCCCCCTTAAA